CTCATAGAGCAAAATGGACATCGCCAACAAACTTGGACTGCTTGGGTATGCTTAGGAGGACACTGACTTTTCTAGCCTGCCCTATATATGTCTCCTGGTAAAATACATGGGAAGATACCATACAGGAAAAAATACACTTAGGGTTAGGGTTAGGTCAACATGAACTCATAGAACAAAATAGACATCGTCAACAAACTCAGACAGCTTGGGTATGCTTAGGAGGACACTGACCTTTCTAGCCTGCCCTATCTATGTTTCCTGGTAAAATACATGGGAAGATACCATACAGGGAAAATTCCACTTAGGGTTAGGGTTAGGTCAATATGAACTCATAGAGCAAAATGGACATCGCCAACAAACTCGGACTGCTTGGGTATGCTTAGTAGGACACTGGCTTTTCTAGTCTGCCCTATCTATATTTCCTGCTAAAATACAAGGGAAAATCCCATAGGGGGAAAATTCCACTTATGGTTAGGATTAGGTCAACATGAACCCAGAGAGCAAAATGGATATTGCCAACAAACTTGGAGGGATTGGGTATGATTAGGAGGGCCCTGACCTTTCAAGCCTGCCCTACCTATTTTTCATGGTAAAATACATGGAAAAATCATATAGGGGAAAAATTCCACTTAGAGTTAGGGTTAGGTCAACATGAACTCATAGAGCAAAATGGGCATTGCCAACAAACTCGGAGTGCTTGGAAATGTTTAGGAGGACACTGACCTTTCTAGCCTGCCCTATATATGTCTCCTGGTAAAATACATGGGAAGATACCATACAGGGAAAAATCCATTTAGGGTTAGTGTTAGGTCAACACGAACTCATAGAGCAAAATGGGCATTGCACAACAAACTCGGAAAATGGGCATTGCTTGGAAATGTTTAGGAGGACACTGACCTTTCTAGCCTGCCCTATCTATGTTTCCTGGTAAAATACATGGGAAAATCCCTTAGGGGGGAAATTCCACTTAGAGTTAGGGTTAGGTCAACATGAACTCATAGAGCAAAATGGACATCGCCAACAAACTCGGACTGCTTCGGTATGCTTAGGAGGACACTGACCTTTCTAGCCTGCCCTATCTATGTTTCCTGGTAAAACACATGGGAAAATCCCATAGGGGGGAAATTCCACTTAGGGTTAGGGTTAGGTCAACATGAACTCATAGAGCAAAATGGACATCGCCAACAAACTCGACTGCTTGGGTATGCTTAGCAGGACACTGACTTTTCTAGCCTGCCCTATCTATGTTTCCTGGTAAAACACATGGGAAAATCCCATAGGGGGGAAATTCCACTTAGGGTTAGGGTTAGGTCAACATGAACTCATGGAGCAAAATGGACATCGCCAACAAACTCGGACTGCTTGGGTATGCTTAGGAGGACACTGACTTTTCTAGCCTGCCCTATCTATGTTTCCTGGAAAGCAAATGGGAAAATCCCATAGGGGGAAAATTCCACTTACGGTTAGGATTAGGTCAACATTAACCCATAGAGCAAAATGGATATTGCCAACAAACTTGGAGGGCTTGGGTATGATTAGGAGGGCACTGACCTTTCAAGCCTGCCCTACCTATTTTTCATGGTAAAACACATGGAAAAATCATATAGGGGAAATATTCCACTTGGGTTAGGGTTAGGTCAACATGAATGCTTAGGAGGACACTGACTTTTCTAGCCTGCCCTATATATGTCTCCTGGTAAAATACATGGGAAGATACCATACAGGGAAAAATACACTTAGGGTTAGGGTTAGGTCAACATGAACTCATAGAGCAAAATGGACATCACCAACAAATTCGGACTGCTTGGGTATGGTTAGGAGGACACTGACCTTTTTAGCCTGCCCTATCTATGTTTCCTGGTAAAATACATGGGAAAATCCCATAGGGGGGCAATTCCACTTAGGGTTAGGGTTAGGTCAACATGAACTCATAGAGCAAAATGGACATCACCAACAAACTCAGAGAGCTTGGATATGGTTAGGAGGACACTGACTTTTCTAGCCTGCCCTATCTATATTTCCTGGTAAAATACATTGGAAAATCCCATAGGGGGAAAATTCCACTTAGGGTTAGGGTTAGGTCAACATGAACTCATAGAGCAAAATGGAGATCACCAACAAACTCAGAGAGCTTGGGTATGGTTAGGAGGACACTGACTTTTCTAGCCTGCCCTATATATGTCTCTTGGTAAAATACATGGGAAGATTCAATACAGGGAAAAATACACTTAGGGTTAGTGTTAGGTCAACATGAACTCATAGAGCAAAATGGGCATTGCCAACAAATTCGGAGTGCTTGGAAATGTTTAGGAGGACACTGACCTTTCTAGACTGCCCTATCTATGTTTCCTGGTAAAACACATGGGAAAATCCCTTAGGGGGGAAATTCCACTTAGAGTTAGGGTTAGGTCAACATGAACTCATAGAGCAAAATGGACATCGCCAACAAACTCGGACTGCTTCGGTATGCTTAGGAGGACACTGACCTTTCTAGCCTGCCCTATCTATGTTTCCTGGTAAAACACATGGGAAAATCCCATAGGGGGGAAATTCCACTTCGGGTTAGGGTTAGGTCAACATGAACTCATAGAGCAAAATGGACATCGCCAACAACCTCGGACTGCTTGGGTATGCTTAGCAGGACACTGACTTTTCTAGCCTGCCCTATCTATGTTTCCTGGTAAAACACATGGGAAAATCCCATAGGGGGGAAATTCCACTTAGGGTTAGGGTTAGGTCAACATGAACTCATAGAGCAAAATGGATATCGCCAACAAACTCGGACTGCTTGGGTATGCTTAGCAGGACACTGACTTTTCTAGCCTGCCCTATCTATGTTTCCTGGTAAAACACATGGGAAAATCCCATAGGGGGAAAATTCTACTTACGGTTAGGATTAGGTCAACATGAACCCATAGAGCAAAATGGATATTGCCAACAATCTTGGAGGGATTGGGTATGATTAGGAGGGCACTGACCTTTCAAGCCTGCCCTACCTATTTTTCATGGTAAAACACATGGAAAAATCATATAGGGGAAAAATTCCACTTGGGTTAGGGTTAGGTCAACATGAACTCATAGAGCAAAATGGATAATGCCAACAAACCCGGAGTGCTTGGAAATGCTTAGGAGGACACTGACTTTTCTAGCCTGCCCTATATATGTCTCTTGGTAAAATACATGGGAAAATCCCTTAGGGGGGAAATTCCACTTAGAGTTAGGGTTAGGTCAACATGAACTCATAGAGCAAAATGGACATCACCAACAAACTCGGAGTGCTTTGGTGTCGTTAGGAGGGCACTGAGTTTTCTAGCCTGTCCTATCTATGTTTCCTGGCAAAATACATAGGAAATTCCCATAGGGGGAAAATTCCCCTTAGGGTTCGGGTTAGATCAGAGCTTGGTAATCTGTGGGTCTGGAGCCGCATGCGGCTCTTTGAGCCTTCCCTTGGCTCCCAGCCTCTTCTGCCATTTGCAGAGAAAGACAGAGACAGAGAGAGGCACTTGCGCTTCCCTGCTTCTCTCTCTGTCTCTCTCTCTCTTTTTGTTTCTATGTGTGTATGTGTGTATGTGTGTAAAAGTGTGTACTCACGGTGTTCTCCGAGGAGCTGAAAAGCTTTTTGGGCGGGGCTCCTACCTTTGCTGTGTCTCTGCAGGAAGCAGGAAGGGCAGGAGAGAGGTAGCTAGCTCCGGTATGCTGACTCAGGAATTCTGGGAATTGAAGTCCATGAGTCATAAAAGGGCCAAGGTTGCCTTTCCCTGAGGTTGTTGGAGAACAGCTTTCCAGTTGAGCAGAATATTGGAGAGAGGGAAAGAAGAGGGGGAGAAAGAGAGAGAGAGAGAGAGAGAGAGAGAGAGAGAGAGAGGAAAGAGAGAGAGGAAAGTGAGAGAGGGAGAGGGAGAGAGAGAGAGAGAAACCCTTTTGACATCTAAAATGAAATAACACTGCATATATCCTTTTTTACATTTATGAGATATTTTACTATATCGATATCTTCATTTTAGATATCAAAAGAGTTTTGTGGCTCCCAGTATTTTGTTTTTGGTGGGAAACAGGACCAAGTGGCTCTTTGAGTGTTTTGGATTGCCTACCCCTGGGTTAGGTCAACATGAACTCATAGAGTAAAATAGACATTGCCAAGAAACTCGGAGTGCTTGGGTATGGTTAGGAGGGCACTGACTTTTCTAGCCTGCCTTATCTATGTTTCCTGGTAAAATACATGAGAAAATCCCATAGGGGAAAATTCCACTTAGGGTTAGGGTTAGGTTAACATGAACTCAGCCTTAACAATAAGAGAGAAGACTACTTTAGCCTAGTGCTCCATTTCGCCCAGTCCTCCATCTTCATAGAGGAAAAAAATTGACAAAAATAAACTGGGGAGGTGGGAGCATGATTGAATGAAGGGAACAGAGCCCCAATAATGAAAGGTTTGGTAAATGAGTCCTTTGTGGAGACCTTCACCCACCAAGATGTCCACTTTCTAAGCACACCATTAACATGCTCTGAATTTGAAGTGTACTCGATTGCTATAAAGGTTGAAAATATTTAGTTTCAATGATAGCATCACATTGTTTACCTGAAATATTTTAAGGGAGCTTACAGAGGAAAAAAGAAAGAGGGAAACTTTTTCCAGCAAAGGTCTCCATCAGTCATGAGGAAAAAGGTGAATTGTTTTATAAGCTTCTCTACTAATATGTATTGCGCTTTTCAGGTATCCTTTATTTCACCTGTCATGAACTCCCTGGATTGGGTGGCCTTAGAAAACATATCCATTATATCATTTAGTCATAGCCTTCTATGTATAGTTATGTCATCACTGGTCAATGTAAAAATTATGCTAATATAAGAAGTTAGAACAATATATATATATTTTGCCAAGCTGCTTTATGGGAATCCAAGCCAAGGAAGAAGATAAGAAAAACAAACTGCAAGTGACAAGCTAAACAGAACATGATTATTCAAGATTTTTTAAAAAAAAATTTAAAGTACTGTATACATACCCAGCCCCATATGGCTATTCGTTTTTCATCAATAAAACCCATGTCTATAAACTTTCTGTTTGGAAGAAAAATGCACACAATTAATTAAAGAAACACAGATGTTTTAAAGTACTTTGGGATGCTAGAAAACATGAGAAGGGTTATATGGCAAAAAAATATTTTTAAAATCCTCATAGATATCAGTTTCTTAATCTGGGTCACAGCCTAGTAAAGCCAAAAGTCATTTAGATTTTATCTTAAGCCACAATGTTACATGTACAAGTTTTGCCAAACCTAACTGTAACCTTCTAATCGCTATTTTAGAAGCAATGCAAAAATTCTGCTTCTAATTTTCAACTGCCCTTTCCAACCCAAGTTTAAAAAAGCCAGGATAAATTGTGATTTATACATGTAACTTCACTGACCTTTCATTAACCCTAATCCTTTGGACTTAATTAACTTATAACTAATTATATCTATGTATATATAAAATAAATTCCAAGAAGGGATTTTAAAAAAATATTTTTCTTTTGCCTATGGTATATTTATCAGATCAGGTCTTGGGCATGGCAATCATTAGATGACTACAGAACTTGATACACCTGTTCTCTTTAGTTTCATCTTTTGGGCATCTAGATTTTTGCAGGTTACCTTGATCTGGTAACCTAGCCTATGGGATCTGCTGATGTGCCCAGCTTCAAATATTTAAATGCAATATGCCCTTTAGAAAAATACAGGATTGTTTCTGGTAATGAAAAGGTGGGATAAAAGCTTTAAATAAAATGAATCTGAACCTCCCACAGTATATGTTTGTGTGTGTATACATGCAATCCACTGATTTCATGGTGGTGTCTCATGCAGTCTCCTTATCCTATGTTCAAATCAAAGTTCTACATAAAACTGTGTAGCTCCAAAGGATAGGGAGTATTTTTCTTCTATCTGGCTTTTAGGTCTGAATATGAGAGATCCCTTTTGATAAATATGCCCAACCTTTCCAAGTGGGTCTATATAGTAGATCACTGAAAATCTTTTGGAGACAAGGGAGTTCAGTTTTTATTAGCTCTTTCTGATTTGCTAATTTAATGAACTTATTTTTCTTTTAGCTCTGTTTTGTAAGTTTGCCTTTATTATTCTTCGTCACACGGTCAGTCAGATGTTCAGACTGGATTTGGCATTTTTGTCCACATATTGAGACTTTCCCAAGATTTGAGGTGGGCAGATGTGGATGTGTGATAATGTTAGAGGTATCATCACAGGATGTAAAGCCGTTCCAAGTAAAACTGCTTTTTGCAATTGATTGATGGTGAATTTGTTAATGGTGATGGTGTTCAAGTGATGCTCCAGTTGTTTTGGGATATATTATTATATTTATTATTAGTTGCCTAGATGACAGAACTACTTAGTAATATTTAGCTTTTAGATTGCACTTTCACCTATCTAAAGTACTTTCTATACATTTTCTAGCTGTAATCTTTATCTACAACTTGCAAGATAAATTGAGCATGTTGCAGAATTGGGGGGGGGAACTGAGGCTAAGGAAAAGTCATTTGTCTCAATCTTATTGTGTATCTGTGGGGGAAGCAGAATTTAAACTAAGGAGTTTTTAACAATGAACAGGCATCTTCTACAAAAACAAAAACAAAAAAACCCTTTCCTTGGCTTTCAGTTGAAAGCATTGGTTGGACTCTGAGGTTGGATGCTGGAAATCCAAATTCAGATCTCAGTTTATTAACGGGCAGGTTAATCTGATCCCACCAAGGTCACATTGCAAGGTTTCATGAGGCTATCCCACAAAGAGGTAGGTAGCCTAAGAACACAGAAAGTCAATACTGTCCAAAGGAACGGTAAGCCCATTACTAGAAACGGAAATTAATGAGGAACATCAGGGAATACAGCAACAGAGAAGCAGAAGAGAAAATGATCAAAATATCAAGTAGGTGAAAGATTCTTCCTGTCATTGCTTAGAATAAAATCTCACTTTTGGATGGTGTATTATTAATATTTATTGCAATAAAAACTAAATTAAAAAAATAATGTTTCAATCAACCTTGACATCATGTCATATTATTGGCAACAATGCAGAAGTGTTCTGCCATTGTCTTTTTCATATGAGTCTTATCTGTCTATCTATCCATCCACCTACCTACCTACCTACCTACCTACCTATCTAAAGGGCAGGAGTCACAGCAGAGAAGGATCTTCTCCTCAACCCTGCCAGCTGAAATTTCTTGACTGACAGGATCCTCAGCATGCCTTCTCTGCCAGCACAGGTGGGGCAATAGAGTAAAATAGGAAATTTGCCATCATCTTTTTTTGACAGAAGTGTGCCACCGCACTCTTTCAGTTGTAGCTTCCAAATGCCCTTCAAGGCTAGTCCCATGTAGAGGGCATTACAGCATCCAGACATGAGATGACCAGGGCTTAAATGATTGAATGCAGGGACTCCTGATCCAGGAAATCCTGCAACTGTGCACAAACCAAAGTTGTGCAAAGGCTGCCCTGGCTATGACTGCTACTGTTCTTCAAGCAGAAGTCCCGAGTCCAGGAGAACCCCCCAAGTCATGAACTGGATCTGTCTGGGGTAGTGCCACCCCATCCAGAGCTAAAGGTATCAAAATCCCAGATCCTGAATGCATGTTTTTTGCTGGTAAAAAACCTGTAGGTATAGAAAAATGAAATGTACTTATGAATGAGTACATGTAAAACCAACATAGATCACATCCGTCATCCCAGTATCTTCAGTTTATTAGTTTATGACACTAATTTAAAACTGTTATGGTTACTATAAAACAAATAATTCTGCTATTGCACTGTACCAAAAAAAAAGTAATGATAGCAAGATGGGAATCAAAATGGTAAATTGCCCCATCTACTTCACTACTTCACTCTATGTATTTAAAAAGCAAAGAGGAAATGGAAGCATCAGAAAGGAGAAATGGGGTAAAAGAGATAAGAAATTTGTATAGTCACAGGAACAAGCAAGCAAGATATAGAGGTGAGAAGCTCTTGGTTCTATTCTTACTCCTACTGGCTCATAATTTGTCAAGCCAGAGTAATAATCTTTGCTCAGTTTTAAAAAGGCCCATGCAAAAATTACTTCCATACGTACAAAGCATCAAATTTATACCCTTCCTAATATAGTTAGAGCTGTTTACCTGTTAACCAATGAAAGTGCTGATTTCTGAAACAAATCCAAAAATCCTTCCAAGAATTTCATCAAATCCAGAAGAAAAACTTATATTCATGGGATAGGTCAATAATACTGGGATGTGCAAGGAGAAATAATAAAAATATTTCTGTAGCTTTGTAAAGACTACCACATGAGTTTAATTTAGTTTAAATTTTGCCAAATTCCCAAATCTAAACAGTGTTCTAGCATGACTGTTAGGAATATGTACTGAATTGATAGCAAATAGTAGTTATAATTAATTCATTAGCATATGTTTCCTTAACATCAAACATGATCAGCATGGAATAAATCTCAGCAGCTATCTACATGGAATTACTCTTAGAAAGGCTACAATCTATGCTACACAAAAAACTCTTCCTGTTCTTACCTTACAGCTGAGATTTGATCTTCAACTTCATAAACCCCAAGTTTTCGATACACCGCATGCAACATCTTATCACCTTGGAAAGCTGTTCCTCTGCCATCCACGAGTGCTACCACAATTTCTTCTTTGCTTGCAAGATAGCTTATCCAGCTAACGCTAAAGGTATGCTTCACATTTTGGCTACAAGGCCCTCCATATCTACAGGGAATATGAATGGAATTGAAAAGCCTTCTACTTTAACATCCAAAGATCATAAAATATTTAATAAATAGCATAAGAAAAAAAATGGAATGATAAAGGACTTCCTCATTAGAATTTTGGAATTAGTTTTCAGACACGGAATGACACAGTGGTTAAAGTTTTTGGACTATGATTGAGAAGACTACCCTCAGCCAAAGAAGTTCACTAAGTATCTTTGGACCAACAACCCCCTTTTATTTCCTAAATATCCCACAGAGCTTTATTTGTCAATGACCAAAATAAAGTTTCTGTCTACCAGTCTGTCTGTCTGTCCCCTCTGTCTGTCTGTCTGTCTGTCCACAGAGCTGTTATGGGAAAAATGATACCTTGAGCTCCTGAAGAAACAATGGTGGTGATAGCAAATATTAGCTGAAGGCATTCTTTCCTGCATTACTTTGGGCTATCCTGCTTGAGAAAAGCAGCCTTACATGGAGTTTTTCCTGAAGATGAAGAGGATCTTCTGCACACTCAGCATACATTCTAATCCTGGTGTGCTGTGGTCAGCTTTGCAAAGCACTCTTTTTAAAACTTTAGATTTTAAAAACATCATGTAGTCAAATTCCCCAGTCTCACTTGGTAATCTGGCAACCCTACCTTGGTTTCAGGGGCAGATTTCAAACCCCCTTTATATATAATAACATTGTAATAATCCCTTCTTTTTTGTTTTATCACACTATTGTTGTTTCTGAGCTTGCTTCTGAGGCTGATGTTCCTCCAGGTACTCTTCCTAATCTGTTGAATATCACAATACATGAAGAGTTTATAGTTATAGAAGTAGGAAGATTGGGCGGTAGCCTGTAAGGTTTGGGGCATTTTTTACGGATATATGTAAAAATCTATGTGAGCTATTTTCTAGCTATGATGTCCAATATTTTACAGCAGTAGTATCATATAATGATGTACCAGCTATTGATAACTTTGACAATATATACAAGGTATATAGGGAGGACAATTGAATAAAATGTTACATACACCTGTATAAGAAGAGGATATTTCTTGGATCTATCAAACTTTGGAGGTAGAAGCATCTTGTACCATAAAGCTAGAAGTAAAGGGGGGGGGGAGAAAAGAATGAATGAATGAATGAATTTATAGCATAAGAAATGTCTGTAATATTGGTCCTTTATCTAAGAATTATAACTAGTTATGCAGGTTTAATTTTCTGCTAGGTTATGTCAATGTTTCTAAACCTTTGCCATTTTAAGTTGTGTGGCTTTCAATTCCCAGAATTCCCTAGCTGGCAAGGCAGGCTGGGGAATTCTGGGAGTTGAAGTCTACATATCTTAAAGTTGCCAAGGTTGAGAAACATTGGGTTATGTGATTACTTAATTCAACAGCAAAAATATATATTTTAATTTACGTAATCAGATATGGTGTCATTGTTTGTAGTAGCAAAGTAGCAATTATTATATTAGTATAACAGTTATTGTTTGTAGCATTGGCAAATGATAATAAAAACATTGGGTTTACTTTTATTAAAAAAAAGAGACAGTCCTAAGAAAAAGGAACTGGGAAATTTTACTTCTGAAAATTTACCAACAAACTACATGGACCTATCCATGTAATCCTTAGGAGTCAAGATCGACTTGAAGGACCATAAAAGTTACAGTTAACAACAGTGACCACAAGTGATAAGGAATATACAGTATGTAGCTGTAATCTGATACTATCCTTAAATAATATGCCACTGCAATAATGTGCAAACACAGAGTTTAAACTGTACTGCTTGTGTGTCTTCATAAAAACTACATGGAATATTACTTGGGAGTCATAAAAACTTGGGATGTGCATGTCTGTGCGTGTGTTGAAGGATTCATAAAAATATAATCTACAGGTACTTGCTTCAATCTGAGTTCTTGGCTAATGTATGTAACTTTCTTGGGTCCCTGTTTTTATCTCATGTGATGACCTTCTTTAACAACGGTAATGGAGACTGCCGGAACTGCCACTGTTAAGCAGCACAGTCACATGATGTTGTGCTTTATGACACATCACTTAGTGACAGAAATTCCAGTCCTAATTACCAGTGTTAAGCAAGGACTAGCTCTACTTACAGGGAGTGACCAACACCTCTTCTTAGCCTATTTCTAGGTTGGACAGAAGAAGTCTATGTGAAACTTCTTTTGGCAGATTAAGATCCCACAATAATACTTACGGTTGCAAAGTTTGCATTGTTGATAGCCAAATATACTAAACACCATTGCAGGCCTTTTCTAATATATCATGTATGCCATATTGTATTTTGCATTATACCAGTGGTTCTCAACCTTTTTAATGCCGTGACCTCCAACCAGTCATAAGTCGAGGACTACTTAACCGGTCGTAAGTCGAGGACTACTCAACTGGTGCAGCACCGTTTGCAGAATGGGACTTTTGGCGGGCTCAGCAGGGCAGAGACAGCCTGGACAATTCCTATTGGCTTTTGAAAGCCAATAGAATTAGACTCTATTCAAGAGAGTCTATTCTATTGGCTTTCAAAAGCCAATAGAATAAAAGGGAGTAGCACAGCTAAGGAAAAGGGGAAAAAAATGGCGGACTGCGTTGTTTAGCGACCCCCGTGAAATGGTCGTTTGACCCCAAATGGGGTTCTGACCCACAAGTTGAGAACTACTGCATTATACACTGTGTATGTATGTGTATATATATATATATATATATATATATATATATATATATATATATATATGTCACACCAGGACATATATATAGTATATATATATACATATATACATAGTATATATATATACACAGTAAATCTGTGGTTTGTGATTGACTCCTGAGAACTTCATGGATTTGTCCATGTAATTTTCTTGGCAACTATATAGAATTAGATTTCCATCATTGTGTTCCAGAATTTTTTCTCAACTTGCCAATTTAGCCTACAGATCTCTGATTCCTTTATATTATCTAAGCATTAACAAGGCCTTGTGCTGGTTAACTCTTGAGCCCAGACAAGACCAGCCATGCTGGCTCAGGAATTCTGGGACTTGAAGTCCACGAGTCATAAAAGAGACAAGGTTGCCTACCCTGTCCTAGATAGTCCTTGAATTATGATCACAACTGAGCCCAAAATTTCTGTTGCTAAGCAAGGGCAATTGTTGAGTGAGTTTTGACCCATTTTATGATCTTTCTTGTCATATTTGTTAAGCAAATCAGCGCAGTTGTTAAGTGAATCATTTGGTCATTAAGCAAATCTGGGTTCTCCATTGACATCGGAAGCTGGCTGGGAAGGTTACAAATGGTGATCACATGATCCCGGGCAGTAAAACTGTCATAAATATATGCCTGTTGTCAATTGCCTGCATTTTGATCACATGGGGATGCTGCATCAATCTTAAGTGTGAAAACTAATCATAAGTCACTTTTTTCAGTGCTGTTGTAACTTCAAATGGTCACTAAATAAATGCTTGTAAGTCAAGGACTACATTTATTCACTTTCTCCAGATCAAACTTAAAGATATGCAGCTCATAACATGTCCTTTATTTTATTCTAAGCCAAAGAGCCATAGGAGAATTGCTCCAATTCCTCATCCCTTTGGTTGCACATCTCTGTGCTATGCAGTCTTTGTCTGGGAATAGGCTATTAATGTATAGGATTCCAATAATTAATTTCTTAATACACTGTTGAAAAAAAAACTCTACTGTACTGTTTCTTGATCTAAATTCAGATATCACACCATCAGTTTTTAAATAGCAACTCTTTAGTTCTTGTTCATACAATGAAAAATTAGGTGTGAAAAACAAATGATACTTACTTATGCCATCCACTTCAAGTTTATTAATCTTCTGTATTGGTAAACTGATTTTTTGCAGAGCAGATGCCAAATCTGCATTGTCTTCTAAGACTTTAATTTCTGTATATAAAAAGTTTTGAATTAGAAATACATTTCTCATGGATTCTCTGTTTTTGAACTGTTACACCATTGGATACCAATAAAAGGTTAAATGTCAAGTCTATTCAATTTAAATGAATAAGTGAACTTTCCAAGTTTATAATTATGGAAATACCAAAAGTTTCATGAGGTAACTGAAACAGAGTGGAGATTTTCCTAGAAAAATACAGGAATTGGCGGGGGGAGTCAAGTTTCTTGGAACTGAGGTAGACTTTATTATAGGTGGTAAATTCAATTTATTAAGGTAATCTGGATATAAATCATGTAACATGTGGCTAATTTCATATATACTGTTAAGTGTTTAATTGATTGAAAGAAGTTAATCATGATAAAGTATTTATATCATGATTCTGCTGTATAGCTACTTAACCTAAAAAGCAAACAAACAAATAAATAAATAAATAGCAAAGCTAGTATTATAATAGTTAAAAAATGTTTGTATCTTTTCCAGGTTTATGTGCCTAAAACGTTATGGAAACTGATGATGAATACCAAATAGTTTCTAACCCAAATAGAGTTTTGTCTTTTCCTACTTGCAATGGGAACAATACAAGTCAGCTTTAGATGAAGTGTAAAACCATTTTATCACTCTGGCCCTCAGAATCAATGACCTTTTCCTCGCTTGTGTTTAATTACAGCGCAAACATGCTCTGGCATTATTATTTTTTCACAGTGGCCCATGACAGGGCCTTCCTCTCTTCTCACTCCGCTGAGTCATGCTGAAGCTGATCTTTGCTGTACTAGTTTTGAAGTATGGCTTTTCTCCTTATGCCCACAGCACCTAAGGTTAGCCTCAAGGTCTGTAGAACTGGTTAGGCTTTGACTCCCATTACCTTGGAGGAAAATCAGCCGACTGTCAGTGACGGGGAACAGAAACAACAGACATATATTTTTAAAAATTATTTCAAGATTGATAATGCCAGTCAACTCACACACAGTGTGACTCTGGGTGGTGGGAGGGATATTAGAAGGACTGAAAATAAAGAGAGGGAACATCATGCCCACAGTTTTGCTGCCTCAAGGATGGGTGGAGAGGACTTCGACTCAGAAGCAGAGAAAGTTTCTGTGACAGATAGACAGTATGCTCATAAAAAAAAAAAAGCTAGGTCACACTAGGACATTGGAAGATAAGATATAAAAAGGAGGGAGGCAGAGCTATCCTTTTTTAAATGCAGGACTGGTGACTATTCACTTTTTTTTTTTGCAATATATTCAACAAGATGATCTGATATTAGTTTGGGATATAACAAATATGCATTGGAGATACTGTAGTAGCATGATGCTTCAGGAATCTTTTTGGATCTGAACTATTCTTTAAATTATGCTATGCTGCTATAGCAATCCCTCCCATGCTGCCTTCATTTGCTCCTAAACATAAGTTTGATAAAGTACTCTTTATTTTCTGATTACTATATTATTAAAAATGGGTGGTTTAGGGAAGAAGATCTATGTTTTGGAAATAATTTATGAAAATGTGATGTACAGACAAGCTGAATGAGAGTAATTTTGGAAACACATTTGAACAGAAATGATCAAAAGGATTTCAAGACAAAATCTGCAATTTTTTTTATGTATTGTTTAATCTCTGGGCACATTTATTCGGATGTAAATTCCACTGATTTAATTAGAACATATTCTTACTTAAGTGTGCATAAAGTATATTTAGGCATCTCTTCCAATGATTGTAAATAGATTTATTCCTACAAAAGTGTATACAGAATTTCATTCTTATGCTATCATCAAGCAAAAAAATATGTATCATAAAAGGTACCTTTGTTATATCTGTTATCATATATAGTAGAAATGGGGATGCCTGGGCCTGCAGTAATGATTAGAATAAAAAGAGAATCTCCATTAAACAAAATATCTGAAATGATACTACTGAAAATCATTTCATTGTTTAGCTACTTGCATATTCCCATTTGTTCATCACTCACAGGTTTATTTTTTCACAAGTTTAACATTTTAATTTGAGCAAAATGCAAAGCCCAGTTGGATATTAGAATGACAATAGAGCTATAGAGACCTGAATTCACATTGGAAATAACTTTCTCAATGTTCATCAATTCCCTTTCTTGTTGCAGCTACTTCCTCACATTCTGTACATTTTGTGTAGTCCTGCAATCTTCATGAGTAGATTTGGGAAGATGCATTCAAACTGCAAGATGCACTCAACTGAAGGGGGAAAGCAGAATGTTTGAGCAAATGTATTCTAATTTCGACACGTCTTATTCTTCTAATAAATTTAGCCTGGCCCAGATTAACAATAGAAGAGAAGGTACTATACTGTATTATTGTAGATAGGATCATCTAGCTATTTTGCACCAGCTTGTTGTCCAAGTATTTAGCTTTGTCTATAGCTTAAATGTTTCTTCCTTCCAGATCAGAAGCCAAAAATCTTTGCCTTTTCTTCATATTCATGTGTTTTCAGCACAAAAGGACACAATAAGAAAATGATGTATTATGCACCACAGCACACATGCAAATACTGGTATATAAGTCGTGTGGGGTCTCATGATACACATTTGGCTAAATCCCCTGATATTTCCATCTTTCTGCTTTCTTCTCCAGTCCAGCTACCACATCTTTCTCATTTTCTCTCTCCCTCTCATTCTCTTTTTCTCTCTCTTTAGTATGCTGCCAAAAAAGAAAAAAATAATAATCTGAGAATATGCTGGTGAAAATTATTCAATCTCTCATCATTTCACAGGTTACTAAAATGTGCTCTACTTGAGGCTGCTTTAGAATGGATTGTGGGATTGCAGGATTCAACCCACAAATGTCTGCTTTTATATTATAGAGCAGAGGTCCCCAACCTTTTGGGCATCAGGGACCGGTTCAATGGAGAGAGTTTTTTCTACAGACCGGAGGGGGCGTGGTTTCGTGTGCTTCCTGCATCCCATGGATGGGGGCTTCGCTTGTTTGTATGGACCAGTTTCTGGCATGCCGCTGAGTGGTGTTGGTCCATGGACTGGGGTTGGGGACCCCTATTATAGTGTAGAGAACAATATCCAGTTTGGATTCCACAGGTACAAAAACATCTCTGATCATACTGCATGGCAGTAAGATGCAGTAAAACCTGGAAAGTGATGTCCTTTTGCCACTTTTATTGCCATGGTTTATTTAGGCTTTAAACTGGGTTTATACCCATGTTCATATACATTATTTTTTTTCTGTCACTGATGCTTTACTATTGCTTCATTCTTAAAGTTCCTCCATGAATCATGAAGCACCAAGGATTGGTGCACAGAGAGGGGCCAATTAGAAAAAAAAATATCTCCTTTTGAAAGCTTTGTGGAACTGCTTATCTAGTAGCTAAGAAATTTCTGCAAGAGTTATCTGGAAATCCATGTCTCAAGATTCTTGGGGCAGACATTCTAATTAATCTTCTCTCCCTGCTAAGATTAGCAATGGTGGCAAGTTTTAGGGTGATCAAACAGTAAACTGTCTATGACAAAAATCTCACAGAAATGTCTTCCATATTCAATTCACAGATTAATTACTTCAAAGTCCAATATATGTGGGTTTGTATGAATCAGGAAATGTCTCGAGACAAGGCCATTAAATACTGAACCACTCCTGACTTGGCCTGTAATTCATGGAGATTGGAATTCCTCAACAACAAACACCTGGGAGCCTCAGTCTACATTTTGGACAGTACTTGAAATACACAAGGAGCAGAGTATCCTGTTCACCTTCAAGGTTATCTTCAATAAAGAGGTCTTGTAACAGAGAGAGCTAGCATTTTAATTGAAGCTAAAGACCAAAGCTTCCAGCAATTTTGCATTAAGACTCCCAGGTCAAGGGGTTAGGTTAGGGACAGAAATGAGGATTGGCATCAAAATGCCCATCTCTTTTTTCCCCTGCAACATCCACCTCAAACTCTCCCATCATATCTCTTTTCCCATCATTATGTAAATCTTTCTCAAGCCTCTTTTGCCCAATAATTTCCACTGCCCTTTTTCAGTTCTGTCCTCTCTCGAGCCTCTATATTCCACCATTCTATGTGATTACCTGGTCACTCTAACCAGACACATACATTCACATCATCAACTCAAACAATTCCTTTTTCTTATTAGCATTGAGAAATTTACTTCTATGTGTATGGGCATTTCTCCCTCCCTCCCTCCCTCCCTCCCTCCCTCCCCCCCCCTCTCTCTCTCTCTCTCTCTCTGTGTGTGTGTGTGCACGCGTGTGTCAGCAGTGCTGCTGAGAATAAACTAAGCTTTGCATATCATACAGTTCTCTTCTCTCTCCCAGATGAAAAGGTACCTAGCTAAATGGGTAAATGGGTTACATAACTTGGGCACAGAATTAACCACGCACAACATAATCTGGATAAGTTGTCTTAACTCATTTCTCAAGGTGAACACAGTCCCTGTGTGACACAGCCTTGGCACAGATGGATGATGTAACTGATTATTTTTTGCTATATAATGATATAGTCATTATTTGCAATGCTTGTACACCTTGTACAAAGTATAAATATATGAGAAAAACTGTAGAGCAACTATTTTCTCCCTAATATGATCTGAGGAAAATGTGCATTGCTATCCGAATGTCAGTTTCATTCATCCATACCAGTCAATATGTATACACCCAGATTTCCCTCTTTAAATGTAATTGGCATTCTATTTTATAATTTATTTTATTTTTACTTTGGTTTGGATTTTAAATACACTAACAAACAAAGAAACCCGTCTCCCCAGCTAATACTTTCAACCTGGAAGCGAATTAAATGGTGTCTCTGACACTAATTGGATGGGAGCAAATAAACTACTTCTTTAAGTTTATTTATTTTAGGAAACTATCTAAGCCACAGCATTGGTCTGACAGAGCCTTTCTCAATTCCATAAACTCAGAGCCCAATTGCAGAACCCTTGCACAGAGCAAAAAATGTTGTAGGATCAATTTTAGGAATTCAAGTTCCAGAGCAGTGGAGAAAAGCTCCTGGCTGAAACTATGGATAGAAGCTGCCTCTCGTTCTCATTCTCATGATTTGATGGTTTATTTATTTATTTATTTATTTTTAATATTTATATGCCGCCCAATCCCGAAGGACTCAGGGCGGCGTACAAAGTTAAAAAACAGTCAAAAAACAATAAAATAATAAAATAATACAATCATACTGCGATCATACTGCGAGTCCGGTCATATCCCGGCCCCCCGGGGACATCAGCCCCAGGCCTGCCGGAACAGGAGGGTTTTAACAGCCTTCTTAAAGGCCGGCAGGGTGGGAGTAGTTCGAACCTCGGGGGGAAGTTGGTTCCACCAGGTCGGAGCCACCACGGAAAAGGCCCTTCCCCGAGGGCCCGCCAGCCGACATTGTCTGGCCGACGGGACCTGAAGGAGGCCCAATCTATGGGACCTCACCGGTCTCTGGGAGCTATGCGGCAGAATGCGGTCCTGTAAGTAACCTGGCCCTATGCCATGAAGGGCTTTAAAGGTGATAACCAACACCTTGAATTGCGTCCGGAGACCCACAGGAAGCCAGTGCAGCTCGCGGAGGATAGGTGACACGTGGGCGTACCTTGGCGCGCCCACAATCGCTCTCGCGGCTGCGTTCTGAACCAACTGCAGCCTCCGAACGCTCTTCAAGGGTAGCCCCATGTAGAGCGCATTGCAGTAATCCAGTCTTGAGGTGACAACGGCATGAGTGACTGTGAGTAAAGCCTCTCGGTCCAAATAAGGCCGCAACTGGTGCACTAGGCGAACCTGTGCAAAGGTCCCCCTGGCCACAGCTGATAGATGTTGTTCCAGATTTAGCTGTGAGTCTAGGAGGACACCCAAGTTGCGTGCCTGCACTGAGGGAGGTAAATTTGCCCCCCCCAGGACTAAAGATGGACCATCCAGTTGGCCTTTGGGAGGCAGGACCCAGAGCCACTCGGTCTTGTCAGGGTTGAGTCTAAGCCTGTTCACCCCCATCCAGACCCTCACATCTTCCAGGCACCGGCACATCACGTCGACCGCTTCACTGAAAGGGCACGGGGTGGAGATATATAATTGGGTATCATCTGCATACTGATGATACCTCACCCCGTGTCGCCGAATGATCTCACCCAGCGGTTTCATGTAGATGTTGAAAAGGAGGGGGGACAGGACCGAGCCCTGAGGCACCCCATAATCGAGGCGCCTAGGGGTCGATCTCTGTCCGCCCGCCAACACCGACTGCGACCTGTCAGAGAGGTAGGAGGAGACCACCGCAATACAGTGCCACCCACCCCCACCTCTCCGAGACGACGCAGAAGGATACCATGGTCGATGGTATCGAAAGCCGCTGAGAGGTCAAGAAGCACCAGGATAGAGGAATGACCCCTATCCCGGGCTCGCCAGAGGTCATCGGTCAGTGCGACCAAAGCAGTCTCAGTGCTGTAGCCGGGCCTGAAACCAGATTGAAAAGGGTCCAGGTAATTGGTTTCATCCAAGGATCGCAAGAGTTGAGATGCCACCACCTTCTCTACAACCTTCCCCACAAAGGGGAGGTTGGAGACGGGACGAAAGTTCTTCAAAACAGCTGGGTCCAGGGAAGGCTTCTTGAGGAGGGGCCTCACCACCGCTTCCTTTAAAGGTTGCGGGAAAGACCCCTCCATCAAGGAAGCATTGATTATCGCCTGGAGCCAGCCTCGTGTCACCTCCCTACTGGCCGAAACCAGCCAGGAGGGGCACGGGTCCAATAAACAGGTGGCGGCATTCATTGCCCTCACGGCCTTGTCCACTTCATCAGGGGTCACAGGCTCAAACTCGCTCCAGATAATATGACTAAGACCAGCCCCTGGCAACTCGGCTGGCACTGCCCAGTCAGAGTCCAGGTCCCTCTGAATCTGAGCGATTTTGTCCGAAAGAAACTGAGCAAACTCCTCAGCTCTCCCCTGCAAGGGTTCCTCCGCCTCCTCCACTTTAAGAAGGGAGCGGGTCACCCTAAACAAGGCGGCTGGGCGAGATTCTGCGGACGCAATAAGTGCGGAAAAGTGAACACGCTTTGCCGCTCTTATCGCCACTAAATAAGTCCTAAGATAGGCTCTTAATAGTGATCGGTCAGATTCAGAGTTACTGGCCCTCCAACGTCGCTCTAGACGTCTCTTGTGGCGCTTCATCTCCCGGAGCTCCTCAGTAAACCAAGGCGCCCTCCGGGGACCACCACCACAGAGAGGTCGCAAAGGCGCAATTCGATCCAGGGCCCCGGACGCCGCCTCATTCCAGGCCGCAACCAGGGACCCGACGAGTTGTGGACAAGGGAGTCAGGTATTTCCCCAAGCTCCTCCTGGAACCGATCTGGGTCCATTAGGCGCCTGGGGCGGAACCACCTAGTCGGCTCCCTCTCCCTGCGATGGGGGAGTGATGCTCTGAAGTCCAGCCTCAATAGGAAATGATCTGTCCATGACAAGGGCGAGATCTCTATTCCCCTTAATTCCAGATCATGTCTCCATTGCCCCGAGAGAAACACAAGGTCGAGTGTGTGACCACCCCTATGGGTCGGATCCTGAATTACCTGGGTCAGGTCCATGGTTGCCATGGAAGCCATGAACTCCTGCGCCGCCTCTGAGCGATCGCCGAGTGATGGTAGGTTAAAGTCCCCCAGTACTATAAGTCTGGGGAACTCCACCGCCAACCCGGCTACTGACTCCAGCAACGCAGGCAGGGCTGTTGCAACGCAGCTGGGAGGTAGGTACGTCAGCAACAAGCCCAACTGAACCCGTGAACCCAACTTCAATAGGAGGGACTCACACCCAACAACCTCCGGGGCAGGAATCCCACGAGGACTCAAGGACTTCCGAGCGATGACTGCCACTCCCCCACCCCTGCCCTGATGTCGAGGCTGATGAAGCACCACAAACCCGTCCGGGCACATCTCCGAGAGGGAGACACCCCCCTCAGGGCCCAGCCAGGTTTCGGTTATACATGCCAGGTCCGCCCCGCTGTCCAATATTAAATCACGGACAAGGGGGGCTTTGCTGACAACGGACCTGGCATTAAGCAACAGCAGCCTACAATTAGGGCCCTGTACTCCCCTGTCACCAGTACTACAGGATGAGCCTTTTGAGGGGCCGGAACAAGGAATCGCTCTAACATAGCGGGTCCTTGTTCCCCGAAGATGGCCTGCCCCTCGGCTCCCGCCATATCTGCCCATCCCAGTCATGACCGGGATGCTCCGACCTTCTCCCCTCCCCGGAGTACCCCCACCCTCACCAGCCTTCTCCCTTCCTGACCGGACTCGCTTTCCATACAAACCAAGCCCAAGGGTAAGTCCTGCCCCCCCTACTTTTGCTATTGCACTCAGCAGAGGGGGTACCAGGCTCCACCCCCGACTCCACCATTCTCATACCCCAAACACTCAATACACATTCACACTCAATTAATATACATAAAAATAAAAGTATTCACATTCATACGCCCTAAATACAATAATAAAATTTACACATAACAGGGCCACCATTCATCTACATACATACTCACACCCATAACAAACAGACGTTCTCTAAAAATGGTATTGCCCCTCTGTGTCCCAGGCTAGTCCAGTGTGGCCGGCTAGGTGATCATTAGGTACTTGTTTTGGAGCAGACCGTACTTGGCCTTATGCTCCTCAAAGACCTAGGTCATGAGATTGTGGTTTCACAATCTCATGGCATAAGCCAGTTTCCTACATTCCAAAACTTGTCCATATCATGCTAAAGCCAACTCATTCATGTAATCAATAGGTGTGATCTTAATTTGTGTTAAAGTTTGTTTCAAAGCATGAAAGATAATGCTGCAAGATCATGCTTTGCCATTTCATAACTAGAAAGTGACATAATTTATAACCCTTAAATGCATTATCCTAAATTTCCAAATGATTAGACTATACATTAAATTACCTTTATTTTATTTTATAAAAGAAATATGTATGTATGTGTGTGTGTATGTATATATGTGTATATATGTACGTACGATTACTATTCTACCCACCAGACCTAATCCAGAGAGGAAATCCAACTCTAAATTCAGGATTCCAAATAATAAAACCATCTATCAGGAAGAGGGAAATTATTCACCGGCAACAAGCCAATTGTAAACAATCCCCACCCACACCACCCCTAGCAACTGTAACATCTGGATGGTACTTTCTGTACTCACATGTATAAGTTAAGCATCATGATATTCACTGGGGCTTACTCCCAGATAAGTGTACCTAATATTGTACACATTCATTTACTGCTATTAAATTGCTCTGAAGTAGGAATAATCAATTGTGGCTTGAATTAACTGTTAGGATTTTATTTACCCGCAAATTTGACATACCATAACATATTAGTGCATAATAGTTGGCGTTATCACTGAATCTTGCTGCATAATACTGGCATCTTTCTTTTCGTAAATTGCAAGTAATGCACTGCTTTGTTGTAGGATTTCTTCCAATATTAATTCTGTAAAAGAGGCAGATTTAGAGAAAAAAAATCAATTTACATCTAGAACAGAGTTCCCCAATCCTTCTGACTTTGTGGATCAACGCAGGGGCAGGGGGAGACTGGATGGTTCTGTGTGAGAGGCAGGCAAGCAGTATGTGTTCATGTGCCGGCAGCTCTATTTGCATGAGCAGCAAGCATGTGTGCCTGCTGCTCATGCAAATGGAGCACGCATGCATATGCTTGCCTGCTGCTCACGGAAGGGGAAAGGTATATCTGCGTGCTCACTCACCAGTTCGGGCAGCCCAATTTTGAACAGCTAATGGCCCAATAGTGGGCCATGGCCTGGAGATTGGGGACCCCTGATCTAGAAAGATGTTCCCAATCTCTATCAGTCTTTTCCGATGTTTCCTTACTATAGGGGATGTGGATTTGGATATGATGTTCATGTGGACTAGTATGTTAAAAGCTGCTTTTTTTTACCAAAATATAATCACTTTATTTGGAGCACTGGCCAGTATGCCTCCAATATGTCTAATATTACAGTATTAGATCCACCTTAATTCTCTCTATGTCTAAGAAATATGGAATAGTGATTATTCCTTGCAATCTATGACCCAAAGTAACTACATAGTTTTGATGAAGTTGGTAACTTGAAGTACTCTTTACTTTTTTACACTTAAATACTAATGTTTCTATTGCAGAAGTTTTCATAGCAACTTACTTGTAAATGTTTCTTCTTCCTGGGTAACCTTCAAATTCATTGCTTGAATAAAATCTGGAAGGCAACATCCATTAGCAAATAAATTATCCATTCATTATGGAATGAAATTATAAAATGTTACTTATTACGAAGGATTCGTAAGAAAATACTCAAAAAACATGAAAAGTTCCAGCCAGTCAGCAAATTCCCCTTCTTTCTAGATTCTTGTTTTCCCCAAAGCATTAGCCATTTTTGCCTACTAACTGAGGTTTGATTTACTTTCCTGCACAATTCTTTTATTTTCTTGTAAAACTTTGGATTTGCCAGCCCTTTGAAGTAGACAGGTTAGGAAACAGACACTGTAAGAACAAGGATGTAATAACAAAATTTTGAAAGCCTAATAGAGATTCTTGGTCCTTTCCCTCTGAAATCAAAGAGAATCAAGGCAGGGAAATCTTGAATTCTTTCTCACCCTTTCCTTCCTATCAGACTAAGCTGGTGCTTAACCAACAGCTGCTGAATTCCTTCTTCAAGGCTACCTCCATATTCCTGTACAGGATTCCCTGAAGCTGCTACTTTCATCTTTTTGTGTGGGAGGTATCAAATAAGTTTGCTATAAATATTTTATTAGGCTATTGGAGAAATGGACAATGGAATTTTTTAGAAACCCTAGAAGCTGCCTGCTCTTTTTGAAACCTGTACCTTGTTTTTTGGCTCTGATACAGAGGAAGAAACCAAATGCACTATTTCATTTTATTTTTATTTTTTTGCAATGTTTACAGAAAAAGGGAGCTTGGAAATCTCTCTCTTTCCCAGTATATATGAAGAACATTTGCAGGAATTGGGCATGTCTAGTTTGATGAAAAGAAGGAGTAGGGGTGATATGATTGTAGTGTTCCAATATCTCAGGGGCTGCCACAAAGAAGAGGGAGTCAAGCTATTCTCCAAGACACCTGAGACCAGGACAAGAAGCAAGAAACTGATCAAAGAGAGAACCAAAATAGAACTAAGGAGAAATTTCCTGACAGTTAGAACAAATAATCAATGGAGTGACTTGCCTCCAGAAGTTGTGGGTGCTTCAACACTGGAGTTTTTAAGAAGAGATTGGACAATGATTTGTCTGAAATGTTATGGAGTTTCCTGCTTGATCAGAGGGTTAGACTTGAAGACCTCTAAGGTCCCTTCCAACTCTGTTATTCTGTTATTTTTGCATGTAATACATTTATGCATGTTTCTTTTTGAGGGAGATACTTGCACTGCTCGTAAAATTATTTTATGTCTTAGAACAATCCATTATATACTTATTCAAAAATAAATTTTGCTGTATTATTTTGGGCATATACACATACACAGACATCTGTATTCTGAATTCCTATTCATTCAGAGACAAATTTAAGTTTCTATATTACACTCGACCATGGCTTGATTTATCAGTTTCCCAAATAAGCCAACATTGGCTGAATGTATATATCTTGCTAAGTCAGAAGCCAAGGCTAAGACCAAATAACTGAGGTCTCTCTGCTTTAGTTTTTAACTAGATCGGGGTAGGCAACCTTGGCTCTTTTATGACTCGTGGACTTCAACTCCCAGAATTCCTGAGCCAGCCATGCTGAGGGGAAAGGGAGAGGTTTCCAAGCTAAGCCATGCTGGCTCAGGAATTCTGGGAGTGGAAGTCCACAAGTCATAAAAGGGCCAAGGTTGCCTACCCCTGCACTAGATCAATATATGAGCCCTGATGGCATGGAGCTCCACGTCCTTCTCCGAAAGTCTTGTTCTCTACAAAAACTGATTATAAAAAAAAGGAGAAAAATGGAGCTGGGTTTCATTCAGTAAACAGTGGGACAATTTGATTATTGCTTCTTTATAGATGCTTTGTGTTCAAAGTCACATGGGGTTCCCAATAGATTGAAATCTGCTATTATGCCCGAATGAGTAAACAATGCAGAGCAAAGTATAATAGTGTTTATATTCTTGATTAAGATTCTATTAGATGCTTCTAGTCATGTCCAATGTTTATCACTGGATGCACAAGTTCAGAGGGGAAAATTCTTCTGTCTTTCCTCTGCAGGCTAAGCCTAACTTTAAGGCCTTTCCAGGCCATAGTGTTGAGGGGAATCCATTGTAACTAGTCATCTGGAATGACTCTCCAAGACCTTTAAAAATGGGATTCAGCTGCAAGGCTAATGGAAAAATCACTCTTGCATTCTTGCATATAATTTTCATTGACAGGTAACATAACCAACATACTGGGGATGTGGGATACTTACATTGCATCATCTGTTACTCTATAAATATATATGGCCTCCCACTCACCACTGGTGATCTGGATTGCCTTTTCCTACAAAAACAACATATTTAAAGTCAGATACTTCATTCCACAGCACATCTCGTGCAACATAGGTGAACTTTAGATTAATTCTTTGGTTGACCTACCACTGAGTCTTTGATGTAATGAATGTGTTTATAACCATTCTGGTCGCTAAAAATTTTGTAGTATGATATGGCGTCTGAAGTAAAATAGGGTGCTGAAACAAAGAACTGAGAGACAATAATAGACTGTAGGTGAAACAGAAACTAAAATTTTTGAGAAGTGAATGAAAATTAGGCAAACTATACTAAATATATTTTATACTACATATTTTACTGTATAAAACTTTACTATTTTATGTATTTATTAAAAATTTACTATTTACTAAATATATTTTACTATATTTGCTATAGTAAAGCTTTCTGACTTTACTGTTTTTTCCCTTATCCCATTGTGGAACATCTTTCATACTGCAGTGAAAACACATTCATTAAGGATTTACAATGTAACCAACATTTTTACTTGAAGGTAAGACCCAGCAGGTTCTCAAAATGATAATGATATCTATGGCATCCCCCTCCCCAAAATAAATTAAATAAAAAAAACAAATAAACAATGATAACACCAAAAGGGGAAAGAGCATAGAAGCCATACTCCACCAGTCCATCCTGTATGGCTCTCTTCTATGTGTTGCCGATTCTGTCAAATCAGAGAAAGTAACAAGGTTGAAATGTAAAACAGAAACCTGACATGTTAATGCTATAGAATTTTCAATCAGACAGAAAAATGAGAAAATGAGGACCTATCAAACATAGGTTACTTTCTCAGTAATGATTTGTAGCATCCTCTAATGCCATCATTGTATCAGCACAGCAATGGTCATTGGATAGCAAATCTTTGCGCTTAATACCAGAATATTCAATGATAGTCTAAAAGCATATTATGAACAATTCACTTTCCAAATATTTTAACAAAGCTTTCAAAGCAAAACTTTAGGTTACAGATGCCTCTTCCTTTGAAGTATGTCTTTGTAAAATTCATTTCATTAAACTAAATTAAAATATTTAATATATTTACCTATATAGTATGGCTGTAATATTATCATTATTTATCCTTCTTATTATCTTCTTTACTCCTATTATTATTATTACTACTACTATTACTACTACTACTATTATTATTATTATTATGTTACGTCATGTATACTGTGTGCTGTTGTATTAGACACAGATTCCTTGTGTGTTTAATCACACTTGGCCAAATAAAGTATTCAATTCAATTCAATAAACTCAAATGATAGATGCACAAACTTTTGTAGGATTCTGTAAGAATCTTGTTTAGTAACTTGACAGAGTGTAGCACGATTTATCAAGGTTGCAAGAATCTGGATGAGCATTAGATGGCAGCAAAAAATTCCAACCTTACTGCCATTGAGTGTTCGTGCAGAATTTTTAACACAGATATGGTAGCCTTGAGGAAGGTGACTATTTGAACTTGTATTCAATTTTTATTTATTGGGTGTGTATTTGCTGATTTGGTGATTTTTAGTATGAAGTTTAGAATCCTCTCTGGATTTGCAGAAAGTATTTCTTATCATTATTTGCTCACTGCAGCTTTATTATCTCCTAGTATATGAGAGAGTCCACATTGTTTACGCTTTATTACTTCCGGTTTAATCGGAAAACAAAGTATGAAATGGAAATTTATTCCCCTGAGATCTTTTCAGCAAACATAGCTTAATGGAGTTCTCCCATCTGTTCGCACTCCTGTTAACTAACCATTGGTGTGCAGAGTGATACGGTAAAAGCACTTTATAAACAGAAGATAATAGTGGTTTTATCCTCATCTTCCCTTAGGTGAGAACATGCTGAGGCATGCTATTTTTACTGCATTTTGGATCTTCTAGGGCAAAGATCATTTTGGCTCTGTATCTATCACAACTTTTCAGAGGGACAATCTTAAGATGAAATACCTATGTTTTTCATATAGCAACTTGAACTCTAATACTTATTCACACATCACGATAAGACCTAATATGGTTGATTTGAGTTTGGCATGACCATACTGCTTATAGTTTGTAGCCAATAATATATGACTTAATATATTTATAAACCAGGCCGCTAAGGATCAGCAGAGCCGCAGTCAAAGGTCAAAATGAAACAGAGGAGAAAAGGCTGTAATAGTGATGAGTAAAAACCAGCTCCATGTTCACACCATTAATAGGTACTAGCAATATTCTTTCTGGGATCAGATATTCACACAAGACAACTTAGGATCCCACCTTAATTTGAAAGCAATCTTTTTCCCTTTCCTTTTTCACAGTAACTATCCAGTTACAATGAGCGTTTACGACATTGTTCACTGATAGAGTTTTGACTTTAAATCTTACAATCAGTGTTTACCAAATTGTTCGCTGATAAGAGTTTTTACTTTAAATCTTAGCTTGATGGAAAAATACTACCTCTGGGCAATCCCAAGATCTGGAGTGGTAATTGTAGTCACAGATTGCTGACAGGGAGAAGTTCTGGATTCTTTTCAGCCACTGCACACAGATTCTGTCATCTCTTACCCAGGTAATCCATGTGACATAGTGATCGCTAGAGAAAAAGGGAAAAGAAGGGAATCAGTGAATACAGGAAAAAGACAAGAAGGAAACATACTATTGCATTAATAATATATCTATGATAGGTAGACCAGATTAATAATGTAGATATGGTAGACCAGGGCTTTTCAACCAGTGGTATGGGTACCACCTATGGTACATTGGCATCTAGCAGGTGGTACGCAACCATCCTAGAAAAGTGGTAGCGGGGGAGGGGAATGAGCTGAACCGGTGGGAGCACCGCACAAGCCTGGGCGACAGATGGCTGGAGCTGCAGGGCTGTCAGGACTCAGTGGAAGCGCCAGTATCAGTGCCGCTTTCCAGCTGATCGCTGCTTCTTTGGGGCTGTCAGGACTCAGTGGAAGCACCAGGATCAGCACCAGGCTCCAGCTGGAGCTCGGCACTGATCCTGGTGCTTTTGCTGAGCCCAGAAGAAGCTCCGATCAGCTGGAATGTTGCAGCATCTCCAGGGTCTTGTGATTTACATTCAGATGCTTGGCAACTGATTCATATTTATGACGGTCACAGTGTCCCAGGGTCATGGGAAGTGACCAAAACCTGCTGCAACCACCCAGCAGACGGGGGGAATAAAAACCAAACACTCCTACCCCACCCCCACTGCCAATCCTCAACAGAAATGCTCGCAACAATGAAAACCTCAGACAGGAGGAAGAGCATGGCCAGGCGGACAGGCAAGTGTCTTGCTCGGCTGTGGCTTGGGGGACAATTTTTTTCAGTGCCATTGTAACTTTGAACAGTCACTAAGCGAACTGTTGTAAGTCGAGGACAGCCTGTACTTTATCACTTTTTTCCTTTTTTTTCTTTGGTCATCAAGTTTTTGACACCTTCCTAGGCGTCTGGTGGTTCTCGGATGTTGCCATATCCTAAAAGTGGTACAATGGGTAAAAAGGTTGAAAAGCCCTGTGATAGACCATTAAAGCACCTCCCAAATTCTTTGAACAAGTGAGCCAGGCTCCTTAGCTCAGCACTCTTGTATTGCTATAACCAAGTGGTTGAAATGGTTTCTAACCTTAATGAGAATTACATTTTACATAGAAAGCAACATTCCCAGGAAAAATTTCCAAAGTCAAATCATTGAAAACAATTACTATCTGTTGAAAAAAAAGAGGAAACGATGATTTTAAGAAAATATTACCTTGCTGCTATGACTGGTGGTGCAAGTACTTCCTTCGGTCCAAAATCACTAGGATTTGTAGTATCTATAATCAACACTCTAACAGTTGGGTTTTTAGCTCCAGCCTTCAAGGAAAAGTAGCAACAAAGTGATTAAACTAACTTCTAATAACTTTAATTATAGTATTTAAATAAAAGAACTAAGTAAAGTTCTATAGCAGTGATGACAAACCCTTTAGAGACTGAGTGCCCAAACTGCAACCTAAATCCTACTTATTTATCTCTGGGTGCCAGGTGGGCATGGCCCACTGGGTGAGCGTGAATATGGTGGTCGTAGCAGATTGGGTGGGCGTGGCCAAGGTGGGCATAGTCACCTCAATGTTGCTCATGGGGAGGGATGCCTGTGGGGGGTGGGCATGGTTGGGGAAGATCCAGGGGTTCTCTTGCAGGTGGGGCGGTAGGCAGGAAGCTCATCCTGCGAGGTGAAGTGAGGCAGGGCGGGGGTCCCATTGCCATGGGGCAAGGCAAGGGCCGGGGCGGCAGCTGCCTGACACCATCGACCCCGCACACAGAGGCCAGTGAGTGAATGGGGGCTGATGGTGTCCGTCAGCAGCCACAGCCTGCCAGCCCCTCGACTGACGCACTCTGGGGCTCCACAGCCCGTCACCAGCAGTTCAAAGAAGCCACTTCTGAGCTAGATGGCCGGCCAACAGCTGAGGAGGTGATGCAGTGGGTTGTGCCCAGGAAAAGGAGAGCATGCGAGGCCAGGAGGGATGGGACGGGGGGAGGGAAACCAGCCATGCCAGGATGCATCTGGCCATGTGAGACCTCGGTGAGTTAGCAGGTAGCTGGTTGAAGAGGGACAGTTGCCATCTCCAGGGCATGGCGCACGTGCCCACAGAGAGGGCTCTGAGTGCTGCCTCTGGCACGTGTGCCATAGGTTCGCCACCACTGTTCTATAGAGTAAAGTTATTTTATTCATTTCAGGCACACATAGGGTCCTTTCCATTTCCAGACAATTTTGAATCCTGGTGAAAATGCATCTTACCTAGAAATTTATTTTGAGAAGTTTCAGTAGACTGGCACTCATTAACCCAGCCAATTGTAAACACTAAACAAATAATAATATAAAGATTATAATCTCAAGGGAGAAGTCTTCTACTCCATTGCCTTCAAAAGTATCAGAAGATATTTAAGATCTGCTACCTCAGATTCTATCTTCTTCCTTCTAGGTCAGCTGCCACCTTGAACATTACTAAGTATTTTCAATAGGAGGTATATGTGAAAGCAGTGGTGGGATTCAAATATGTGAACTGTGTGGATGCCACTTCCGGAAGTCCATTCTGGGCCTGGGCAACAAAAAATTAGCTACCGGTTCTGCCAAAGTGGTGTGAACCGGCTTAACCCCACCACTGTGTGAAGGGAAATGATTAGGTCCTTCAGAATGTTACTGTGGTACCTTGGTACTCAGTTCCTTTGAAACTCATTGAATTTGAAACTCATATTCAACACATTTTGACATAAAAATTTGTCCCAGTACTCATCTTTTGTTTGGTATTCAACGTACAAGCTAGACCATATCAGCATTGGCTGCCTTGTGACTCATACATTATACCTTATTGGGAAAATTTGTTTGGTACTCATTGTTTTTTGTATTCATCGCACCTCCTGGAACCAATTAATGATGAGTACCCAGTTACCACTGTATTCTAATAATACAGGATACACAAGCTGGATTTCTATTTAGGATAAACATAAGCTACCCTTATTGCCATCCTAAAAGCTGTATTTATTTTAGATTTGTATTGGTTTTTTTCCACCAAAAGCTACAAGCAGAGGCTCATGACATTATGACAGCACCAAAGGGAGAGCTCTTCCCATTCTGTTTTCATTTTGGAGGGGTAGGGGGTTATGTTTTATAGGTGCATTAAACTAACTGCAAAGGTAATGCATCTATTTTATTTCATTTTCTACAGAAAACAAGCAGGAATCACATTTTACAATTTGTTGGTTGGCTGTCATACTTCAGGAATGTGATCTTGAGTGGGGGAAGCTATAGGATTGAGACTCTTAGGCTTCAAGTCACCTACTCCCTTTTAAAAAGCTTTTCAATTATACTACTTAGTGGTGTTTTTTTTTTTTAAAAAAGTCAGTAGTTACATTTGATTTAGCTATTTAATGTTCAAATATACAACAGAGCCGAGTTTAATGCTAAAAGGAAAATAAATAAACAAGCACATCTACCTTTGGATATGGAAGAGTTATTTTTCTAGGATATTGATTCTTGCCATAATATGAATATTCAATAGCTGGTATTTCAGTATCATTGAACTCTATGTATGCTATGTTCTTGCCATTTGGTGACCACCACAGAGCATATTTTGTTGCAAGCATTTCTTCTAAAAGAAACCACGTTAAAGAACATTGTTGTTTGGTTGCAAAATTGTACAATATACTACAGGATGTAGTGCTATCTTTAAAACCATGCCAGTATTTTGAACTACCTCCATAACCGTAAAACCATTGATCTGACAGATCACCAGGCAGTTTTGGGGTAGCTGAGGAAGAGAAAGCAGAATCACAGAGAAGTAACTATGAAATGCTGGAAAGGGAGAAAAATCTTAGCAGAGAACTATCAGCTCATTTGTGGGAAAGCTGGTCAAAAGCCAAAACCTAACAGTTGCCTTAGAATGGTTGGACAGATTTGAGGGCAAGAAGAGAACAGTTTTTCATTTTTTGTGTGTCTTCTAATCCAGGTGAATATCGATCTAAAGATGTAAATAACCCAGAATAAAATGATTTCACTGAACTGCTTCACAGAAATGAAGGCTGGCATCCAATTAATAAGCACAGGGGGAATAAATAGCACAAAAGTGCCTTGGTTGTAATCACACTTTCCAGAGGGCTATAAATGGGAAAATATCTCTCTTTCCTTCTAGGTGTTTGTGGCTCATGATTGTGTTACAAGTGCCATAGATAATGCACATATTCATTCTCATGAGTTCAATGAGCAATAACAATATTCTGAATAGCTCTCACCATGTGGTGCCTTGCTGATTGAAGTATAGATCTTATCCTAGTTTCACTAAGAGTTATTTATTTATTTATTTTGGTCTTTATTGTCAGATTTCCTGGGGAAGCAAGTTAAGACCATAATTCTTCATCTTTACAATTTCTTGTTGAATTTATATGAATTCACTAACTGTGTCACATCTTACCTCCATCTTTGCACACAGATATTGAGTGGTGGGGGAAGGGGAGGGAAATTCATTGATTTTATATATGATCAAAACTGAATTTACACTTTCCAAACTAATATGTAATATGGAACAAAAGTATCTTGATACATACATGCACATACACACACACACACACACACACACACACACACGCGGTGTATGAATTTTCATTCAGATTCTTTTAACTTAAAAAGCTCCAACCAAGTTAAGCCTTTCTTGTGTCTAGGAAGGTCTCTCCAATCTCCATTCCTAGAAACTCTTACTGATTAGGCTTGGTCCAAGACCACTAGTTGCTGATCCCTAAAACAGTTACTTTGTTCAGTAATCTAACATGTTAACTTTCAAAACATACTGAGTAGGATCAGCCTGTGGCCCTATATAGATTCAAAAGGAATGAGCTCAAGCAGAGATTCTCTTTAAAGAAAGGAATGCTCCCCCATGTCTATAATGGGATTGTTCCAGGCGACTTCTTGTCTCATAAGATGATACTTTTTGCAAGAAGCCATGAAAAAGAAATCATCTCCTCTCCCTTCCAAAAATGGAAGCAAGCAATGAGTCAAGTTCTACCTACTTCAGGCCTGGAGCCATTCCACGGATTTCTCCAGGTTTTCAGAATTTACTTCTCACCTCTCTAATGCAATTTTGCATTTAGTTCATAACTGCGCCTTTTTATTCTATTCGCTTTGATCGACACGGTCTTTTAGAAAGAAAACTACAACAAACTGTCTCCTAATAATGCAGATACACAAGATGCAAGAGTCTCTTAAACTAAATACAAAAAATAATTTTACAACTAACATCTGATGAAGCCTATTTTGAGACAAAGTATTTTTTGCCACAAGGAGGAAAAATGATATGACAGAAAAATATGAAAAATGGAAGAGACAGGATGTTGAGCAACTGTAGACTTTGTGGAAAATATTAACACAACAATAATTTATAAAGAACAGATTTTGACTCTTGTTTGGGGGCACTGCATTACTTTATTGCTCAAGTCTTATCATACTAAGTCATAACACTGCTTTTAAAAGGCAGTTTACCTTCATAAACCCAATCAGGAATTCCGTTAAATATTTCATTCCAGTAACCATTTGTGGTTATTTGAATAGCAGCTTCTCTGGGATCTTGTTTGAAATAGATATTATTCTGGTAAACATAAGCCTAGAAGGAGGGGAAAAATCAATTTCTTTATCTGTCTAAGGTACAAATGATTTATGCAATCCAAAAATACTATATAGAATTGCTAAATATGGGACTCACTTCAAAATCATTCCTTACAAACATTTATCTTTGCAGAAGGAAAGTGTTTCAGTTTTATTTTCCAGGCCACAGAGAAGAATCTCTGGAGAATCATGCACTGAAAATACGCCGGAAAATACGGTATATCTAACTTGAGACAAGCAAAAGTGTGTCTCCCTAGAACAAGCAATAACAGATCCATCCTGAAGTGCATACTTTCTCTTAAAGCACAGTTCTAACATAGCATCTAGCTCTGTCTACTAATGGTGCTATTGTCAATATTTAAAATTCTTAAGTATTCTTGATAAACAGAAATAAGTGATGCCTGAAAAAACACTGAAGGCACAACAGACTCAACCAGAAGGAATATTATTGTGACACTGCATTAATTACTGACCAATTTGTGACCAACAGGTGACCAGGAGATATGCTGGATATTATGTGGTAGCTCATATTCTTTGACAAAAACACTACAATGGAAAAAAAATCATGGAATGACATAGGGTTTTCTTAATTCATATTTCTAATTAATTATGCAGTGTTTACATGAAATTTAAAACTTGTACTTTTAGGAAAGTTGATGAATGCTCCCCTAAACATTCTTTATTGTTCATTTTTTATTGGTGAGTGTATCTGTTGACATGATGTTTTGGTGATGTTGATACAGACTGTTAGAATCTGAACTTTTTGATATCCAAAACACTCTGGGATTATTATTCTATTTAATAGGAAACCACAAAGGAAATAAAAGGTGCTACAAAAGTCTATAAGAAGCCCACAAACAAGACACAAGTAGAATGAAACATTCTGTAGACATTTCCCAGTTACAGCTATTGAACCATACATTTATTTATTTAAGAAAATTTGTATGATAGTTTCTTGGTCTTTTTTTAAGCTCTTGGTTGTTTTCTTGCAGATATTTCATTACTCAAACTAGATAACATCATCAGTGCGAGTGGGAAATCCTTGCCAAACTATTACTTCATTAGTTGTGAATTCTGACAACAATTTTAGGTCCAGCCCAGTGAAGGCTGCCTTTAAGTGACTGATAAACAGTTTAAAAGGAGAACAAAATGAAGCACTCCAATAGATGTTTGGAAATATCACTAGAGATAACAGCTCTGTTGGAAATCTATTTTCTTAAATGATTTATTGGGTTTCAAAAAGAACATCACATCAACTTAAACGTTACTAAAATTTTAATCAACAGGAAAATAAATCTGTCTTACCCTAATATAAGATCATAAATGTGATAGGATGCTGTGTAAGAATACCTCCAAAGCTGAAAAGATTACAATGAGGAGAGAAAAATCATTATTTTTACTAAATATAAAATAGTTTATCTAATCTTCATCAGGCTTTTTCCTGAGGTTGTCATTCCACTCACTATCTCAGTTTTATAAAAGACAATGCAATCAGGTAAGCAATTTTCACAAAAACTCTGTGAGGATCCACCGTGGTACTAACTTAGGAGCAGTCATCATTGTTTTTCAGTCATGAAGAAGCTTTTCAAAATGCTTTTTACTGATGTAAAGAATATCTCCAGAAAAGGAACCAATTTCTCATTTTGTGATTTAGACCAGGGCTTTTCAACCAGTGGTACGGGTACCATCTGTGGTACATTGGCACCTGGCAGATGGTACGCAACCATCCTAGAAAAGTGGTAGCGGGGGAGGGGAATGAGCTGAACCGGTGGCAGCACCACACAAGCCTGAGTGACAGATGGCTGGAGCTGCAGGGCTGTCAGGGCTCAGTGGAAGCGCCAGAATCAGTGTTGCTTTCCAGCTGATCGGCGCTTCTTTGGGGCTGTCAGGGCTCAGTGGAAGCACCAGGATCAGTGCCAGGCTCCAGCTAGAGCTCAGCACTGATCCTGGTGCTTCTGCTGAGCCCTGAAGAAGCAGCAATCAGCTGGAATGTTGCAGCATCTCCGGGGTCTTGTGATTTACATTCAGATGCTTGGCAACTGATTCATATTTATGACGGTCACAGTGTCCCAGGGTCATGGGAAGTGACCAAAACCTGCTGCAACCACCCAGCAGACGGGGGAATAAAAACCAAACACCCCCACCCCACCCCCGTTGCCAATCCTCAACAGAAATGCTCGCAACAATGAAAACCTCGGACAGGGGAAGAGCGTGGCCAGGCGGACAGGCAAGTGTCTTGCTTGGCTGTGGCTTGGGGGGCAATTTTTTCAGTGCCATTGCAACTTCAAACAGTCACTAAGCGAACTGTTGTAAGTTGAGGACTACCTGTACTTTATCACTTTTTTCCTTTTTTTTAGGGGTCATCAAGTTTTTGACACCTTCCTAGGTGTCTGGTGGTACTCAGATGTTGCCATATCCTAAAAGTGGTACAATGGGTAAAAAGATTGAAAAGCCCTGATTTAGACATTGAACAGCATTATGATTATGGAATCTTGATGGGCGTGACAATATACTGTATATGGTTAGCTATTCTTAAATTTTGTGTGGCTGCCATGGAATTTTATCATTACTTGGAAGGTTTTTCAAATGTGGAACATAATAAGCTGCTGTAAGAGGAGTGGCAGCCTCTGGGGGGTGGAGTCAAAAGAGGGATCAGTCTAGAATTTCTATGTAGCTACAGCCAAACTAAACCAAACCTCCCTTGAATTACATTAACCTTCAACTAACTCCAAGCAGCTGCTAACCGTTAATTAAGAAGATTCCTGTGTGCAACATTATTAGCAGTAAATCAATTTAATTGGAACTTGTGTGGACCTAGACTTTCATGCCTACATACTGTACATTCCAATGTGTAATAACCCCGTGCAAGTACCCATGCAAGTGGTAAAAGAATAAAAGTGAACACATGCAGATAAGCGCTATTTTCACCATGCCACCCCTCTCAGCACCATGACCCACGCCCTGTGGAGAGGAAGGTTCTGTTTCTGTTCCCATTTTCCCGAACACAGATCCAAACGCAATCAGAAGTCTGCTTTCTTGGACATAAAATGAAGTGCCCTTTATATCTTATGTGTTAATATGGCATAAATGTGATCAGGTAGGGATAGGACACTGGAAGCAAGATTTGTGTCCATGTGTGTTCATGAAAGTGTGCACTTTGGCCCTTTCTCCCCATCCTTTAGCCAAGCTGAATTTATTTATTTAAAAATTATTTATTTATTACATTTGTATGCTGCTCATATCACTGTCCCGAATAAATGCTTGCACAAAGCTAGTGGAATCTTCTGGGTGACACATAATGCTGTTTAATTTCCACAGTGGCTGCTCTCTGGGTACATAACTTGCAAGGGGACAAAAGAACAAGACAGGGTTTCTAGTAAAATTATTAATTCTCTTACCAAATTAATGACGGAGCCAAGGGTCTAGCTTTCCTCTCCATTCAATTCATCTCTTAAGAGCTTATCTACCTATCCCTCAGGCCCTAGGAAATCTCTTCAAGATTAGAAGACAGTGCACAAGAGCCAATCTGGCAGGGATGAAGGGCTGATTGTTTACCCAAAGCAAAATATGAGAAATCTCTGCTGTCTACTTTGCAATAATGATTGTTTTATTATGGAGACTAAGATTGAAAGGATGATGAAGGAATAAATTAAGGCCTTGCTTCAACTTCCTTTCCCAATGAATTCCTTCAATAAATTTTTGTTAATGCCCTGAATGTAATAGAATACCAATCCCAACTTTTTTTTTAAAAAAAAAAAAATTACCTTAGAATAATTGCTTTCCAATAGTATAAAATTCTGATCTGCGGACATTGCATAATTTGTAGCATTCACTTCTTTCTGAAAGATTAAAGCATCAAATAGTAGCCAATACACAACCATCACTTAGATAAATTAATTCATCAATTTTGAAATAGCAGGCATACGTACAACAGTGCTATTTTTCAAGATAGTGACCGACTGCCCTGATTCGACATTGTGAAGGATGACATCATCTTTAGATTGATGAAGATATTCCTTTCCTTAAATGGAAAGAGAAATGGGATTGTTCAATAAATTTCATGGAAATGCTATCTTGTTGCATATCTCAGGCAATCATGCATTTAATTGCTTATTCAAAACTATAGGCAAGGAATTCTAATGTAAGTAAAAAGGAGGAAAGGTAAAAGTTAAAAAATGGTGCTTTGATTTTGTAATTCTGAACAGTCAAAAATGACATCAAAACTGAGAAAAATCAAATATATGCAGAGATTAAAAAAAATCTCAAATGCTCTTGGTAGAGATAGGAAATAAATTGATTCAGCTCACAACTGAAGGTAAATTTTGCATTGTTGCTCTAACTTATACCTAAACTTTTAAAATTTGATTGATGTCCTATTTTTGTACTAGGGCGAGTACTTGATTATTATTAATGCTTCTTTAATATTTTGCATTGTAATTCATACACACACACACACACACACACACACACACACACACACACACATATATATATATATATATATATATATATATATATATATATATATGTAGGTCTTTGGTTGTTCGGGTTTTCTCCCGCGTAAAATTGGAAGTGTCTTGGCGACGTTTCGACGAAGTCCCATTCGTCATCTTCAGGCTGGTGTTTTCGGCTTTGTGCTCCTAGAACCACGAAGCCGAAAACACCAGCCTGAAGATGACGAATGGGACTTCGTCAAAACGTCGCCAAGACACTTCCAATTTTATGCGGGAGAAAACCCGAATAACCAAAGACCTACATATATATATAATGTGATATATAATGTGAATCCCAGGCATATTCATATTAAGAGGAGGGGCCAATTACGCGCTCAATGAGCAGAGCGCAAAAACAACTAGTTTTATAAGCAGACTCTCTAAACTTCCAGCTTTTACTCTCTCTATATATATATATGAAAAAATCTACATAAAAATACATATACTCATGAAAACAATGTATAACATTTATACTGGGGCTTTTTAAAATAAAAACTGAATATTCATCTAAATTGCAAGTCCATTAAAATCCGTACCAAATGCATAACATATGACAATTTTAACTTTATGCAAAAATAAAACAGAACATAAATTGACACATCATCCCTATTTTTGTCTTCTATAATGTAACTGCTTTATAAAAATAAGCAAAGAAAAAATAATTCATTAGTATCAGGCAATTTGCCTACACCGAAAAAAAATAAATCATGCAAATGATGTTGCTTATTGTTTTAAAAGCCTCAGAGATTATGAAACACTGAATTAGGAATTAAGTTTTTAGACTAATTATTTAGGTTCTGTTCAAGTCTAGAAACTCTGTGGTTTTAAATAAAATACTCCAGAGAATGGCAGATTTAGCAGTTCTGGGCATTTGTTAACACTTCTTAGCTGTATACATTTGTAGAAGAATCATGATTATTCAGGGAAGCAAGATCATCATCATCATCTTCATATCACATGTAAATTGTTCCTCACAAATAACTTTTGGGTTTTATACACATATGCTTCAATGGTTTTATCTACAATTATCTTGGAAGCAAATCTTACGGATCTTGGATCCTCAATGATTCTTTAATATCACTGCTAATTATCTCAAGTCTTTCAATTCTCTGTACATTTTAAATAGGCTTATTGATTTAGTCAATTGTTTGAGTTACCATGCACTCTGCCCCTCCACTATCTTTGCACTACTGAGGTTAAGTAACCACAACTGAAGCCCAAACAATTCCATAAAATAAAAAAATAAAGATTAAAAAAGCATTCCATGTTCCATCACTGCCCCATATTATCCTGTAATTCCAAATTAATTTCACGTACCTGAAACCCAGTATGGAGAAAAGGTGTTATAATTAAAATCTCCATCTAAATACTCATCCAGTGTAAGTGGTCTGGGATTATTTCGTTTGTGTTCATCTTCAGAAACGAGACAAAGACGATAGATTAACAACAGTTCACACAATACAGAGAAATTGCACCTAGAATGCTATATATATATATTTTTTTTTTTGCTTTTTGAATTGGTAGCAATTTCAGGTTCATGGAGGTATATTAAAAAGAAATCAAGTAGGAAAAGTATGTAAGATCGAAATGATGCAAGATGTGCAATCCTCAACTCATTTGAAAAATAAGCCTAGTTGTTTGAGGGCCACTTATCTTTGATTGGTTTTGCCCAGTAAGATTGGGCAGAATGTGTATGCTCCAGGTTGACTCAATTAAATAATGTCTTTTATCAGAACCTAGGAAGCATGAATCATCTGTTATTATACCTTCCTTATGGAATAGCATTCTGCTAGAAGTCTGCTTGGATTTAGCTTCAAAAATCCCTGGAAGGTTGGCTAGCCACCCAGGCCTTGGGGCAGAGTGGTGCTGAGTCCCTTCTTGTTACAGTATATATTCTGGATGCCCATGATCTATTTTTTAAAAATTATATTGTTTTCTTATTTTTAAAGGGTAAGCTACTCAGAGATGTTTGGAATCCAGCAGACTTTAAATTATTTCTGGAATGCTATTTCTGTAAGTTGAATAATGTTGAATGCTTAATGTTAAAAAATGCATTTCCAACATTTGATAAAGATGGTTTTTAGCATCTGAATGGCAATCACTCAAGGCTAATAGCATGAAACGTTTACAATGTGCACACCACTAGCAACATGAAACTTTGGCTCGTGCATTTCAAATAGTGGAGAAATGCATGTATTATGGACCTCAACAAAAGTACCCCGAGATTCACATATGTGTTAACATCAGCAGTCAATAGATTCCAGGTGTTCAAAATATTATGGGAAAATCATGACATTATTTTGGCATGGATGAGTATTAGAAAATCAGATGGAATTCCATTTTTGTTTTTCTTTGCGGAATACTTTTGCTATACTGTAAATATATATAAGAAGAACGAGGAAAGTCACTGATGAACAGTACAGTTGAATAGCCAGAAATCCAGTACTTGCCATTCTTGTAGTTTTGCCATGATTGTCCTTGGTTTACTCAATCAGAATTGTACTGTATATATTGTTGTATTTAACTAATACAATGATGGCAGATAGCTCTGCTTTGCGGTTCCACATTTTCACTTTTTTGCAAAAACCAGGAGTCATTTTCATAAAGCAGCAAACTCTTGTGAAGGTTGGGGGTGGGTGGGAGTGAAGGATAAACATTGGACAGCAACCCTCTAACCTAAAGTTTCAGAAAGATGCCTGTTTATCTTGAAATTAACCAGGCTAAATACACAAAGCAATAATTCACCAAGAACACCAAGAAAAAGTTCTATTAAGAAATAGATTCTAGGGAACGGATTCTGAAATTGTTACAATTTCCTGCAACAAATCATGCAATCTGTTGCATCAGCCATTTCATCAGGAGCTCGGGAAGGAAAACAGACACAAATTAGACTCTGCATTCTCTTTCAATAGTCATGTGAGCCAGTCTTTCTATTATAATCACAGGGTCACTTGCTAATACATGTTATTATCCTTAAGCTCTGAATAATTTATTGTCCTGCATAAATTACTGTTACATGCTTATTTGTGGAAACTTCTGTTCCTTGCCTCTCATGTGACTGATGATTCAGAAAGCTTAGGGAATTTCATCATGTTTATAAAAAAAAACCAGTGGTTCGGAAGACAAAGCATAAAGGGATGCAATTTGATGCAACAGTACCATACATGGATGGTGCAACTGCACGTGTAAACACAGGCACATCCATTATGCTGTTTCTTTTCATTATGCAGAGTTTGGAGAAGGGGTAAGAAATAGCCAGGAGTAAGAAATTAAAGGCATGGTATAAGAAAAAGAACATGAAATGTAATTTAAACTAGTTTAAACCAAATACATTTCATAATTTGTACTTCTCCAATCTTTTCTATTGTTGCAAACTCTCACTGATTTCCCTCATCTCCATACACAGTTTCATATGTTGCCTTTAAGCTTCTCACCTTTCTATTTTTTTAAGACCTCATCATCTCTCATATTATATTATATGTCATATAATATATGTGGGTTTTATGCATAATTCTGTATTTATTTATTTATTTATTTATTTATTTATTTATTTATTTATGTCCTATTTATGTGTGTGTATAGATGATGGTGTCCCTTTGAGAGCTGAATGCAATGAAATTTCATTTTGATATATGCCAATTAGTGTACTTTCAAAGTGACGACACAGTTATTATTCTATTCTATTATTCTATTCAACCATGACTTCCCGTTTTCCTCTTCTCCTCAATCCATTCATTCTTCCTTCACATATTTGTTTTATAATTTGATCAAATATGAATAATTTTGTTGTATAACTTAAAACAAATTTGTTTTAATATAAAACAAATTTGAACAATCATCAAATTATAAAACAAATGTATTCAAACACAAACAAATATGACAATCAATCAAATATAACCAATCACCTCAAATGTTCTTAAACAAAAACAAATATGACCAAGCACCTCAACTTATTTCTTTTGTTCTAATCACTCCTGAATTTATTCATATTCATCCATACATCACCAATTTATGCTTGACACTGCTTTTTCTTATTTTGCACACACGCACTTCTTCAATTTCCCATTTCCTTGGCTTTTAACTTACTTCTATGTTTCTCCTAGCAAACCTGACTCTCACTTCTATATAAAAAGGCAGTAGAAGCACGTTATTATGCATAGCTAATTGTGCTTCTTTTGAAAAGGATTCAATTCTTATTCATTTCCCCATCTTTAATAAAGAATTCACCCAACATTTTCTGGCATGCTGTAATATTATTCTTTTCACTAAGTTCCAAAGCAGCTTTCAACATCCTTCTTTTCTATATCCACTTCCCATTTGTTCTATTGGAAAATTTATCTTCCCCTATACTTTTGTCATAGACAACTCATACTTTCCATTCCAGTGTGGTTTTACTTCAATTTATTTTCTCTCATGTCAATTTCCCATAAAATCTACTCCAAAAATGTCTACATTCTTTACCAGTCACCATTCTGGTATCTTTATTTGAATTTCTCAAATTTTGATAATAAACAACCAAATCAATAATCCTTTAGAATTATAGTCATTTCTTTGAATTAACTAATGCTTGTATCAATATTCAAAACAAACTTTTTTCTGAACAAATACTCACCAAAGAGTCATCGTTCTCATTCATTCTTGGGTCCCTAAATGATTCAATAACTTTTCTGTTCTCTCTATACTTACTACTATTAATATTCCATATCACCTAGCAATGTTTCATCTATGGACTATGTTGATTCTGAGCACTGCACAATTTCTCCCAGAATTCATCTTTGATTCTTTCATTCCTGGAGCATAACATGCAATTACTGCCAACCTATAGATTTATCCTTTCATATCCACTCTCAACAACCTTGAGGAACACCAATTCATATATTCTGACATATATCTGAGCTTTTTCTTTCATAATGAAACCTGTACCTTCACTTCCTCACATGTGCTCATCAACTTCACTCCAAAGGACCAAAGATCCTAGTTTAGCTCTGCACAAACTTCCTTTTCCCTTTAGTTTTGCAGATACGTAACAAATCTATGTTTTTTGGTATGGTGGCACAGTGGTTAGAATGCAGTATTGCAGGCTAACTCACTGCTCATTGCCAGGAGTTTGATTCTGACCAGCTCAAAGTTAACTAAGCCTTCCATCCTTCCGAAGTCAGTAAAATCAGGACCCAAATTGTTGGGAACAATATGCTGACTCTGTAAACTGCTTAGAGAGGGCTGTAAAGCACTGTGAAGCAATATATAAGTCTAAGTGCTATTGCTATGTTTTCCATTATGTTTGTTAATTTATGCTATTTAGTGCACTTCCATTCGGTAACAATCTTCCATATGCCATGCTCAGCACCAGTTGAGTCCATCAGCTGTATCCTCCAGGTGCTTATCATGACTTTGTCATTCAAGGTTTTCACATAATATTTTTATTATCAGCCCTAGCAGTCTAACACAGCTTTCCTAGCTTAACGGCAAGGACAATGCCAGTCAATTTGGACACATCAGTGTACAATTTGGCCACAAGAGTAACCAAAGCCCTGACTTATCCTAAGCAGGCTCAAGCTGTTTTATACTTTTTCTCGATCAAAAGACTATACCATAAGCCAATATACTGTTACCTGCATCTCCCCTACCATATAGGAAGGATATGCAGTGTATTGGCACACCTTAGGAGAAACATCGAAAACAAATTACCAGTGCTATTGGGTTAGTAAACACCATCACCTCTTGAAGGAGTTCCATTCTAGCCTATCCTTGAAAACTCAACATGAAAACTAAGCCTTAAGGGTAGGAACCCACCTCAACCAGAGGCTCTTTAACTCTACCCAAGATGCAATGAAGAAAGAAGAATTTGTAGCTTCTTGTGGTTCTTTCATGCAAGAAAAGCATAGGTCAGCTCATGGCTGTGCACTGACACTTCCTCTAGACCAGATGCAAAGTGGAATGAACAGTGATTCCTCCCTTTCCAGTTTTGTGAACTCTCTTCTGCTCTGATTTATTCCTAAAAAAGCACAATTCAAATGTAAAAGGTATTGATCATGGGCAAATTCCACTTGAATTTGCACTGTCATATGCTGCAAATCTAAGAAGTTGTGTAGTGACAAAGCTCATTAGAGCCTTGATTAATATTCTGCCTTTATATCATGAAGCAACTGCAACTACCAACAACTATTAGAAATCAGGGGTATTCCTGGATGAATAAGGTTTTTTAAAAAAAGCCAAGATGGCAATCATGATTACACAATAAAAACTCTGCCCCCTTTTTAACATGCACTGCATGTGTGATGTCTGTAAAAAGGACAGACTTCTATTGTGTCGCTTTGGCCACCACCTTGACTTTGTGACCCCCCCCCCCACACTGGGGCACTTGTTACTGGTGCTTGTTTTATTATTTTTACTTTGGTAAAGAATATTATTCTCTTTTTGAATTAAATTAGGGCTTCTTCCCAAATATAACATAAGGTTAACTGAAGAGAAGAAGGAATCCATAATTCCACTTAATATAGATCTAAACTTCTCCTACAGCCTCTCTACTCTCTACAATCACTTTTAACTATTAGCTCCTTCACACCTTTCTGGTTTAATGACTGTTGCCCTTTGCAATACAAAAGCATCTTAAATTTAACAGGTGTGTGAGCATATCTATGTTTTTGTAAATGATAAGGCTTGGATTCTTCCTCCTCAAATAAATAACTATTAGTTACTATAGAATAAACATGTCACTTCCATTGTTGATACAGCTCCTCACCAGCACTAATGCAGAAAAAAAACTGTCAAGACAAATAAACACAAAAGGGAATTTAGATACCCAAATATCACTATCATATCAAAACAGATGCACTGCACCTGACAAGAACTGGGAAGAATATATTTGGAAAATGACAGGCTCAACTTATCAGAGGGCTTTAAACTAAAATTGGTGTGTGTGTGTGAGAGAGAGACCAATCTTTAGGACCTAATTCCAAGCAAAAACCCCTAGACATCCAACGAAACTAGGAGGTAGGGAGCAAAGGGAAGGGAAGGAAGAAAAATTCAGATGCAAAGTAGGAGATGTAGGAAGATCAGCCATAAAGTACTCAGATGCCTGTACACTAATGTTCAAAATTCAGGGAACAAACAGGGTGAATTTGAAATACTGCTACATAAGGGCAGGTGTGAAATAGTTGCCAATCCTCAAACTTGGTGGGATGAAACCCATGACTAGAATGTACTGACAGAAGGATACAAACCATTCAAAAGAAACAGACCTAACCCAACCTTGAGCTGGTGAGAATCGAACTGCCAAACTGCTGGCAGCTGGCAGTCAGCAGAAGTAGCCTGCAGTACTGCATTCTAACCACTGCGACACCACAAGTCCTAAAACCACTGATGAGATTCAGTTATTTTTGGTTCCAGCCACTACGGGGCTGAAATATTGGTATTTTAGAACTGTCTGCAATTAACAAAAAGAGACTGCATGCAGAATTATTAACACTTAAATACTTTTTAGCTCACTTCCAGCAATGAAATTTGTAGTGAGTTGGCAGATAGGCTTTGCATGCCTGCCAAAGGTTCCAGATTCCAGAATCATCACTTAAGAGTTTCACCCATGGAACCTCTTGGCAATGAGAAAAGATGAATTAGAATCTGCTAGAACTGTTCAAAGTAGCACTTAATGCTTCTTCCCAGACAACATTAATTTGGGTCAAACAGACACCGGCACAGCTGAAGAGGTTTAAGGTCTGTATATTATACAGTATATAAATATAGAACTACTACAAGAGGTTTTTTTCCCCCTGCTAAATATACTGCTTATACCAATATAGCAAATTTTAAATAATAGCCTAATGAAAAATGCAGCTGTGTATGGGTGGGTATGCACGTGCATACTTCTTTAGTAAGTGGTTTTAATTTCCTTTTTTAAAGGCTGTCTCAAGTCTTCATGGAAAAAATGAACTGTTTTCTGAACTTTTTTTAAAAAGAGGAATGATCTCAAGTACCCAATGATTTGACTCAAATCTGCACGAGGAAGGCACGAGGTGTATGTGAAGTAAAAAGTTGGGTAAGAAAGATGAGCCATATTAAAACTCTAGTACTTGCATATTACAGGGGGTTCTCGACTTGCAATCATTAGTTTAGTGACCGTTCAAAGTTACAAAGGCACTGGAAAAGTGACTTTATGACCATTTTTCACTTACAACCGTTGCAGCATCCCCCACGGTTAAGCGATCAAAATTCAGATGCTTGACAACTGGCATGTATTTATGATGGTTTTAGTGTCTCAGGGTCGCGTGATCACCCTTTGCACCTTTGGATCATCTTCTGACAAGCAAAGTCAATGGGACATCCATGTTTACTTGACAACCATGTTATAACTTAACAGCTGCAGAGATTCAGTTAATTTAACTTAAACTTTAACAACTGTGGAAGGTCATAAAATAGGGCAAAATTCACTTAGCAGCTGTTTTGCTTAGCAACAGAAATTTGGGGCTCAGTTACGGTTGTAAGTCAAGGACTAGCTGTGTTACAGATCTTACTGTGCCCAACAGAAAACAGTGTATGAGACAAGGTTGTTTAATATAGAGTTTGCAACTCGACTGAAAAACCTTGGCTTCCAGGCACAGCAAAGTTAATGCAGGCAACTATATCATTTGATAAGATCCCATGCACTGATACCTCCAAACGTCGCTTTTTTACTTGGATTAGGACACATCTGTCCGGTATTTCTAAATGTTATCAGTCATAGTTGTAGTTTTGAAGAGTTACAAACATCTGTACAAATATCACTAAATACAGTAGATTAAAGGGAGGGAAATGAGGCTGTGTGTGCATAAATGCTGTCCAAATTAGGGTGTTGGTAAGATAGGCTATCATGCACACATCCTAAATTCCATCAAAAAAAAATTCTCTGCAAATACTTCCAATGATGCAAAATGAAGGAAATATTTCTCTCCCCACCCCTCCCCTCCAAAGTTAACATACCTTTTGCAGGAATTAACACAATGCACAGAATTAATAAAGAGAGCAAAAGACAGGAGAGCACTCCAACGAGGATTTTCATCTGAACCTGCAGGGGAAAAAAAAACAAACCCAAATTTTCAGTTCATTCCTTCCTTCCTTCCTCCCAAGTTACAGCATTTTTGCAACAATTTTAGTTAAGTCCTGCCAACTACACAAATCTTGAAGTTTGCTTTCAACTTTTATCCATTTCTTTCTTTCCTTGCTTGAGCGTGCTTAGGCATCAAGCATTTTTCCACAGTGGAGCACCAGACACAATTTAAATTGTCTGGTGCTCAATACTCAAGTTTCGATACTCAAGTTTTCTTTTTGTTTTACAGACCTTCATGCTTCTTGTTGTCTTAAAAAGTCCTAGCGCTTCTTGCTCTTCTGAATGTTGGTCACTAACTTTTCCAAAGCAGTTTGAAAAGCAGCTGCAGCTGCAGGCCAAATATGAGACTCAAGTTTTTTTAAAAAAAAAATGTGTTCTAATAAGCTATGCCAAATTTCAAAGGTTTTCCGTACAATTGGAAACAGATTTTTAAGGGCGTTCTAAACCCGACAATGAACTGTGGGTGGCTGCAAAGAGTTTGTGTCATAACTCAAATCTGCTTACACAAAGATTTACTGAATTTTATGACTCAGCAACACAGTTAGTATGTGCTATTTACAGCATGTTTTGGAAATATGGAAGATAAGATTTAAATTAAGATCCATTCATGGTACAATGACAAAGAAAATCCCTTTTATCTGTTGACTGACATATAAAAGTACAGTGGGATATGTCTCAGTGACTGCATATAGAAACTTGGTATTTATAATTTGGGAAGAGAGTCGCTGGCTTCTCCAGAAAAAAGGATAAGGTAGCTGATAAGAAAAACTTTTATGTATTTATTTATTTTGCTGTGATTCCAGGAAAGCGTCTGGCATTTATAAAAAAAACATTATATCAAAGAACAAAAATTTTACGAAAGTATTCCAAAATATTATGATTCCAGTTTTTGTCCAACACTTTTAAGCTCACCACAGCATATTGGAGAAGGCACACCGAGGTCTGTATCAGACAGAAGGCATGCATTTAATTAAAGAAATCTTACTCGAAGGTAAGATCTATTGATCATAATGAGATACTCTTCTAAGAAAACATGCTAAATGAGTACATAAATAAGAAAAAAAAATCCCATTTAATATATTAAGGATGAAGGGCATGAGAGAAAATTCAAGTTAAATCCTAGGATATAAAAAGGACTACAGAACTGTACTGCAAAAGAAAGTAATTTCCCTTTTTGCACAGACCCTAAATATAATATTCAGTTTTGTTGATGTCAAATTTCATTTAGGCTGCAATCGATTTGCATATTTCTGGGAACAAATCCAGAGGAATTCAATGATATCTACTTTTAAACAAGGATGTTTAAGATTACACTGTTGGTTCCTCTTAGAATCAGCCTTAATGGCAATCTTTCAGTTTCCTAAATCTGGGATTGATGAGACCATTGAAATGTGAGTAAAATGGATACACCCAGCACACAAAGTAAGTCTGAGCCACCTCCTCTTTCACAGGATTTATTCTTTTCCAATCACACTTTCAAGTAAGAGTCTTGTCCAATCTGGTGCATATCAGATACCTTGGCACTAAAACTCCAAGAATTTCCAGCCAGGTTATCAGCTGGGAACTATCAGAGCACTGACTTATGTGAAGCTAGGCCCCAAGCTCATTAGGGGCTATTTTCTTACATAATGCTAAGGCCCCCAAAATATAGTCCACACAGATATTATATATTATGCACCCAGGGAAATACAAATATGTAGAGTATGATTTCTAAAACTTATGCCAACAAGTATTGCAAATCAGTTGGGGTACAAAGAAAAGAGAAATCAGACATTTAAAAATGTATTATTATTATTATTATTATTATTATTATTAATAACCCCCTGCTCAGACAGGAAGCCCTGTACCATTTCAGACAAATGGCTGTCCAGTCTCTTCTTAAAAACTTCCAGTGTTGGAGCATTCACAGCTTCTGGAGGCAGGTTGTTCCACTGATTAATCGCTGTAACTGTCAAGAAATTTCTCCTAGGTTGCTTCTCTCTTTGGTTAGTTTCCATAGTTTCCTTCTTGTCCTGCCTTCAGGTGCCTTGGAGAATAGCTTGACTCCCTCTTCATTGTGACAACCCCTGAGATACTGCTCTCATATCACCCCTCATCCTTCTCTTCATTAAACTAGACATACCCAATTCCAGCAACTGTTCAGTATATGTTTTAGCCTCCACTCCCCTGATCATCTTTGTTGCTCTTCTCTGCACTCTTTCTAGAGTCTTAACATCTTTTTTACATTGTGGTGACAAAACCTGGATGCAGTATTCCAAGTGTGGCCTTACCAAGGTATAGTAAAGTGGTATTAACACTACACTTGATCTTGATTCTATCCCTCTGTTAATGCAGCCTAGCACTGTGTTGGCTTTTTTGCAGCTGAAGCATACTGCTGGCTCATATTTAAGTGATTTTCCACTAGGACTCCGAGATCCCTCTCAAGGTTACTACTATTGAGCAAGGTACCACCTATATTATACCTGTGCATTTCATTTTTCTTTCCTAAATGTAGAACCTTACTTTTTTCACCATTGAATTTCATTTTATTAGATAACGCCCAATGTTCAAGTCAGTCAAGAACCTTCTGTATCTTAAGCCTGTCTTCTGGAGTGTTGGCTATTCCTGCCAGCTTGGTGTTGTCTGCAAATTTGATGAGTTCCCCATCTATCCTTTCGTCCAAATCGTTGATGAAGATGTTGAAGAGCAGTGGGCCCAGAACAGAGCCCTGGGGCACCCCACTATACACTTCCCTCCATGTAGATGCAGTTCCATTGAGGACCACACGCTGAGTACGGGCAGTCAGCCAGCTAAGGATCCATCTGGTGGTGATGCTGTCTAACCCACATTTTTCTATCTTATCAAGTAGTAGGTTGTGGTCTACTTTATCAAATGCTTTACTGAAGTCCAAGTAAATTATATCCACAGCATTCCTCTGGTCCACTAATTTTGTCACTTGGTCAAAGAATGCAATAAGATTTGTCTGGCATGATCTGTACCTATATTGTGTTTAGGGCTGGTTTTCTTTTTCTTTTCTTTTTGGCATCTATAATAATACAGTGGAGAGTTTGGCATTAAGCTTAAGAATTGATGTTTCTTTTTTCATAAAAATAGTCTACTTTGGTATTATTTACTAATATTATATTGATTGATAATAGTTTTCCTCTGCAATTATCTATTCATTCACAGATATCTCCATTAAAAAAATACACTTTTGTTCTGAAGAAAATAAAAGGATTATAGTAAAGACTAGAAAGCAATAAAGTAAACCATAAAGAGTATTGTTGCTGTGCTTTTTAAAAGAGGGAAATAAATATACGGTATGTCTTTAAAATAAACAGAGCAGTATCTTTTTTAAAAAGGGAATTGAAAATACTGTATATCTTTAGCTCTATTTATGCTATGTTGTTACTAAATAAAGTTTTAACTGATTAAAAAAAGGATAATCCATCCTGCTAAGCTGAACACAAACTATGTTATAGTCCACAACAGGGTAGGCAGCCTTGGCTCTTTTATGACTTGGGGACTTCAATACCCAGAATTCCTGAACCAGCCATGCTGACTCAGGAATTCTAGGAGTTGAAGTCCACAAGTCATAAAAGAGCCAAGGTTGCTTACCCCTGGTCCAGCATCTAACAGACAACCTGTGGTGCTCTAGGACAGTGTTTCCCAAACTTGACAATTTTAAGGCATGTGGACTTCAACTCCCAGAATTCCACAGCCAGCAATGCTGGCTGTGGAATTCTGGGAGTTGAAGTCCACATGCCTTAAAATTGTCAAGTTTGGGAAACACTGCTCTAGGAGGTTGTTGGACTACAATTCCCAACATCCCTTGCCATTGGCCATGCAGCCTAGCAATGATAGAATTGGACTTCAGCAACCTCTGGAGGGAGACATGTTACTTATCCCTTGTTTAAAATGAGGCATGCTTCCCATTGATTATCAGCATATGGCAGATGTCGCGGTCAATTCATTGAACAAAGTGAGGTGCAATAACCCAGGCAATTTTTCTTCCACACAGTCCCTGTCACTAGTACAGTTGGGGTCAAGGGTGTCATTCCCAAGGCTTCCATTAGTGGTCACTCAGAGAATAGCAAGCAATGAGGCAGTACACTATTACAGAAATGCAGCTACAAAGTTGCACAACCTTTTCTTATTTTAAAATATTTTGTACTTAGGAGGGGATAAGCATGATTGCAGATACATTCCATAATATTGGTAGCGTAGTCTAAACTCACCTAGCTGCATCCCTGTGGTTGGGAAACTGGAGTTAAAGGGCTTTCATAAGGGATTCAATCTGAGAATATAGGATCTGGAGCAATCTTTTTTTAGTGGTTCCCGAGACTTGAACAACTGCATGGATTTGCAATAGGTTATAGTTCATTTCCTCCCCAAGATAGTTTGACAAGGTAAGTTTACCTTAACTCGGGGGTCCCCAACCCACGGTCTGTGGACCGGCACCGTGCCGTGGCACGCCAGAAACCAGTCTGCGCAAACAAGCAAAGCCCCATCCGTGGGATGCAGGCAGTACATGAAACCACGCCCCCTCCAGTCCACAAAAAAACCCTCTCTCCACGGAACCGGTCCCTGGTGCTCAAAAGGTTGGGGACCTCTGCCTTAACTGTTGATATTATATATTATTGAAAACATTGCAGGTGCATATGCATGGAGTTCACTGTGTACATGGACTGAAATAAACAAATAATCTTGCATTGAAATGCTCCACCTATCATTTTGCTGATTTTGACTTCCCTGAACCTGCTCCATTGCAGGCTTAACAGAAATAAACAACCAAGAACCAAACTTAAATATGGTATAATTTGTGTTCCAGAGTGTTCTGGCTTATGGTAATGGATATGCTCACCTTCATTGTCTTGGCTTTCTGCTTCTTTATCCTCTTTGCTAGGTGGTAAGTGATGCTTCCCAAAAATCCAACAATGGCCAGTTTACTGCTGAGTAGAGATAGTGCAAGACATTTTTCTCAGTTGCTAGAGTCTAAAATGAAATAAAATGGAACCTGAGATCACAAAGCTCAAAAAGATGTAGCAACACAGGGACTATTGTCCGCTGCATATTCAACACGAACATTTGCTGTCTTGCTGTTGAAAGAGATGGCTTTTTGCGCATATTCTAAATCAGGGCTCCCAAACCCCCAGTTCATGGACCAACACTGGTCCACAGCATGCCATCAACCAGTCCATACAAACAAGCAAAGCCCCATCCAAAAGATGCAGGTAGCACATGAAAACCATCCTCTCTCTGGTCTGCAGAAAGATCTCTCTCCACGGAACCGGTCGCTGGTGCTCAAAAGGCTGGGGGGCGCTATTCTAAATGATAAGAAAATGGGAGCAATGGCTTTCAAGGAAGAGCATTCCTTAATCTGCTGCAAGAGTAAGGCCAGAAGTTAGCTTGGAGACATTCATGCCCATTACAGAGGACGTGATTCTTGAAGGGACAGTCCTAGAATGTTTCTACACTGCAGCCTTAAATGGTTTCACTTCTCTCTGCATAAACTGACTGGGAGTGAAGCCAGCTTGAGAAATTGTGTCCAGATTTCCACCACTTCCTTTGCTTTGGATACAGAAATGGCTTAATGTTCTGTTTGGACCACGTCTACCACAACCATAATTGGTGAACTCTCCTGCTTCTTTACCCTTCCAAGACTGGAGAAGGAAAGGAAAGGAAAAGAGATAAAGACAGAAAAACTAACATTTAACCATTTTTCCTGTCACTTGGGCTAGAAGAGAAAGTAGCAGATCCCTTGCCAATTTTAGCTGATCTTTTTTTTAAAAAAAGATCTATGATTTATCTGTTTGATAGCAGGAAAAGAACAAAGCCCAGCTTTTCACCTTAAAGAACCTGTAATAATATGTGGTAGGGAGCAAAGACCAGCAACTGGGAGGTTGTCTTGCCACCACAGTGCACAACAGTATCTGGAATGGCCTGCCATGAAATAAGGCATTACGAGCAACAAATTTAGTTCAATTATCCTTAAGTTGGAATGTACTACTTTAGATTTGTAGCAGGAAAAGACAGGTGAAGGATGCCTTCTGGGGGCAAGGAAAGGATAATATCATGCATGACTCAAGAAGTGAACAATGGCTATTACTAGAGCTGATTGAGTTTGTCATGTCGATCAGGTCTTAGAGTCAAGCCTCCTATGACATGGATCCTGGGTTAATCCAAGACACTCACAAGATCCCCCTGACTAGTACAAGAGATATTGTTAAGCAGTAGATTAACAGTATATTCCAGCTCGCATGCCATATGATCACACTGTTTATTAGTAAAGGTAACCTCTATATTAATTATCTTATCCAGCAACTAGAAGCCAGCTACATTCATGCCACTAAACTGGTTTCTGCCAATCTTTCTATATAGTAGACAATCCTGTTATTATCTAATACAAGTGGATTTAATAATAATAATAAAATTGGAAGGGACCTTGGAAGTCATCTAGTCCAACCCCCTGCTCAGGCAGGAATTTAAAGAATGCAATGAGTGCCCTGATCCAATGTTGCCAAGACAATAATTGAGGATCAATCATCAAAAACATTTGATAATGATCTTGTCTAAAAGATTCACAACCCTTAGCTGGTCTATCAACAACTGCACAACTGAGTAAGTTAAGATTTTCAAATACTTTGCCAAAGCCAATGAGAGGAGGGCTACCTGTGCAATTTGGCAAAGGAGTACTTTGACCATTTTGCAATTCCATCGTACAAAGGAAACCTTTGTATCTATGCCACCATCAAACTCTTTCAGGGACTTGGTACCATAGCCAAGAATTCAGACTCTTACTCTAAAGAAGCTGCTCCACTGAACCTGTGGAATGCCAGCCTCAGGACATACTGAGGCTGATCAAATGCAGGCACCCTCAGAACAGCTGGATGTTATTGTCAGATGATGAAGTATGATTCCAAGCCCATGGACTCAGCATGTAGAATGGAGAACAGAGCAAAGATACTCAGCAAGGCTCCTTGCCTAATGCTCTCTTCATTAGAAAAAAAAAAAACTGGCAGCAACTTAAGAGGCAGCCCTGATCCATGTTTCTTTGTTAGAAACAGCTCTCTAATATCCTGTTCTGGGGTGTCATTCATGTGAGCCTTGCTCCTGAAGCTCTCTTTGGATTGGCTGACAAACCTGACTTTGCTGCCTGAACTTCAGATTGGATTTTGACTTCTCTTCTGCACGCCCTCATTGAAAGTGAAACCACCTATTCAAACAAGTTTTCTCTATGAGAAATGTAGATTCCTTCCTTCCCATGTCTGCTGTTATCTGCTCAGCCTTGAGTAAATTGCTGTTTTCACCTAGCTACTGTGAGTGTGAATTTGAAGCCTGAAATAGGACACTTGTGGTTGACACATTTTGTTGGTGGCGCTTGGCCTATATACTATAGTAACTTCAGGCCATGTGAGATGGTACAATCTAGGTTTTTAGAGCTATATCTGTCATTCTCAAAAGTGGTGCTAGAACTGTCCTCAATTTAGACTCCCTAATTTAAACTCCAGCCTCGCTTGAGTATAAACTGGAGATTGGAGAGTAGCAATTAACTATTATAAATGGGCAGTTCAAAAATGTGAAAAATAGATAAAAAAATAAACCATAAATTTACCTATTCCATTTGGGCTGCATCACCTCACTTTTCAGTGATAATTTTCAAGCCAGCTACGAGAAGACCCATATATATAAATTAATATATTATGACCTATTTCAGTTATGGAAATAGGGATGAGGCCACAAAATGTGTTGCACAATTCCTCCTGGATGCAGAGCTGTAGTTCAGTCTAGGTCAGTGATCCAGTTTCTGTAGAACTGCAGTCACATTTGATGGGAGAGTCATGACATCTTACTGTTACACGGTGAATTCCAATGAGCCTTCACACTTTTTTTTCCCTGCACTGCCACAAGGCATGTATCATAAAATACCTGTCACTTGTTATATGTGTTCTTGTAGAGTGGGAGAGGTTGAAATGATTACACATGTGATTTTTACACAGTCGATTTTATTGGAGTTTATGCCAAATTTAATCGCTCCTTTTTTAAAATAATAATACCAGCACCAGACAATCCTTATGCTTGTATTGGTTTTGTCTTCCTGGCTTTTAGCTGCAATAAAGTTTTGATCTAATTTTGCCAGGTTGTTGGAAAGAGGAATGCACATGGTGTATAGTAGTCATAATTTCTATCAGAGGCTTAGCCTCAGTACTTTTCACAGCATAATTTTTTGTTTCAAATGACCTATTTGGTTAAATAACAAATGCTAATAACTTAGAGAAATTAAAAAGCTGTCCCTGATTGTCTATTAAAAGAAGGAAATTGCAACAAGAGTAGACTCAAGAAAAATGTCTCAGACATGTATGAGTAAGCATGTGTGCTAAGCATTGTCAAAAAGTCTTCTGAATTCTAGGCTGTTAGAATAGTTATTGTCAGGAGCAAGTACAGGAATTGAGTTCAAAGCACTAAAAGCTTATACTATCAAATCAAATTGGTGCTAGATAAGTCAACGGAAATCATGGTGGGCTGGACTTAAATCTCGTGTGATTTTGTCAGGATTCCAAACTGATGATGCATTTGACCCCACCTTTGGGCTCTGCCTGGTCATCTCCTACAGATGGTAGTATTAAGTATGATTGTGCCTTGCTTCCAAGAGGCCCTCTGACCTATCTTTCCTTACCTTTTAATTTATTCAAAAATCACTTTTAAAAACCCCAAAGTCCAGATAGGATAGGGACTCTGTTAAATTCCAAAGAAGGTATCCTCAGGCATTTTGATGGCCGTGGGCATTACATATATAGTATTATATTTAATATACAGTATAGTATTCCTGAGCAGTACTTTAAATTTCTAATAGGAAGCAACTACATATTAAAAGAAGAAAACACTCCCTTGAGCTTGAACAAATTGTTCCCTGACTGAAAATCTGTCTCACACATGGTCTTAGTTGTTTTCCCTCCTGAATTGGACAAGGAGGAAAAGGTTTTTGAATGTCACAGCACACAAGTTGGGTAGGGTATCCATCCATTCATCTCACCTATTACAATTTTCTTCCTTTTCACAGGTATACTTTAGAGGGAAAAGAATTTCCCTGTCAGTCAGGTGAGGAAGCAGTCTTTTTAAGTATGATCACAATGTACCAGGTGGATAGTGTCCCCCTCTCATAACAATTAGTTTAAGGAAAAAACCTTAGAAAAACATCTTATTGGGATAAGTTGCCCCCCCCCCCACAATTATTGCCACAAAGAGGGAGAGTGGGATTGCAACAGGTAGGAAAGAAAAGTTAGCTATCTCCAAAAATGTAATTACTGCATTCAAGGCTGACAAAGGGATGGTCATGCAAGCTTTTTTAAAGACTGCTGCATACAATTGGTTATCAGGACTGCTCTGGTGCTAGGATTCTCCAAGGTGGGATGGGGAAGGTCCACAGGCTGAAATGATCTTTAGAAGCAGCAAATCCATTGCTGCTGAAACACAACATGTTAGGCTGGTAATCTTTCCCACAGACTCTTCTGCAGTTGGGTGGCCAAGAATGAAAACCAGCTTCCTGGCTGTGGTGATTTTAGCTCGCTAAAAAAGTTGGGACAAAGAAAATGTTCACTGTTTGTGAGAGATGAATTAGAGCAGGAGTGTCAAACTCGCAACATCACGTGACGTGTCGCAACGTGACGTATTGTGAGTTTTTTCCATTGCTAGTAATGGGGTGGGCATGGTATTGGCATGACGCATCTGGCCCGCGGGCCGGCAGTTTGACACTCCTGAATTAGAGACTGGGGTAATGTCGCAGTCATACTCTTTGGGGTAGTTACAGGGGATAGGAATTAGAACTGTTCTTCTAACTCTAAATATTAATCCGTCTTGAATATTTGAATGTCTAAGGCTTGGATATTATGCTTAAACTCCTAAATTGGAGTCTTGTTCCACATAAATAAACAGTTATCTATATGCTGATTTATTTACTCCTGCTGTTGAACAGTTTTATCAAGTGTCTGCTTCCAGAGAGGTCTTAAAATAGAGGGCTTTCATCATCCTACTAAGTAAAGAAACGAGAAAGTCCTCCTTTATTCTATCTCCCTCTATTGGCAAGGAGGTTTCTCAACTGGTGAGATTGGCTCATGCTCCATTTTACGCACAGACACAATAGTAGAAAGAGGGAAAGACTAACTTGTAAACAAAATCGTCCAAAAATGTCTAGAAATTCATGAGAACGTATAATACTTAGTCTGGTATAATATATATATATAACCTGGTGTAACGTATATCTTTATAGAAGTAGATGCTAATTGTAAAAATGACCATTGACAGAAATCAAGTGAAGTGTTTTATGGTCATTAGAGCTCTCTTCTCCCCAGATAGAAAAACCAGTGAGCAGTGTTTGGATGGCTTTATGGTTGCAAATTCTGAACAATTATCAAATGGCCCTTGGTTTTAAGCTTCAGTTTTACTGATTTGATGCCACCCAACTCCAAAACACTCTGGAAAGCTCATAGTACACCAAATATAATAAAAACAATATATAATGGAAGCAAACAGCAAAACCAGACAATGGAAAAACTAGTCTTAGTTTCAATTCTAAGAAGTATAAATACTTTTCAAAGGGAACAATGAGTCAGCTATTATGTATTTTAAAAAACGAACTGTTTCACTATTTGTTTGGACTATTGCAGTACACACTCCATCAGGCCGACTTTGAAAAACACTTGGAAGCCTCAGTTGGTCCAGAACTGTGGCTTAAATATGTTATGGACATCACTCGGTTTCCCTATATAATTCCTTTGCTTTAACAGTTGTACTTATTCCCCATTGCTGTTTGTCACCTTTAAATCCTTGCCTCTTCTGAGACCTAGGTATCCATGGCACTACCTACTCTTAACTGTCTTTCCATTAAGATCTGAGGGAAGGGTTTCTCTGGATCCTAACCCTTAGGGAGTGTCATCTGTGGGGCTCTCAAACCCATCCTCCTTAGTCATGCTCCCCCACTACATCTTTTCTGGAACAGCATTTCCCCTGATATCAGACAAGCTGGCAAGTCATCTAGTTTTTTAAGGTCAGAATAGCTGTATTTTTGTTCCTTTGTGATGGGTGAATATCTTTTATCTATGGGTTATTCCTCCTTTTGATATTGTTATATATTGCTTTAATTATGCAATTAATTGTTGGACTATAGGCTTCTCAAGATAAGTTATGATTAGAATGGCATAGAAACCAAATAAAATATTGTTGTCTTCCTAGAAGATGAATCTAAGCATATAGACGATAACAAGCTGTCCAGAATCAATAAGATAATGGATAAAGGCTCTGTAATTACAGAATGGCTCTGATAAGAGTAGAGAACGGAGTTCCTTTCATAGTGGGAGATTTGGCACATACAAATGCCTGCTATTGCTTGTCTGGTATACAAATGGAATATATCTTTTTAGTAACTGCAAAACAGCATAAAAAAATCAATAAACAGTTTCTTACTAAAGTTCCTTTGGCTGCAAAGAAGGAATTGTGAAGCATACAGTATCCCACTATCCTGATTATAGACAACCGAAACAGACTAATCAAGAAATAATTCTGGAAAAGATATAGCTCAATTAAGTGAACTGAAAGCAATAGCAATAGCACTTAGACTTATATACTGCTTCACAATACTTTACAGCCCCTTCTAAGTGGCTTAAAGAGTCAGCATATTGCCCTCAACAATCTGAGTAGTCCTTTTACTGACCTCACTAGAACTAAAGACTTGCTTAATGATTTTTCTTTTCACTTAGCATATAAATTAAGAAGGATGGAAGGCTAAGTCAACCTTGAGCTGGTCAGGATCAAAGTTGTGGCAGTGAACTGAATTAGCTTGCAATACTGCATTCTAACCACTGTGGTTCCTGGACTAGACTATAGTCCTAGACCAAGAACTATAGTTAGCTGGTCTTTAAAAAAGAAGCAGCAAAAAGAAACTTGTAAGTGACACAAGCTTCATCAGCTGGACTGTGTAGGGCTTCAGATCTGAAAAAGTGCTTCACAGCCCAAAGTGAAAGAAATATGGTAGAATCAGCTGCAATCTTAGAGCAACAGCTGCATCTTTTTCCAGGATGACATAACAGCCCCCTGCAGCTGCCAGAAAGACAATATTTCTACCACCTTCCCCATATGGTCTGAAGTCAAAGCTTGTTGGTCTTTGGATCCAAAACTTTCCACAACCCTGTTCATCAGTATTTGCCTGGGGAATGGGGTAGCACTACAAAAACAAATCAATACATAAAAGCTATGTCTGAGAATAAATAGCAAAGAAAACCCAGAGGCAGCAATGTTTTTTGAATTCTTTATAAAACTGGCAAAGTAGAAGTATCATAAATTTGTATCAGAATCCATAAACATGTGAAATACTTGTATTTTCAATTTGTTTCTTTGTTGAGAACAATTTTACTTATTGCATTAGACTTTTAGTGTAGTCATATTAGTCATGTAAAATAGTCATCTAAGGAAAGCAAGGAAATGGGATGGAGTTAAAACAAACTACCATCAACCCGAAGAGAACTAAAGACTTGCTTAATGATTTTTCTTTTCATTTAGTATATAAATTAAACTTTAAACTGCCAAGTAATTAAAAGAATGAAACATCTAGGTAAAATACAAATATATTGTAATATAGTCTATAGCATAGGTCCCAAACCTTTTGGGCACCGGGGACTGGTTCCATGGAAAGAGGTTTTTCTGTGGACCGGAGGGGCGTGGTTTTGTGTGTTGCCTGCATCCCATGGGTGGGGCTTTGCTTGCTTGTGCAGACAGGTTGCTGGCATGCCGCGGACCGGTACTGGTCCATAGACCAGGGGTTGGGGACCCCTGGTCTATAGTCCAGAATATAAGAGTCTTTTGCATAAATTTGATCCAAAAGATATAGGATTTATATTTTATATGTCATGGTTCCGAAAGAAGAAGCTCTTCAAAGAACTTTGAGGCATTGTTTACCTTAAAGAATCTTTTAATTGCAACATAGCTTCGGCACATACATAGAGAAGCCAAAATCTGAATTCTCCTCCCCCAACACACCATAACAAAGCATAACTCACTCCTTCATTTAACAGTCATTAATCACATTCTCCAATTAGTTTGAAGTGTGAACTTTCCCTCCTGTTATCTCCTCTTATTACAACTAACCTTGAAAAATACCCTACTGAAATATTGTTATGGCTAACTAGTCCCCAAGTACATTCTTCCCCCCTCCCTTCCAGCACTATCTAATTTTAACTCTAAAAGTAATACACAGGTTAAATAGAAAATGTCTGCATCTTCATATATTTTCAAGCAAGAACATCCAATGTTAGCAGCATTGACATTATAATTCTGTAACAATTTTCCTAAAGTTACAGGTAGTCCTTGACTTACAAAATAAAACATTTTTCTGATCTTTTATGCAATTTAATAAAATAATTCTATATTGGTATGGCTTTTGTATCTTATGCATCCCATTAAAGTAAAAGGTAAATTCTCACACTGAATCATTTTACATCCTGGTTAGAGATGTAGCCCCAGGAACTACTTTTTTTCTTTTCACAGAAACTGTGAAAAGAAAACTGAACTGTCTCTATTCAGAAATACAGAAGCCTGAATGGTATGAAAAATTGGAAAGTTTTTGCACAATATCTGCAGTCATTTGGGCATAAGAAAAATATGTCTTTAAACTAGTCTTTTGAAATCTGAAGGTGGAAAAGGTTCCCATCTGTCTTTAGAGTCTCTCAGCCTTCTTAATCTTCTTCACTAGAAATATAATGATCTGCATAACTGAAAGCTGGAAAGTTAATGGCTAATTCTCTCCATTTTTTGTATATTTTCTTTGAGGTGCATTTCTTATCTTTGAAATATACCACAAAATTTTTTATTTTTAAACAAGGAAGATCTAGACCTTTGTATACCATCATAGTTCCCCATATCTGAAAAAAAGTGAGAAAATCATATTAGGAATATACCAATATAAGAATCTGATGTTCCTGAACTCCCATTCCCAGCCATCATCATAACCCAAAGTGAGGATCTTTGGGAGATATGGCCCACAGTATTTAGAGAATCCAACCCAGGACTAAGCCAAAGACATCCAAATTAATTAATTCCGACGCTTACCTGGCCACAATTTCTACAGATAATGTCCCCGTTTGTTTGATAATCTGCTTCTTTTGCTCGCAGTGTCTTATTTTCCCTTACGATATAAAGGTTCCTGAAGTGAAAAACGGAACAACTTACTTTTGAAAAGAAAGAAGTTGTGACTAGTTTTTCATATAGGCAGGAAGAAGTTCATCTTATCAGATAAGCATCATTGACACTTCCTGTAGATTCAGCCCTCTCTGCTGGATGAGTCACCAAGTCTACAGGCCAGAAATCCTCACCCTTTTGCTAGTGGTATTTAGCTTTGTAGCGAGTTCTAGAAGTTCACTAGTCAGATGTAGGTATAAAAGGGAGTTATGAAAAAAAAATGAACTGGGTGAGGGGCAACGATATTCAATACTGACTACATTTCCTAAGTCAAACACTGGATTACATCACAAGCATGTATCTACTTGTATTTGGAATATCCACTGCTACCAATTTGCTTTAGTTTCTGTGGTTGGCATCTCTGCCTACTCAAAATAAGTAATATGATCAAAGAGAATTCACAAATTTGTAGTCAATCAATGATCACATGACCAGTTACGGCAGCAACTGAGATTTGCCTATTTTCAGTTAAACTATTGGTATTCAGTAACTCTGCTTAGAGATTTGCCTGTAGACATCCCTCTTGCTTTTCCCTGCCTTGATGGCTGGATCCCCTCTACTTCTTTATTGGATGGACTCCTGAACAGCATTACAAGAACATTGTTCCAGGAAAAGGGTGCCCTTTATTGTATGGGTACATTGCATCATTAAGCCAAATCAAACTAGAGTGATAATTTCAGAGCAAGATTAAAACTTCCATTTTTATTGGCATGAATGAGAGATTAGTTCAAAAAAGAATTCTAAGCAATGCAATCAGTGGATTAGCAATTAGTGCAACCACTGCACTGATTCAATCAATGGAACCAATGGAACAGCTTTCCTTCAGAAGTTGTGGATGCTCCAACACTGGAGACTTTTAAGAAGAGACTGGACAGCCATTTATCTGAAATGGTATAGGGCCTCTTGCTTGAGCAGGGGGTTGGACTAGAGCAGTGGTCCCCAACCTTTCTGGCCCCACAGACTGCAAAAGTGGTGGCAGTGGGGAAGGGGTGGATGGTTTCATGCACACTTCCTAGCTCCTGCCCATGTGCAAATGTAGCTTTGCATGATCACCCACCATTTGCATGGCCCAATTCCCAACAAACAGTGGACTGGTACTGTTCCGTGGCCTGGGGGTTAGGGACCCCTGGACTAGGAGATCTCCAAGGTCCCTTCCAACTCTGTTCTATGTTCTGTGTTCAATCAGAACAGACACCCTGATGATAATACAAACAGGTACACACACACACACAGAGGCGGACTTACGCAAATTCCTTTGTAACATTGACATGATGCATATTTAAAATAACTTGAATGTCATCTCCTGAGCATTTTGGATCGTTGCAGTTTTTGCAGTGGAACATTATCAGGGAGGGGTTCTTCTTGTACTGTTTAAATTGTTCTTTCTTTGCTTTCATTTTCATTTCCATGCAGCTTTGCAGCTGAAGCTCCTTGATCTAGCAAGGGAATGAACAGAACCAGGAAATAACTCCAAACTACAATTTCAATTTTCATTCTGGAAAATTCATGTTGGATTATTTTAAATTTGGAATAATATTTTTAAAAAACTGCTTTGCTTTTTCATGCCTTAGACTAACTGCCTAAATCCTGAATGTCTTTATTTACATGCATTATCGATATAGATAATTCTCACTTAATGACCCTAACTGTGCCGCTAAGTGAAGCAGTTGCTAAATGGGAAATCATGTGACTGTAAGTGTGCTTTCCAGCCAGGAAGAGACAAGACTACTTAGTTTTACATTTTTGGCTTTTTATTTATTTATTTTTGCCTCCTGGCCACTTCCTTATCCTTTGGAATGCTCAAGTGCCTACTTGCTGTCATGTACACGTGAAAAGCAATGTAACCATGCCACTGTGCTCCATGCAGTTTACAGTACTGTCTTGAAATCTCTTTCCAATATCTCCACTCTGTGATAGGGTAGGAGGAATCAAGTGATTTCTGTAGGCAATCTCTCCTTTGCCTGACCCTTTCCTGCTGCCCGCATGATCACATTGCTTTTGAGATGTAGAAGAGCTTACTCTCTTGAAATCTCTCTGTTCTGCAGGGGAAGGGAGGGAACAAGTGTCAGGCAAAGGAAAAAATACTTCTGAATAAATAAGCAGCTCACATGCATGTTTAAAAAAAAGGGTTTTTTTCCCAAAAATGTGTATGTGTGTGTGTGTGTGTGTGTGTGTGTGTGAGAGAGAGAGAGAGAGGGAGGGAGGGAGGGAGGGAGGGAGGGAGGGAGGGAGAGAGAGAGATGCCCATACACAGAGAAGTAAATTTCTCAATGCTAATAAGAAAAAGGAATTGTCTGAGTTGATGATGTGGATGTATGTGTATGTTTAGAGTGACCAGGTAACCAGGTAATCACATAGAGTGGTGGAATATAGAGGCTCCAGAGAGGACAGAACTGAAAAGGGCAGTGGAAATTATTGGGCAAAAGAGGCTTGAGAAACATTTACATAATGATGGGGGAAGAGTATGATGGGAGAGTTTAAGGTGGATGGGCATTTTGATGTCCTCACTTCTACCCCTAATCCCTTGACCTGGGAGTCTTAATGCAAAAGTATTTTGAGAACCAAAGTGGTCACAGCAATAGTGTGGACCTTACCTTATGCACATATATTTCATGTGGCATCTTTTGGACACGCTTAATTGCTCGGTGCATCATTTTCTCACGAAACATATTAACATTTTCACGTTCAGCAGCTCCTGATCCATCTGAAGCCACAAGCACATAAATGCTTTCCTCAGCTCGAGCTCTTCCACGAGCCTGGAAGAAGCAAGAAACTACAATAAAATACAAGGAACTCACATGCAGGAGCTGGGTGGTGTTCTCCTCTTTCTCTGGAAGAGTTAAAGAGCTTTGCTGGCTATGAATCTTAATTCCAATATTTATTTGTTGTATACTTTCAGAAACTAGCAACCATCAAGACAACTGAAAACGTCTTTCAGTAGTTGGCACATAGACTCTTAATTAATTAGATTTAGTTACTGCTGCTAATAAAATTTGAGAAGCGGCATGGTGACCTAGTGGTGAAGACTCTCGCCTCCCACTGAGAAGGTTGAGAGTTCAATCCTAGGTAGCAGCAGATGTTTCTTTTTTAGGGTGCAAAGAGAAAATATTTGCTGTGAACTCCACATAGATGTTAGGAAGGGCATCCGGCCAATAAATGCTCAGCTCCATCCAGATATCTCAATTCTACCCCCAAATTAAGGCATTACAGGGTTATAAAAAGGAATTTTTTTACTCTTGCTAATAAAATTTAAAATCTACTTTAAAATTTATTTAAATAGTAGTTGAACTATGGTGGAAGGAGATTTCAGATAAAATGGAGGAGAGAGCTGCTTGTTTCCCCTGTGCCGTACTAATGTCTCTCCCTCAAGTTATTTGTCTCAACTTACAAAAATGTTCAGGTACACATACCTTCATGGGTTACAGAGCATAAACCCAAATATATTATATCTGGGTACTTGAGACAAGCAACTGGCCTTATGGATAGAATGCAGTTTTAAATGCTTGTTCAGCTGCTGTTGAGAGCCCTTTTGGTGTTGTGGTTAAAGCAGAAGATGGTAATCTGATTATCTGATAAACTCACAGGTGAAAAAGCAATAATGAGATGGCTGGAACATTACCTGCATCATGGCTATTTCATTGGTAACAAGACCATAGCGTATAACAATGTTGCATTGTGAGATATCCAGGCCTTCCTCTGCTACAGTAGTAGCAATTAGTAGGTTGATTTTACCAGACCGGAACTTTTCAATGACATCTTTTTGTTCATTCTGTAGAAACATATTGTCATTAAATTCATAAAAAAAGTGACAGCACAATGAACTTCTCTAACAACCTGAGTTAAGTCATGAAGCGTTTGTTCTCAGATCTCAAATGTTACGAACTATGTTTTGAACTAAAGCAATAACAAAGCATTTTTTTTAAAAAAAAAAAAACACCTTGTATGTAAAGCTGCCACAGGTTTCTACATAAGCAGGAAGAAGAAATTCCTAGCACTGATGATGTTACCTAGTTGGGTAATGAAATGTCTGCAACAAAACAACCATGCTCAGAGAGCACCAAGGGCTCCACAGAGCAAATTCAGTCATTCGGATGTGCTATTTCCAACATACCCAGATTACCCAAATACAATAAGTTGTAGCTCAGAAAAACACGGCATACTCCATTTAATCCTTCAGGGAAAGATTGAAGGCAAACAAGGTCCAGGCAGAAGAAGAACATCGTGGCTTCAAAATCTAAGGGACTGGTTTGGACAAAACTCAGCAGCACTTTTTCGTGCGGCTGCTGATAAAAACAGGATCGCCAACATGATCGCCAACGTCCGATAATGGATATGGCACAAGAAGAAGAAGTAGTTCTGACAAAGATAAATTCTATCTGACTGCCCCAGTCTACGTCAATGGGCTGTTACAGCTATAAAAACTTCTTAGTTTTTGGAAGTCAGCTCTTAAGCATTTCAGCAAGGAAGTGTCAAAGTGTCAGAAGCACATGCAATATTCACGCACAGCATTTGATACAATGATTATTAGTGAACAACACCCTACCTCTGAAATTGGATAGGAAAAGTGAGGGGGAACACGAAGATTCTGGCAAGCCACCCATATTTCATTTCATCCCATATTATAGCTATTGGCTGTGCTAGATTTCGCATGCTTCAGGTGTGCCACAGGTCTTTTACATGCACGGGCTGTGCATACCCTTGTCCTCACAGAGCCATAGGGGTTGCATAGGGGATTTCAGAAGAACCACTGAGAATACAGTTCTACGAGGTTTTCTCTGGAGCTGTAGGACAGGCTTTTTTCTCGCTGGTTAGAACTCATTTTGCCTCACTCATTCTATCTCCTGGGATTTCTTCCCCACATCCTGAAATGAAGATGTCATGGATCTTTGTTGTCAGACCCCCATTTTGGGGGGAGTGATTGGGCACGTGGTTTTGCAGCTTCTCTCTCCCACCCTCCCTTTTGTTTTCTTTGCTGCAAAAGCAGTACATTCCACTGATGGTAATAAGGATTGGAAAGCCATATGTTTTTTTGATGTGAGAATGATTTGTATTTTATTATTTATTTATTTATTTATTAGATTTTTATCCCACCTTTATTACCTATAAGTAACCCAATGCGGTGAACATACATAATCTAGATGGGATGGGTGGGCAAACAAATTTAATAAATAAAATAAAATAACACTCCTTCCTTCTCCTCTTTTTCCCCACAATGACAACCCTGTGAGGTGAGGTTGGGCTGAGAGAGAGTGATTGGCCCAAAGTAACTCAGATGGTTGTCATGCTTAAGGCACACTCTCCTGCTTTCTAGATCAGCATCTTAACCACTATGCCAAACTGATTTTAAAAGATTTTTAGTGTATCTCTTTTTGGTACAAAAAATAATAATACACTTTACAGTTTTTAGAATACCAAAATGAAATGAATTTGATGCTAATCTTGAAATAATGTCTCATACAATACATACCTATTTAGGTATATTATAATTATAATTACTGAGAATTATTCAAACATTGATTAAATGTAATGGGAAAAAGAGAAAAATATAGGAACTAAGATTACAAGTTCTTAGAAGAATCTTAACCCTACACCAATGGTCTCCAACCTTTGCAGCTTGGCAGCATGGCTTGGGGTGGGGGGAAGAGGGGAATAGGGCTGTGTGAGCAGTGGACTGGCGCATGCAGCTCCACTCACGCAAGAGAGAAGAGAAGCCTTTGGGGCATGGTTTCACACTCCTTCAGGCCTCTCCAGACCAAAAGCTTTTATAAAGACATGGAAGGCCTGAAGCAGCATGAGATGGCTCCCCTGAAGCCTTTTGTTCATTTGCAAAAGCTTTTGGCACAGAGAAGAGAAGCCTTTGGGGGGCGCGGCCTCATGCTCCTTTAGACTCACCAAGGCTGCCTGACGCTCCAAAAACGGATTGGGTGTAATGCACAGGCAGCCTCGGTGAATCATTGAAGCTGAGTAGGGCACGCTCATCCTGCTCAGCCTCTGCTCTCACCACTCTGCTTCTGGAGCATTGGGAGTAGGCAGCTTGGCCCAGCTGGGGGGGGGGCAGGGAGAGGGGAACATGACCACACAAGCGGTGGGCCAGCGAGCATGTGTGCAGCTCCATGCAAGCAAGAGAGAAGAGAAGCCTTCGGGAAGTGCTTGCGCATGTGGAACTCTGCATACACGTCAGCCTGCCTCTTGCACGGCCCAGTTCCGACTAGGCCATGGTCTAGTAGTGGGCCATGGCCCAGAGGTTCTGTAAGGGTTCTGCCTTACAGAACTGAAAAGCAAAGAAAATCTGGCAATGAGCTTTACATTTTTGTTTTACCTGGGTCATATGCTGAAATTCACTATTATGTCCTGTGCCAATGAGGTAGTGAGCCTTCACTCCAACTTCTTCAAATTTGGGATTATCATTAATCCACCGATAGATAGCAAATGCACTTTGACGAGTTTTTGAGAAAATAATTCCTCTGGGTTCATTGCTCTTTGTGAATTGTTGCATTAAAGTCATGCGCAACTTTGTTAGTTTTTCATTTTCATATTGTAGTTTTTCAGCTAACTCTTCCAGCTCCTTTTGTTTATCTTTAGGAACAAATGCAAATGAACAAAATATTTAAGTAATGATGTTTTAAAAGAATTAGAGCATGTTATTATGAGTCATACTGGCTGACACGGATTGTAGTCCAAAATATCTGAAAGTGTCAGCAGATCATGCTCAAAAAAGACCATCATCTATTTTCTGTTGTGCGTACCAACTAGATAACCCTGCATGCTAACTTTCCCAGAAAGGAAAGACTGATGTAGACTATTTGGTTCTTATTCACATATCCTGCAAGTTTTCTGATAAACAAAATGTTAATGGGCAAAATCTTAACTTAAGCACAAAATACAGATAGCAAATTCTGGCAGAAGCCCTGCAGGCATCAACTTGGGTCAAGATGAAAATCATTGTTTTAATACCTCCCAAATATTTTTCACAGCTATCTCTGCATATAAGCAGAGCAGGGGGTAGTCTTAGAGTGGACTGTGGAATACTGCAATATTAGTTGTAAGCTGGCTGTAAGTCCCTGAATTACAATACGTGACAGTAATTTAGGCTGCAATAGCCGCAATTGCAAGGGCCAATTGTAAGTATCCCTCATTCAGAGCTGTTATAAGAGTAAATGATTACTGAATGAGTGTAAAGGTAGAAGATGGAGGAGTACATCACTGAATAATGGCCGGAAAAATAAACTTAGAAAAGATTCACTGTAACTAACCAGACTGTAAAAAGAGAAGATGGGAGATTTGTATTTTCAGACTTGCAAAACTCTGTTTATGTAGCTTTACAATAAAGTAGATTTTGCTCATCTTGTTGTGTTTCCTGTCTGGTATATTTGGGAGGTTGACACAACATCACAATGCAGTGCAGCATGGCATGATAAAGAATGGGGAAAGCTGTGAAATAAAAGTTTGGATGTCTGAAACGGTAACAGACTGTGAGAATAATTTTGGGATAAGGAAGAGTCTAGTCTAGGCAATGGTCAGAGAAAAGATATCTCAGATTCCAGAAAGAATGGAGACATGGAAAGCATTTCAGAAGGGATTCTCCCTAGTTTTCTGGAAAGTAAAGACAAATGAGAAGAGATTTGCAAGATTTACTGTAATCTTACAATAACGATTGTGTCAATACTCATGATTTGTGCTTCTTGTCTGGTCTACCTCAAAGGGCTGACTTCAACCTGGAGCCACACAAATCTTTGAGGAAATTTCATTTAAGAGGGTGGGTGCTATGACAGAGAAAGGCACTCTTCCTTTGCCCCAATAGATATATTGATTAATCATAGAATCATAGGCTGGAGATTACCTCAGAGGTCTTCTAGTCCATCCCCCAGCTCAAGGCACAAGACCTTATACCATCCCAATCGAATGGCTGTCTTGTCTATTCTTGAAAGCTTCCAGTGATGGAATACCCCAATTTCAGTAGGCAAGCAATTCCATTGATTAATTTTTCTCACTGTCAGAAAAATTCTCCTTACTTCTAGATTGTATCTCTCTTTGACAAGCTTCCACCCATTACTTCTTGTCCTGCCCTTTGGTGCCTAGAGAATAAGTCAATCTCCTCTTCTCTGCCATGTCCTCCTAATCCTTCTCTTTGATAGGCTAGACATACCTAGCTTCCTTGTTTGTCATACGATTTAATGATTTAAATTTAGCAATTTAGTGATTGAAGGGATCCAGAGGATGCCAACTCTGCAGACACTTTACTAGAAGGCAAAAATTACAGAAGATAGTCAGGGTCCCAAATAACAAGGCACCTATGCCATGTTAGAGCTTTATAGATAATAACCAGTGACTTGAATTACATCTGGAAGCATAATGGGAACCAATATAGTTTACACAATAGGGACTGAGGGAGGCTCTGTTGTCTGGATATGTTCACAGCAAACAGTAGTAGTGTAGACTTACCTACAAGTAAGCTGTGAGGAACCTAATCCTTAGATTCCTACCTGCTTGCACTGGGAGCACATGGTTTATTGTTATGACTAAACCAGGCTAATAGCTTTGAGAATAAGAAGGCAGCTTGCCTAAATCTCTATCCACAGAACATCTTAAATTACTCTTCCCTATTTCAGCTAAAATGTGGAAGTTTATATCCCAATTTTTGATGAAAACCAGAAATTTTATAAAACGTGAATGAAAAATGTATGTGATGTGTGATCAAGCCTTACTTAATGATTCAACTGCAAGAAATTTTGGTTCTCATTTTAATATTGTACATTGATTTGTAGAAGTGTAGACAGGAAGTCCCAGATGACTCATGCTTACCATAAAACAACTCTATAAGACGAGTAGCAGTTTCATCTGGTTGTAAGGCTATGAGTTCATCTTCACTATCTTCATCCATTGCCATCTTTCTACTCCTTTCTTCCTCATAAAAGGTCTTCAGATGGTTATAGGCATCAATCATTTGGGTAGTATCATTAATTAGCAAGGCATCATTGTATTTCTTCAAGTGCTCTGCACATACCCGCTCTTTGCGAGTCCCTTCCTTGGCAGCTAGAAAAAAGAATAAGTAAGCAAAGGTCTAGGACAGTGGTGGCAAACCTATGGCATGGCTGCCATAGGCAGCACTCAGAGCCCTCTCTGTGAGCACACATGCCGTTGCCCCAGCCCTGCCTCCCCCCGCAACCCCCTCCTCTCCAGCAGCCCCCCTGAAGGAGAGTCACCCCTGAGCATGGCCCACGCAGAACAGCGCAGCCAAGGACATGGCAGCCAGGCAGCATAGGCAAGACTCTGCCCTCACAACCCATCATGCACAGTTGATGCTGTAGGGTGCGGGCAGAAGGCATGACCGCCATAGCGCTGCTGGGCTGCCTGGGCAATCTGTGGTGGGCCCTGGAGGTGGTGAGTGGCGTTGCGGGCAGGGGCGGTGGGCGATAGGGGGGTGGAACAGGGGTGGGGCAAGGGTGGAGCAGGGGCGGGGCCAGTTTTTGGGCACTCGGTCTCTAAAAGGTTCGCCATCACTGGTCTAGGAAAACTCTGGTCACTTATTTTAGCAATGTATTAACAATGTAGTAATCAAATGCAAACATTACCTTTCTTTTCCTCCTGAATGACCCACTGTTCGTAGGCCTGTGATCCAAAATCAGCATTTGGACTGAACTGGCAATAGCCTTGAATCTCAGTCATAATGTTTACGAGTTTCTCTTTAAATGGATCCTAAAATGTAAAACATGTCATCAGTTAACAATCACAGGATTAAAAGGGATCTTTATTTATTTATTAAATTTATATATGGCCTATCTCACTGTCCCAAGTGACTCTGAGATGTTGGCAGTTTGGAAATCTAGTCTAACAAACACACACACACACACACACACACACACACACACATACTCCTGCTCAGGGCAGAAATCCTCACATCACCCCTTTATGTCTAAATGTTGTTAGAAAAACCTCCAGTTAAATAGATATTCAACCAAAATCACAATAAATCTTTTTTTTAGTTTATAATTGAGGAAAATACTAGAAACATTGCATCATAGCAGACCAATTAATTCAGAGTCCCCTAACCTTTCTGGCTTTGCAGACCAGCGGGAGGGGGGGGGGACACTGCTCGTGCAAAAGAGGATGCGCACGTGCATGTGTGCACTTGCCTGCTGCTTCCATGGGCTGATTCTGAACAGCTCATAGTCAAATAGTGGGCCACGACCCAAGGGTTGGGGATCCCTGAATTAATCAATTGTATGCATACATAATGGCAACTAATCAAAAGAAATGAAAGTACATCACATTTCAGGAGGATCAATGTTAAAAACAAATCTTAACTAGATGTGTGGGGAAACAGTCTCCAGTTTCAGAGTTAAATATGAACTTTGAAAAATATGAACGCAGTCAGATACAAGAGTCTGGAGGAAGTGAATGACCCAGCAGGATATTTTCTTGTGTATAATGTGGGAGGGAAGAGGTGGTTCACTGAAATGTTTTATTTTGTTTTATTATTTTATTATTTTTGCAACAGCAGTAGCATTTAAACTTATATACCGCTTTACAGCAGAGTTCCCCAATCTTTCCAGCTTTGTGGATGAGTGGAGGAGGGGGAGAGTGGCTGGCAAGCATGTGCATAAACCTGCACCTCCATTTACATGAGTGGTGGACACATGTTCCCATGGCTCATGCAAATGGAGTGTGCATGCACGCACGCACACTCATCTGCTGCTTCTGTGGCCCAGTTACAAAAGGCTCACAGCTCAGTAGTGGGCTGTGGCCTGGGGGTTTACAGGGTCAGCATAGGGCCCCCAATAATCTGGCTCCTCATTTTAGCAACCTTGGAAGGATGGAAGGCTGAGTCAACCTTGAGCCTGTCAGGATCGAACTCCTGGCAGTGGGCAGACTCAGCCTGCAATACTGCATTCTAACTATTGTGCCATCACAGCTCCAGGGGTACTATTTGCTCCTATCTCCCTATGTTCCTAGGTGCAATCGTCATATACCGTATCTGCCGGCGTATAAGATGATTTCCAGAAGCGCTAAACTCGGCGCCAAAGACGGGGGTTGTCTTATACGCCGAGTCGTCTTATACGCCGGAAATACTGGTAGTTTCCGGCGTATAAGATGACGTTCTAGGAAGGCGACTCGGCGATAAAGACGGGGATCGTCTTATACGCCGGGTCGCCTAATACGCCGGCATATACGGTATGTTTCTTTTTTGGGGGACTAGGAGTGCAAAAAGAACCAAGCTGGAATCTTCCTCAAGATTTTAGTTTTTTCCATGAAGGAGAACTTTCTTTTCTGAAAGAGTAAGCTAACATTTGTAGGTGTGTCTTTTTGTAAAAAAAGAAAAGAAAAAAAAGAACCATACACAATACTGTAGTCACATGATCACATAAAGCACAACAAATATCCATACCTCCTTTTTGTCATCTGCAATCTCAAATTTCTTAAGAGGTTCTTTTGCTTGATGTTGCAGTTGCAAACTGTGCTCTTGAACAGTCACAATCTCATCTGCATCCAGGTTGGCACATATCTAGAGGAGAGAAAGTTATTTAAGTTATGGGATATGTAGGTCTGTTCAATGCTTTAGGAACAACTGGCGTGCAGCCTTAAAGGTGCAGCCTTAAAGAAGCAGCTGAGAAGCCTTCCTTGAGCATCTCTTTGATTGTTTCTTCGGAGCGATGTATTTAAGGCAGGCTAGCTTAGACAGTAACCTTTCTAGCAGTGTGCACCCAAAGGGTTATCCTGACTATTGTGAATGGCTTTGCTGTAGTTCTACTTTTGTCTCTCAAGTAGATTGCAGAGAGTGTTGCTTGGAGACAGTCATTCCTCAAAATGCAACCTATTATAAAGCGTCCCTCTAAAGAATGTCATTAAGATGGCTGCTATGAATACACCACTGATACCCAGATCTAGTTCTCTGTGACATCTTCAGAAAATGGATGTCTCCCCTCAGCCCTGCCACATGAAAATCCTTTGCCTTCATTGTTCCTCCCCACTTTGCTGCCTCTTCCCTTAAGCTGTGCTTGCTGGACAGCAAGGTCACCAGCCCTGAGAGCAGCAGAAGCAGAAAGTCACCAGTCCACCTGGGCTCCTTCCCAAAGTGCGGTTGCAGAGGTTAGAAATGGCAGACTTCCTTGTTCTGCATGGAATTGTCTTCTCTCCAACGTAGCAAGCGTGCACTTTGAGAATCCTGATGGATCTATAGCTCTCTGTGTGTCGCCAGACGGAAGGAACATCTAGATCAAACCATATATGGTATGATCTCTGGCTGAAAAGCCAATTGCATTAATTTCTGAAAGAAAATGATCTTAAACTGTGGTGCACATGCAGGTCTCAATATGGGACTGCCTTTCTATGACAAAGTATTGTTCTGTATTACTTTTACAGCTCTACACCCATTCCTCGTTTAGTGAGTGCTTTCGCTAGCAAGTACGATAGCAAAAAAAAAATAAAAATCATTTTCAGTCCAATGCACACATTTACAACCAAATCTCGTTCACCTAACAACAAAGCAAGCCGGAGTGAGACAAATGCTGGAACGACCAAATGAGAGAACTTTATCTGAATTGAGACAGTAGCAACCAGGCCATAAAGTCATGAAGCTGGGTTATCTGAGGGACTTCTCCCCAATTACATCTGGTTGCCCCATCAGATCTAGAGGAGGTGGCATGCTATGAGTCCTGTCAGCCAAGGAATTACATCTAATAGTTCACAGGAGGTAGATCTTCTCTGTTGCAGTGCCCACCTTGTGGAATATTCGCCGCTCCCCCGGAAGTGAGATGAGCTTCACTTCTCTCTCTCAACATTTCCCAACTCCTTCAAGACCTTGCTATATTATCAGGTCTGAGAGTCCCAGGGGACTGGGGAGATTTTATGATAGCCCCCTTACTGCAGTTAATATTATCCTCTCCTGTGTTCTGTACCTTTTTGATTTAATTTTTAATGTGTTGTATTGCAGATACTACATGCTGCCCAAAGTCATGTTCATTTGAGATAGGCAGCTATACAAATATGATAAATAAGCCAGTGATCTCCGCAGCGTCTCTTTCTCTCTGTCTCATGTGTTCACCTACTGGCCATTTTGTTTAATTATCCGGTCATTGGAATGCAACTCAGTTGCTAAATGAGGAGCAGGAGTACATCATCCAGGTTATTCAAAATAACCATATGTACAAAACATTCTGAAAATATTTGCCTACGGTTGTTTACAGCAAGTTAAATAACAAATAAATAAATTTATTTATTTACAGAAGTTGTGACCACACCATCACTGGAGGTTTTTAAGAAGAAATTGGACAGCCATTTGTCCTGAATGGTGTCGGTAGATCTCCTGTTTGAGCAGGGGGTTGAAACAGAAAATCTCCAAGATCCCTTCCAACTCTGTTTCTCTGTTAAATGTGGATAAAGTGCTGCAAAAAGTGTGGGAATAAAAATGCAGCACATCTCGGCAACTCTTTAAAGGAGTCACATTTTTTTCCTGAAACTGTTTGGCTGTCTTATGATCCTGTAAAAAATGTGGCTGCCTTAAAAAGTGGTCAACAGCAACTACATTCAAATGAATCGAAGCATGTTTAGAATGAAAACTGAAGCACAGCATAGCCCTATTATTTTCTGAGTTGTGCTGCCTTAAAGTTGTGAACTGTCAAGAAGTGAAGTTAACAATATATTTTCTAATTAAGTTTTCCTTTCATCAGTTGATATGTCTGTATTTGTCTCCCGCACCTCCCTGTTCACTGCAACAAAAGTTCAATGGTGAACTGTCACTTTGAATGATCTAAAATTTCTTCATCCTTTAACTTTCTAGTTCGTTATACCCCTATTTTCCCCTTTGAAAACTGCAAATCATTTGTTAATTTTTTTCCCCTACAAAGATAAAATTAATGCCAAAAGCATATTATTGGGCAGGAACAACATTCTCACACATACTTTTTACATCTCGTTGACAATTCTCTCTCAAGTTTCTTACATAGTAAAATTCAAGTTGACTTAGACCAGTGTTCCTGAGAAGTCATAGGACTTCCCCAAGCCTTTTCTTAGGGCAACTTACTCTAAAGCAGATACACTCACTTCAGGTCATGTCTTGGGACTTTATAAGAATGGACTCTTCACTCAAGAAATGCCAAGCTGGATTATTATTATTATTAGTGACAGACTTTTGCTGCACACTATATAAAGTACCACATCATTTCTTGCTCTTCTGGAGAATGTAGGTACAGATAGTCCTCAACATATGACCACAATTTCTGTCGTTAAGCAAGACAGTTGTTAAATGAGTTTTGCCCCATTTTACAACTTTTCTTGCCACAGTTGTTAAGTGAATCACTGCAGTTGTTAAGTTAGTAACAAGGTTGTTCAGTGAATCCAGCTTCCCCTTTGATTTTGCTCGTCAGAAGATCACAAAAGAGGATCACATGACCCCGGGACACTGCAACTGTCATAAAATACAAGTCAGTTGCCACACAACTGAATTTTGATCATCTGACTGTGGGGAGGTTCCAATAGTTGTAAGTGTCATAAGTCACTTTTTTCAGTGCTGTTGTAACTTTGTTGTAACCTATTCACTTTGCTTACATTTAGAACAGTTTGTGTCTTGCTAAGCTCTGGTTTAATTTGATTACACTGTTTAAATGAGCCACAGTGTCTGGATTCATGTGTCCCACTAAATTATGAATCATGATTTATAAATGTCCACGGCTGGCCTCTCATAGATCTTGCCAAGTCTAAAATTGCAGTACATACATCCTTAAAGTCCAGGAGGAAAACTGGGATATCAGTTTAATAAATAAAGAAAATTACATATATTATTCCTTGTAGGACCACACAAACCCAGTCAAACTCTGATTTCCTACATGAAAGTAGATTCTCTGCTCCAAACTTCGTTACAAGCAAGATCTCACACTTTAAAACCAACAGTGATAAAGTTTGCTCTTGTAGAGTATTCGTCCACTATTCTGTGATCATGCATAACTTACTGTTAGAATATGTTCCTCTGCTTTTGAATGATTTGTTGCACCTCCCACTCCGGGTGAGGCTGTTAGCCCCAGAATCTGAGGCTGAGGCATCAGTTGCTTTCCTTCTTTCTTTCGCTTCTCATTTTCCCTTTTTTCTTTTAAATAGTAACGCATTATATTGTTATAAACAGCTCCTTTCTGGGTGTGATGACATTCATCGATGATCATCAAGGAGAACACTAGAAGACACATTATGCAAATTGGTTACAGAGTCCTTGTGTTCATATACACTGTAGTAAAACAAAGTACTTTGCTTTTAATCAGCCTGTTTCTTGTGGAGTCCTGGGTGCACTTTGAATTTGGTTGTTGGCTTGCAGGCATTTCATTGCCTGACTAAATAATATGATCAGTGCTGGTGGGCATGTGGTTTGTTTCCAGTTTAAATACATTAGCTTATCCTGCCACTGTTGGGGGGGGGTGGCCTTCTTCTTGGTAGCTCCTTGATTTTAGAGTATTATTTTCTGCTTGTTTGTCTGCTTAATTGTCTCCTTAGAAGTTCCTTGATTTGGGTATTGTATATCTTAAAACCCTAAACCAGGGATAGGCAACCATGGCTGGCTCAGGAATTCTGGAAGTTGAAGTCCACGAGTCATAAAAGAGCCAAGGTTGCCTACCCCTGCCCTAAACCCTAATGAAGCAAGATTAACACACCTGTGGTTTCATTTGGTGACTATTTCACTTAACAACTGAGTTGAGTTCCAATTATGGTTGCTAAACAAGGATTATCTGTACTTCCATGGCAGGCTGGAGAATCTGTAGCCTAGAAGATGTGACTGGAATGAAACCTTCTATTGTTCTCAATCATTTACCATGCTGCAGAATCACAGCTTTTCAATATCTGGCTGAGAAATCAGTGCTTTTATTTTTGTATAACCAATAATTGTGTTCAAAGTAAAATGAAATATTCATTCTGAATATGCTTCCCATCGTTTCACTTTAGTCTCTTAGGTCCACGCTATGGCTGCCAGAAATATTTTCTTCTTCCCTCAACTGTTTGCAGTGCATAGGAGCAAACAGCCACAAATGGAGGGAAAGTTTTCAGAAGAAAACTAATATGAATCCCTAATCTAGGCTATGAACATTTTCTAGACTGATGCCCAGGTTTGGCAGTCCTTCACAAATAAAAGAGGCAGATAGGACCAAATGTGCTTTTGAAGGATACAGGGTGGGTAACTTTTCACCATACTATTTTTGGTATTATTTTCAATCTCCGTGAGCTATAAGTATTATTCTAGTTATATTGTTGGAAATGGGATCATTTTTTGAAAAAAAAAAGTATATAGAGGCCTATATACTCAAAAGATACGTTAAGCCTTGTGAAGACTAGTAGATGCACCTTGCATCTTTTGGGGGTTCTCCAAGCAGAAATCACTCAACATGAAGGTTGTTGCTATGAGTTGGTGGTTATTGTGGGGAGGGTCAAATAGGGACAGAGATTCTGTAGGTCAGTGATGGCGAACCTTTTAGAGATCGAGTGCCCAAACCGCAACCCAAAACCCACTTATTTATCTCAAAGTACCAGGGCCGCATCAGCATTGTGATGCCCTCGGGGGGGCAGCGGGAGGGCATGGCCCACTGGGTGGGTGTGGCTGTGGTGGTCATGGCAGACTGGGTGAGCATGGCTGCAGTGGGCGTGGCCACCTTGATGTTGCTCATGGGGGGACGCCTATGGGGGCTGGGCAGGATTGGGGGAGATCCAGGGGGTCTTGTGGGTGGGGCGGTAGGCAGGAGGTTTTTCCTGCAGGGTGAGACAGGGGGTGGGGGGTGCCACTGCTGCAGGGCAAGGCGAGGTGAGGCAGGGGCAGCTGCTGCCTGACACCATCGACCCCCGCACACAGAGGTCAGCGAGTGCATGGGGGAGTGCTCTACTATCTCTACTCGAGCTTGTTAGCAGGCTGCTTCGCCTCCTTTGTGCTAGGGGGGGGGGTTGTTTTTCCAGGCGCCGGCGGCAGCCTAATGGACCTGTGCGAGATGCTGGTGGCAGTGGCAGGTGTGCCCACAGAGAGGGCTCTGAGTGCCCCCTCTGGCACGCATGCCATAGGTTCGCCATCACTGCTGTAGGTGGATTGCAGCTTGCCTGCTCCTGCTGTAATACATTTGGTGTTCAGGTCTACACAGCTATCTATACATACCTGATAACTGGACTCCTTCTTCATCATCTTCATACACTTTCTCCAGCGCATTCTCCAGGATCTTAGCAGTACAAATAATCACATCATAATCTTTAATTAGTTCAGGGAATGAAAATTTCAGCTGAGATGACCCACTCAGCCCTATTGTTCGGTACGCATGCTTCATATAGGGACCAAATTCATTCTCTAAATGTTGCTCCACCAGTGGCACCTGTTTTCCAGAGAGAGAGAGAGAGAGAGAGAGAGAGAGAGAGAGAGGGAGGGAGGGAGGGAGGGAGGGAGGGAGAGAGGGACGATATAATTAAACAGATGTTCATGACAATGGGCTTAGACCAACATTTTCCCCTTCAGTTCTCCAGCAGACATGGCCTTTGATTAGAGGACATGAAATCCAATTATTCAAAAGAAACCAATATGCAAAAGGCTGTTTACATAAAGTTCTTTGATTACTGTAATATTTACTTATGTCTCCTGGTAGATCAACAGATGGAAATTGTGGCCAGGAATACCTTTGCCCAGCTCAGGCTTGGTGCATCAACCTGGGACCAGAGGACTTTACTCCAGTGGCTCACATCTTTGTATCATTATATTGCTTAGATTAGTGCAATATACTCTGCATATGGCTACCTTTACCCTGTAGCCTGGAAAGTTCAGCAGGTGCCAAATGTAGCAGTCTAGTGCTCACCAGCAGTAGTTGGTAGGATCTTATGATGCCTTATGGGGAGTGGGAAGCTACTGTACTTTCCAGCATATAAGACGACTTTCGCAAGCTTTAAAATTGGCGCCAAAGACGGGGGTCATCTTATACGCCGAGTCGTCTTATACGCCAGAAATAACGGTAGTTTCCGGTGTATACGATGACTTTCTAGGCATGCGACTCGGCATCGAAGACGGGGGTCGTCTTATATGCCGGGTTGCCTTATACACTGGAATATACGGTAATAAGGAGCACTGACTCCTTGTTAGCTTCCAAAACCTTTTTTTTTTTAATTTAAAAGACCTGTAGACTCAGCCTCTAGTTAATTTGCATGGGAGAATCTGATGGTGCTGGAAGGTCAAGGGTTCCAAAGCATTTTTTCAACGATCTGGGTTGGTCTTCCCTTGGGGATTGATTTAGCTCTGATGTTATTTCATTTTCAAGGAGAAGAAAAAGACAGGACTCTGGAGAGTGTTTGGAATGTGATGTCATTTAATTATTTTTAGTGGGCGTAGGTATTGATCTTTGGGTATATATATCTTGTGTTTTGCTTTATTATATGCTGCTAATAATTTGTTTAGAATGCAACGGGATAGAAATTTGGTAAATAAATACATATCCAATAATTAAACCTAGTAACAGGACATCAACACAAGTAGAAAAGTTCATGCAACCAAGACTCCTGCATTTTTTCCAGATCAACCAAAGAGTTTTAGTCATATTTAAGCAAACAGAGACAGAATTTCCTTCATTCCTTTGAGGAAAAGCCAGCATGAATAGCTTCACCCTTCTTACTCATATTCATTTATGCACTTGATTTTACTTAAGACCTCATGAGAATTACAAAACCAAACAATAATGGTTTAGCTGTTAGCACTGAAGCTCAGTCTGGAAAGGACACAAAGAGAAGATGGTTGGAGACTCTTCAGATCAGTATAGAATTTGGCTTTTTCAGAACTTGAATCACAGGAAGGATTTTGATTTTGTAAAATGTTGTAAGACTCTGCTCAGAGTCTTCTGGAGTAGGCAGCCATAATACGTTTGATTAAATAAACAAGGCCCAGGTAGTTTATATTGCTCATGAGAGATGAAAGTCTAGTGGTAGACTTCTACATTTTGGGACTTCACCATTCATTCTGCTAACCAGAGCCTGAACTCCCATCTTGATGTCACCATGGACAACATTAATTGCTGTTACCATTTATCACAGGGTGCTTTACCTTGTTGACAAGAACTACAACCTTTCCATGTTCTTTTGCTTTTCTTTTTGTATCTAAGTGGTCTTTGGCAATATAAACAGCAACTCGAGTCTTGCCAGTGCCTGTGGGGAGGCATATAATAATATTTTTCCCTTCCAAGGCTGGTTTGGCCACTTCCATCTGATAGTCTCTCAGATGCAGTTCTTTTTCAGGGGAAGATCTTTGGTTTCTACTTTCAACATGATCTGCAGATCCAAAAAAAAAAGTACAAATCATTGATAATGAAAAAAAAAGAAATTATTATGATTTCTCCTACCTAGTAAGTGCTCCAACACTGGAGGCTTTGAAGAAGAGATTGGACAACCATTTGTCTGAATTGATATAGGGGTCCCTGCTCGAGCAGGGATTGGATTAAAAGACATTCAGGGTGTCTTCCAGCTCTGTTATTCTGGTAAGTGTTCCCCAATCCGAAGGATGCAACAGTAGTCTTGAGACATCTCAGTTTTAGTGAGTTTTATATTTTCAAGGGTTTATGACTGATGTTACTGTCTAAAATGTTAGGACTCTGCGTGCTTTGAAAATTATTCAGAAGGGCTTTAAACTTCATGCACCTTTCTGCTGTTCATGAAAGCATCACTTTTGTTATTAAGCTAAGATGAGATAGATAAGATAACCTTTATTGTCATTTTTTTTACTGTGGGCACAACGGCACACATCAAAAATGAAATTTAGTTGCCCGTTCTCAAAGAGAAACACATACATGACACACATCTAAACATACTATGAACAACATATGTACAGATCGATATCCCTATATATGCATAGCAAATAAATATTAAATACTGTCCATCTTGAATATATAACGGAAGGAGGAAGTTTGAGAGTTCACAAGGTTAAGCTTGAGAGTTCACAAGTAATTTTTCCAGATTATTTTCAAAGGATGTACAATCCTAGTAGGAATCCCTGAATCACACTCCTTTCTGTTTTAAAAATCTAGTCTTTGGCTCTTCAGAACTAAAACCATTCAAAATTATCTAGTCCATTTTGGTTGCCAGCCATTACTTTGTTGCCCTGATGTGTCCTCCTTCTTTGAATCTCCAGCTTTCTTCTTCTTGCTCCTGCTTTTTTCTATGGCAAAATACGCTCACTCTATTTTCAGAATCCTCCACACAGAATCTATTTTCAGAATCCTCCACAGCTAACAAGAACACATCTGGCTGGGTGTGTAAGGTATGCAATAGGATAGCAGGAGCCATGGATAATTGAATGCTGTTACAGCATCCCAGTTACGTTCATTAGCCAAAATGATGGAAATTCCTAGCAGATTGGCAATAGAAGCTAATTTTTATGGCACAGGTTACAATGAAGAGACCTTACTATGAAACTCCTCTTGTTAACATTATTTCTTATGTAGCTATGGATCATTTCAATGTAAGAATTTCCACAGATTAATAAAGATGTGAATTAGAAAAACCTTGTTAGGTGTTTATTAGATCTATTAAGGCTGCTCAATTTCAAAAAGACTCTTTGTATTTTTTTTTCTTTTTATGATATGACCTTGTAGTCCCTTTATTTGGCATAGAGTTGGGGAGACTGGATGGAACTGAGCATTTACTAGCCGGATGCCCTTCCTGATGCCTAGGTGGAGTTCGCAGCAGATATTTTTTTCTTTGCACCCCAAGAGAGAAACATCTGCCATTACCTAGTATTGAACTAGGTGGGAGGTGAGTGTCTTCACCACTAGGCCACCGTGCCGCTCTAAAAAGACACTTTGTAATAAAATAATCAATTAAAAAATAAGATTAGTTTTAGCAATTATATGTTTTTCTCTGGAAAAATTAAGACAAAAGAAAAAAACCTTTAAAACCTATAATGATGGTTTAAAACATATGTTTAAAATATTAACATATGCTGAAACAGACAGAATATAGGAAATAGACTGGAATGAGAGAAAAATTACCAGAAAAATATCTGATACTTAAAAATATTATTTCTGGTAAAATTGTTAATGTAGGCCAATCATAAAGAAAATCATCATAAAGTTATTTATAGATAGGATAAGGAAGGGTCACACCTTTTGGTAACAGGTAATTCCATTAAAAGTGACTAAGCTCACAGAACTTACTGAAGCTTGCATAATACTTCCTAATGGACATCTAAGTAGAACTGCTTCTTTTGTTTGAGCTACAGAAAATTATCATCCGAGAAATCTTTTCTGCAGTTGTAGAACTACCACTTCTGTTGGAAAAATAGTCCAATTTGTGGCCCAGCCTCAATGTTAGGAATGTGACTATTTCTTTCTTCCTAAATATCCTGATATCCTCTGGCTATTAGAAAGCCCTGGTGGCACAGTGGTTAGAATGCAGTATTGCAGGCTAATTCCGCCGACTGTCAGCAGTTCGATTCTCACAGGCTCAAGGTTGACTCAATTTTCCATCCTTTCGAGGTTAGGAGCCAGATTGTTGGGGACAATATGCTGGCTCTTTAAACCACTTAGAAAGGGCTGTAAAGCTGTACGAAGCAGTATATAAGTCTAAGTGCTATTGTTATTGCTATTGCTATTCTCTCACAGAAATGTGTTAGTTAAATGAAAAATTATTAGCACTGACTGTGGAATCAGCGAATTGAATTGGAGCAGGCCATTTTTCTGGAGGAAACCTTACACAGAGATGTCCTCCTAATCTCTAAGCTACAAAAGTGGTCAAGTGCTGGGGCTGATTATTGATGCCATCTTCTCTGAAAAGTGATAGCCTTGGGATGGCCCAAAAGTTCATACCTTCTTAGAGTGGAGATACTGCAGGAGTTACTAACACTGGTTCATGCCTTTCTCATTAATAGACTGCAGGATGACATGTAGGGCCTACATAATTTATGTGAGAAGGCAGAAGGTCTATTATAGACTGGGTTCCGTCTATAATCTATTATGACACTTGAGCTGTCAAGAAATAGTGATATCTCCTACTATGCATGACTTATATGGAACTATCCAAAGTTAATGTTATTTACAACAACATTATTAGGGACTCTGAGTTAATGATATCTTCTAGTGCTGCAATGATTTTTTTTTCTACAATTGCTCTGACATTTTTGTTAGACAACACAAGTTTCAAGTAGTAACACAGCTGGTATAATGCCATAATGTTTTAACTAAATTGATTCCTACTATAAGTTCCCAAGTCCTAGAATGAAGAATGGAGATAGCTAGATAGATGCAGAATGTTTTCTGAAAACACTTCCGTGTACATTTTAGTTATACTTTAGCTATATCCAGTGCTCTTTTTCTATAAAAAAAAAAAGGTGTCGAAACTCACACACGTCATACAACCCACCTTGCCTACCCTATAAGGTGCTGGAACTCTGTTCTGGGCTTTCTATGAGAAAAAAAGCCCTGGCTATATCTCATTAGCTAAGGCCATTTTAAGATAAAGGAGCACATGCTATCATGATTTCCAGGTTTAATATTTCATTCCATCTCCTATAACTAACCAACATTGTATGTTCAAAATGTGCAGAATTGAACAGAATTGAATATGTGCATAACTAAACAGAATTGCCTGTTCAGAATATGATACTACAATTGCTTAATGGTTAGACAGTCAGTGTACAGCACTGAATGCGAAGTGTGGTAGATCTTTTGCTCTTCCCTTCAAAGATATGCTGTCCTTGTTTTCTATTCACATTAGAATTTTAAGATAATCTAATTTTAAGAACAGTAACTTAATCAAGTGAGCATGGAAATACATCTAGGCCTAATCTCTTTTCCATGTTAACTGTCTGCTAAGATCTTTATTTTTCTTTAAAAAAATAAGCAATAAAAGACAAAAACAAATGTGAAGAGAAAGAATGCACAGACCAAAGGTTGAAATGAAAATATGATAATTACATAAAGATTAAAAAAAAACATTTTAGGGAAAAAGAAAAAGCTAAGTCTAGTTTAATGAAGAGAAAGGCTAGGGATGTCATGATAGAAGTTTTCCAATATTTGAGTTCTCCAAAACATCTGAGGGCAAGATTAGAAGTAACAGATGGAAACTTATCAAAGAGAGATTCAACTTACAGCTAAGGAGAAATTTTCTGACAGTGAGAAAATGAATTAGTGGAACGGCTTGCCTTCAGAAGCTGTGGGTACTCCAACTTTGAAGGTTTTCAAGAGACCAGAATGGTATAGAATCTCCTGCTTGGGCAAGGGGTTGGACTAGAAGACCTTCAAAGTTCCTCCCAACTTTGTTATTCTGTAATCTTAATATTTGTCACCATCTCTCTTTTTCCCTCTCAAAAGTCATAACCTTTTCTATACTTTGGCTTCAATCTTATACAGGCTTGCCAAGAAGATAAGTCCACTGCCATCTAAGGGTAGGCAGAGGCAGGAGATGGATAAATTTGGGCAAGCACCATGACAACGACTACTCAAAGAAGAGCAGATGATCCAGGTTATATTGGCTTGTACTTTGGTTCCTCAGGTCACAGCATTTTTTTTTCTTCTGTTTTTCAAAAAACTGATAATTAGAGGTCCAGCCAGCCAGCCGGGCATGCTCATTTTATTATTTTTAATATATCTAGTTATGCAATGACCAAGTAAAATTAATTAGCTGCTCCATGGCAGTTATAGGCATGCCCTTATTGTATTTTATTTCCCATTTCTTTTTAATTATTATTTAAGCATTTATTACTTTGAGTATGATAACTCCCACATAAACTGTAAGTAGGAACTAGCAATTCATATGACTAAAATACTATTATTAGCACGGGTAGAATCAATCCATAGAACCTGAGGGTTTTCCAAGAGCCTTGCTGGAGACAAAGATTTACATGCTTTAAAAAAAAAAAAAGTATACTTATGCTTTACCTACTTCAAAAGTCTATGACAGCCTACACCAGTGTTTCTCAACCTTTTTAATGCCACGACCCCCAACCGGTCGTAAGTTGAGGACTACTCAACCGGTCGTAAGTCGAGGACTACTCAACTGGTGCAGCACTGCTTGCAGAATGGGACTTTTGGCAGGCTCAGCAGGGCAGAGACAGCCTGGACAATTCCTATTGGCTTTTGAAAGCCAATAGAATTAGACTCTATTCAAGAGAGTCTATTCTCTTGGCTTTCAAAAGCCAATGGAAAAAAAGGGAGTAGCACAGCTAAGGAAAAGGGGAAAAAAATGGCAGACAGTGTTGTTTGGCGACCCCCGTGAAATGGTCATTCGACCCCAAATGGGGTCCCGACCCACAGGTTGAGAACCACTGGCCTACACAGTTACTTACAATTCAATATCCCAAAAGGGTTTTTTGATGTTTTGTCCTCATTTAAGAAACTCTGAAATTCTTGCCTATCTTCCTAACTGGTGCTGTATCCAATGACCTGCCATTATGTATGAGTAATTCATATGATTGCACAGATAATTTGGACATTGATATATGCTAAACCTATGATGATCTTACTTAGATGCTATGCTTCCTGTTGGGATGAAGCCAACTTCAAATGTATCCACATAAGATCATTTAATATTATTTATCGTACTAATTCTGTCCATTTGAGAGTTAATTTCTCTCATTTCTAAGTAGCTGCTAACATAAATAAAGAAACTGACTGTAAAATACTGGATGTCTAATTGCAGTAGATCCAGAATACAGGAGTATTTCAGGTAAAAGAGTGACAAAAATGTCCAGAAACTAGCAGGAGGACCTGTTCTTTCTATCTCTTGCTCGACTGTTTTCCTTTTTAATATCTAACCTTAAATTTCCTATTTCTGTGAGCAGCTTCACACGGAACATGATCAGAAGGGTACATGTGCACCATATATGGGAATGCATGTCTTTGTGGGAACATGGTGAATGGATTATCTAGCAAGCTTGCACCTAAACTCAGCAAGGCAAAGTGATCAGTGAGAAAAGTTACAGGCTGTTAAAAACTATATAGCATAATCAACTAGAATTATGGGAGAATTGAAGCACACAGTTTGGCAGAGAGACTCTAAGTTACATATGGAATGGTTCGGACAATTTACACTTTGTGTAACTACTTTATTTTGCTCTTCCACTGTAGGCAAAGGAAGCAGTAACACAAATTAAAGAACACAGCAGCCCCCCGATGCTGCACTACATGGCCATGTATACGAAGCTTCTATCACAACAAAAAGTTGACTGAGCATATGCTTCTGATTTCATTTCATGCTTACCAGAGTACAACGAAAAAAGTCCTACCTGAATCATCACTGTAAAGGTTCATCTGTCCAAAGTCTGCAATCACATCACAGAAATTTGTTTCTTGCAAACTGACATCAGATTCTGGCAGGTTGAATATACAAGCACACAAACACACATGTCACGATGCACAGTTATTTCTGCCTCCATTTAACATACTTTGCTGTTTAATGTAGCCCCTTTCCTTAATCTTATTCTCTTTAAATAAGTAGATTTTTCTGTTAGTATAAGAGAGCTAGAAGCTGCTATGAAATGTTTAAAGCACATCTGAAAACTTATGAACATTGAAAGGCTTTTTTTCCCTGTTTGTATTTTCTGCGTGAATTTCACTAGTTCAGACACTGGGAGACAAACGTGAATCATATTCAGGCATATGAATCTCTCATGAGGAATCGAATATGAGGAATCAAAGTCTAAAACAGGTATATTTATATGTGCCTGTTTCCATATGCATATCAATACAGAACTAGCAATAGCACTTGGACTTATATACCGCTCCATAGTGCTCTACAGCCTGTCTAAGCAGAGTGAGCCTATTGCATATTGCCCCCAATAATCCAGACCTCAGAAGAATGGAAGGCTGAATCAACCTTGATCCAGTTAGGATCGAACTCCTGGCTGTGGACAGAGTTTGCTTGCAATACTGCATTCTAACCACTGCGCCGCCCATATCCAACTCCCTCCCTTTCTCTCTGTGTGTATTTCAGAATTGTTTTGCTCTTACCTTCTCTTTTCTAGAGCTAAAAGAGAAAGACTTGTCCAAGGCCACCCAGCTGATTTTATGACCTAAGGTAGGACTACCACTCAGTCTCCTGATTTGTAGCCTGGTGCCTTAATCACTAGACCAAACTGGCTGTTTTTGATTTATATTGGGTAAGGCATAATTAGGCAGTGCAAAGAAGCCCCTTGCTTGAGACCATAACATTAAATTTGCTTTATCTAGCCCACATTTAACACAAGATGCAATGGGATTTATTGTGGCTAAAAAACAGATTATGCAGCAGAAGAAGCAGATCTTCCTAACAAGGATGAATAGAGTGCCACCTACTGATTCCAAAGGTATTTGAAGATGAATAGTGTTCGAACTGAGAGGATTCTTGGCACTCTATCCTGATTAGGCAAAAGTATAAAATTGAGATAAAAACCAGGGCCCTATTTTGCAAAATTCAACCTCAGCCAGTGGCCTTGTAAGGATGAAATTCATTCTTCCCTTCCAACAGGAGAAGATATGAGAGGGAAAAAATAAAATAAAAAAGGATTCTTTTAGAACAGGGGTGTCAAACTTGCAATGTTACATGACGTATCGTGATTTTCCCCCCATTGCCGGAGCTGGGGTGAGTGCGAGTTTGGCATGACGCATCCGGCCCAAGGGCCGTCAATTTGACACCCCTGATTCAGAACAATGACAATACCAGCAAAATACTGGGCTGGAAACAATAATTCAATAATTTATTTATAAGATTAAGTACTTATATAATCCCTTACTTATTTTAGAAAACTTAAAGGACTGATTGTGCATTTGGAGATGAGAACAACGTATTTAAATTAAGAACAGAACACCTTCTCTTTCTTATTTAAACAAGCTCAGAATCCATTTATATACATTTCTTGGACAGACAGATGTAACTGAATCACAACAGGAATGACTCATGATTATGTTTCCAATGGGGGTGGGGGGGTGGGGAGGAAAGCAAAGTTATGTCTTCTCCTTCAGCAATGGAGGTGCTAGGAGATGCTAGCAGAGAGAGAGAGAAAGTTTATACCAATTAATTCTAACAGGGTGAAAATTATACAATGATTATGAAAGGCACTTTCTTTGTAACTGTTGAGGAACTGATGAGGGAAATCGAGGGGAAACAACTTTTTTTTGGAAAACAGAAAAAATAAATAAAAGTTCCTACATGTAGCCCGGAATTCATATGCTTTTTCTAGCTATGTATCCTCTTTCTCCCCAAAACACTTTCTGTCCTTTGGGTGATTGTGACATAGCAAGAGAGACACAGATTTTGAAAGCTATTTGTAATCAGGGCAGATAATATCAAGCTAGGCTGATAACCATTCTGGCCAGTGTAGTGCAATTTCCTGGAAACTGATGCCACTGCTTCCTTCCCCATACCAATATTTTCATAATGCAAGTAGCATGGCACAACCAGAACTGGATCTTAATATAACACTCTTTATAAATAGATGGAGTAGGGGGGAGGTATAGAGAGTATAACCCTATTTTTTGGTTTTTAAATAAAATGCAAACTGCACGCATGTAAGTTATTGTAACCCAAATAGGGTAGTTGGAAGCACCTAGCTAATCTTGGTTGAAGGGGGCAACTTAAGCAGGGTTGGACCTACTTAGTACTTGGATGAAAGACTACTTGGGTGCTCTATCAGTGGAGGTTTTTAAGAAGAGATTGGACAGTCACCTGTCTGAGATGGTATAGGTTCTCCTGCTTGAGCGAGAGGCTGGACTAGAAGACCTCCAAGGTCCCTTCCAGCTCTATTCTATTCTTCTTCACTGTCCTACCCCTTGTCCAAATTGCACATGGCTTTGTCCAAAATGTGTGCAGCCTTTTCATGAGGTTTAGGAAGGCAGGCATATGAAAGATGGTTGTAGCTGCTTTGGTGCCAAAGGAGGACCCTTTCTTTTTACTCTTGGAGAGTAGAGGAAGAATACAAAGCTAGTCTTAGTGCTTTCATGGTGCATGTCATTACTTCCTGAAAAGTTCGGAACCCAATGTCTTTAATATGAGGGAGATTTGGCACAGATTTAATTAAACTGATTATATCAGAAGACAGCAAACTTTTCAGACAGAAAACACCATGAAGTGATTTAACCTAATATTGTGCATACTTTCCTCCCAAAATGTTAAATTGGAAGGAAAACAGTTTTTGGGCTCCTTTAATTAAAAATTCTTGGAGAACCCTGAATGCCATCTAGTGTATCATATATGTAATGGCACCCACACTTACAATATTACTGATCAGTTATACAAATTATAAAAACACTGGTAGATGACAAATCACCTGAAATTGCAAGGAGGTCTTCAAATGATTTTTCTGATGCATTCTTGTCATCCTCTGGAGTTTCTTGTAATCCAATTCTTGGCTGCAGATTCTCCACATCTTCAGAACTTGGTGCCTCATACATTTCGTTTGATGAATCAGAGGCTCCATTTACGCCTTGTTCTGTTCAACCAAAATAAAAAGCTGCAACCCATAACTGAAGCTTACTCATTTAAATAACTGCTCAATGAATGACCTACAAAAAAAATGATGGACTTCAGTTTCTAATATACAATTTGGGATGTGCTCAGGGCTAAACTGAAAGAAATCTTGGAAATTTTATGATCAGAACTTCCATCTGTCACTGGCTGTCCTTGTTCATATATGCACCCAAATAACAGGTATGAAGGAACCTTAACTGAAGAGTTACAAAGCATAGTAGCAGAAATCAAATTTTGAAAGTAGAGAATTTTCAGAAGGCGTGAAGCTTTAAAGTGTAGCTTTAAAAATGAGGAGAAAAACAGAAATCAGATCACAGACTATGACAACTCAAGAGAAATTAAGTTCTACTGAAATAAGTTTGTTACCAATAAACAATAGATCTACAAGTTGTCTATTTAGAAACACTTTCAATGTTTTTAGTGTACCTTATTCCTAAGTAAATGTAGAAACAAATAAAGTAAGTAATAATCTCCAACACAATATTATCAGACTCTACCAATATATAAAAATACAGGTAGCCCCTAACTTACAATCATAATTGGGATTGGAACTCCTGTTGCTAAGCAAGGCCATCATTAAGCAAGCCATGCCCAACTTCACAACCTCTTCTGCTACAATCATTAATTGAGTCATGTGATTGTTAAAATAAATCATGTAGTCATTAGGCAAATCCAGCTTTCCCTATGGATTGTACCTGTTGGAAACTGGGTAGGAAGGTCAAATGATCATGTAACACTGGGATGCCACAAACTATCATAAAATACATGTTGGTTGCCAAGCGCCCAAATTTTCATCATGTGACCATGGGAACGCAAGTGCAAGCACGAGTCATAAATCACTGGTTTCAGGCCTGTTGTAACTTCAAATGGCCACTAAACAAATGGTTGCAAGTTGAGGACTATCTGTAAGCATAGGTCAAAAGTGATTCAGTTTATTTTGATTCAAGACTGCTCAATTATTTTCCTATTAAAAATGTAAGCCAATCATATTTGAAACATACAGTTATGCTCCTAGGTTTACATAACCCATGTAAAATTATTTCCTTTGGAAATAAGCACACCATCAGTACACAAACATTTATCAAAACATGAACATACGTTAAATGAAATTGTATTATTACCGTTTGGGTCCCCGCTTATGTAAGCAGCCATGTTTGCATGACCAGCTTCACGCAGGGCTTCTAGAAAGGGTGAGAGCCATTCTTTCTTCTGTATTATCCTATAGAGCATTTCTCTCACTGCTGATTTATTCCCCTGCTTATTTTTTTCAACAATTACCTGTTTAGGAAAAATAAAGAGGCAAAAGAAACATTTTGGTAAGATGCTTCACAATGTGTATCAATATTTTTTTGCAGTCTGCGATTTAAAACCACAACGTGTCAATTCTACAACAAACCTGGCTGCAGCCATTTCCTTTGTTCTAAGTTGCCACAGGATTGGGAGGGGGTGGGGAGGATTTCTACTAGTCAAAACATTTTACTGTCCCATGGGAACCACGGTCATTTCTGTCAGTTAGGTAGGGGCTGGAGCATTTAGTTAGAAATCCCACAAAACTTTTCTATTGGGGAATGTAGCTGATTGCACAGTTCAACTTTGTAATATTGTTGCTTTCTGAAAGGAACTTCAGACTTGGTTTCACTTTTGACCAAGCCAATACTATGTAACCAATAAACATGTTCTTTGAGGAAATCTCAAGCCTCAGAGTTCTGATTTATTTGGTCTTGTCTGTCGGAACCATTACACAACGTCCGGTCTAGACGGCTCCTCCTTAGGAGTTCTCGGAGTATATGATGCAAGTAGTTTGCCTTAGTTGGGGCAAGATTTCTGTCTATGGGTGTGTAACCATAAAGGAAACTGCTTAGAAGAAACTCACCATGTCTTTCTTGGTTTTGGGAGCCAGAGAGTTCTAGCTCAGCAGTTCCTTGCAGCAACAGTGAGGGAAATCAAAAAGAATGGAATATTTCAAAATCAGACTGCTGCTATGGCAAGAAGTCTGCCCTGAATATTCTCTGACTTTGCTTCTTTCTTATAGGTCACCTAGCAGAGCTTGAGTTGACAAATGCTGCTCAGAAGAGAGCTAGAAATTGTTTTAACTCTTTGAAAACACAGGGAGTAGTACATAAAGGTAGTCCTCGTTTAGCAATGGTCTTGCTTAGCAAATATTCAGTTACAGGGATGATGAAAAAGCAACTTTCTGACGAATCCTGGCATTTACGACCTTTGAAGGTCTATAAAGCAAAGGTCAGGGGAAGCAAGATCATAAGCATGGTCACAGTTTCACTTAGCAACCACTTTACGTAATGACCAAGTTGCCGGTCCCAAGTATGGCTAAACAAGAACCATTTACTTAGTGACCATTCAAAGTGAAAGTGGTGCTGATAGTGATGACTTACGACTATTGCAGCATCCTCATGGTCATGTGATCAAAATTTGGGCACTTGCCAACCAGCATGTATTTACAGCGATGGCAGCATCCCAGGCGCACATGATTGCCATTTGCAATCTTCCCAGCCAGCTTTCAACTATTATTTTCTTTTACATATGTAATGTATGACAGATCAGTTAGGTTGCAAACAGTTGTACAAGCTTATAAACTTTGGATTTGTTTTGCAAGGGGGGGAGAAGCTATTACTATTGCAATAGTTTTGTCAGTGTTCAATTAGGGGGGGGTATGTGTTTTTGTTATTTTTTTAATTCATACTTTTTCAATGTTTTGTTTTATTTTGTTTTGTCTCTTAACTTTTTTTCTTTTGGATTTTGAGTTTTAATTTTTTTGAATAAAATAAAGTTGATTAAAAAAATAAAAAGTCATATGTCATTTTTTCAATGCTGTTATAACTTTGAACGGTCACTAAGCAAAATGGTTGTCAGTCAAGGACTACCTGTAGCAATTCCTTTGGCATTGTTTTCCTTTGCATGAAACTCACTTGCTAGCAGGAAAAACCACATCAGCTCCATTTCTTACATTGTAGCAGAGCATGGATGAGCAAACATAGACAAGTGCCTGGAATGAAGGTTTAACAACCATTCAAGTTGCCAGAGTGACAGTTTGCATCAAGGGTATATTGATCTTCTGAAGCCTTACTCTTTGTCACAAAATGGGTGTGTACAGAAGGCAAGTGACAAATTGTGCATTATGATAGATTACACACCTTTTACATACTTATGTGCAATATTGTGATCCAAGCATGAAAATGTCATGAAACATCTGTTTTGGCATCATGATGATTAGGAGCAGAATTCTATGGTCAAACAAACACTTCATGTTTGTGAGTGTTAACTTCAAAATCCTCTTTGTGAATAATTGATTGTTGGCCAGCCCCAGTGTTAACTGTCTTGGTTAAGAAATAGGAAATATAAACAAATACACTGCCCAGAGCCCCTTATGAGGGAGTTGGGTAGTTAAAAAATTAGATAGATGAGAAGGGGTGAGGAAAGAGAGAGCGAGATCTCTAAAATAGGTATAGTGAAAAAGACTCATTTGGCAAAAATATATGCTTGCTCCAAAATTGATTTGTAAGGTAAATAACCTACAAGTCAGATTTTCCATTTATGATGGGTTTGGCCTTCCATACAGTCTACTACGTTTTTTCTCAATCTCAACCATTTTAAGGTGTGTGGACTTAATGCTGGGTGAGGAATTCAGAGAGTTGAAGTCCACACATTTGAAAGCTGTTGAGGTTCAGAAATCCAGGTCTAGTATAAAGAATTCTGGGAGTCATTCCAAATACCTAAGCCCTCTTCTTTCCTCTAGCCCAGGGGTCTTCAAACTTGGCCCTTTTATGATTTGTGGACTTCAGCTCCCAGAATTCCTTAGCCAGGCACTCTGGCTGAGGAATTCTGGGAGTTGAAGTCCACAAGTCATTAAAGGGCCAAGTTTGAAGACCCCTGCTGTAGCCCATTTCGCTGCAATCCCCTGCTCCCCCTAATTTCAGGAGAGGACCCTCGGCTTTCCTCTCTCTCCTGCTGTTATTGCTTTGGTTCAGCTTACCCGCTCCACATCTTCGGGATCCAAGAGTTCCTTTTCCAAACACTTGAAAGCCACCTGACTGGCCTGTAACATGTCGGTGAGGCGATCGAAGAACAGGTTCACTAGAGCCTTGCCCAGGTCGCCGGTCGCCTCCATGGAGGGCGAGGGCAGTTCGTTGAGGCTGGGGTCCAGATACCTGCCGGCGTCGTAGCCTCCCCGCACCAGCGCCTCACAGAACTCCTGGCATAAACCCGGCAAGCCGGCAGCCTCCTTCTCCACCACGGAGAGCAGCTGCTCCGCGGCTTCCACGTTCCCCTTTTCTCCAGCCATTGCTCGGAGGTGAAGTTTTCGCTCGAGGCTCAGGGACGGCATCATATCCAGCACTCGATTCACTTGGACGCTGGTTTTGATCCTGGTCCTAAAGCAAGAGATCAAATAGAGGATGTACTCGTCCCGGGAGGGGGTCGCGGCCGCTTCCATGCTCCTGTTGTGGCCGTCGCCGGGAAGCAATTAGGAGGCCGGCTTCCCAAACCACAACCTCAACAGGCTGTTTTCCTCTTGATCTCGTGGCTTGGCCGGGCGAAAGCCAATCAGCTGGGCGCTTCTCCAGTCGCACTTTCGGTTTCTTATTCTCAGCTGGAACTTAGTTTCCATACCATGGTTTGTTTCCTTTTTTCCTGAAGGGGGAGTGGTTGCAATGTTTCTAGTTTCGTCCGCCGCGGACGACCTTTTATCTCCGTGAGATAAAACTAAGGCAATCAATTGCCCTAGCAAATTCCTTAACCACATCTCCCAATATTACCGCCATCAGATGTTTTAAGTCTACCTTTCCCAGAGTCCACAGCCAGGAACTTCTAACTAGGACAGTGTTTCTCAACCTTGACAATTTTAAGGCATGTGGACTTCAACTCCCAGAATTCCACAGCCAGCAATGCTGGCTGTGGAATTCTGGGAGTTGAAGTCCACATGCCTTAAAATTGTCAAGGTTGAGAAACACTGAACTAGGAGATGTAGTTCCATTCTCTTGGAGGCTAGTGGTGTGGGAAACTTTGCTCCATATATTTGTAACTCAACAGCCTCAGAACCACGTTTAATACTGAAATCATGGGCGAGACAACCACCCGTGTATTAGGTTTGACATGTGGTTACTTTAGGAAGTTTATTGTAATTACGTTTTCTTGTTTTATATTACTCTTTATATCTGTTTAATTCTACTGGAGAGGGTTTGTAAACCAATCAAAATCTTCATTGATTACAGCAGCATATAAACCCAAATATCTACTGCTTACAGTTATATCCCAATTTGTCAATAGTAACTACTGTACCAAAAACACTTCAGCTGTGCAGATATTCAGGTAATTTTATGATAGTGATAAAACTTCCAGAAAAATCCTAGATAGGCAGGTTAAGTTTCTTTTTTCTGGTATAGTCTACCTACACAAACTGGCTTCCTCTTGATTCATGTTTTCATTTCATGTCCTCCCTCCCCTCCCCACACTTTTTTAAGCTTAGGAAGTCAATAGAAATCTTTGAGAAAAGCCTCTCTAAAAATAAGACACATTTAGTAAGAAGTCATGAAACACTCAAGCTATGTTTTAGATTTCTAGATTTAGATTTTGATATAATTTGTATTATTAGTGAAATATAACTTTCTACACTACCATTACCACCAACAAAATAAAATAGTGGCTATATGATATTTTAAAACTCTACAGTGAATAAAATAAAGGAAACGGAATAAGAAACAGAACTAAGAAAAGAAGGGATAGATAAAACAAATCTACGGTATAAATAGAGACCGTATCAGATATAATGCCCAGTCAATGAGATTTATACAACATATATGTTTCATAATTTATTATATGTCCTCAGCATATTCTTGTGTACTGTGGGTTTGCCATTATCACCATTATCATTGCTGCTTGCTTCTCAGGGAAAGTTGGTACATGATAAAGTGGAAAACAGTTGTTGTTTTTCTTCCTTACTGCTACCACTATCCAGGGGTTTTTCAGAAGTACAACAGCCACTATATCTTATATTGGTAGCTCCCAGAATTTTTTTTTTTTTACAATTATCCCTTAAAATAATAAACAATGAAAAGGAAATGGAGGGAGGGAAGAGCAAATAAACTTCTGGGGGATATTAACTATATTCAGGTAATCCTTGAGTTACCTTTCATTCAGCAATTATTCAAAGTTACAGCAGCACTGAACAAATGGTACTTATGCCTGGTTCCCAAAGTTATGGCCATTTCAGCACATGGCCATAAATACATGGAATGAGAAATGACACAGAAGCCGGTTTCAGAAAAGGAAGGCAGTGGAGACTGGGTAACATTATTTTAGTAACGGAGATAGTTAAGGTTTACCTTTATTTTGTGTGTAGCGGGGCTGGCTGAAAGGCTTTGCGGGAGCCTGGCCAGAGAGAGGGAAGGGGAGATTCAGACAGCTACTGCCGGTTTGGGCGTGGTGGGGTGGATTGGGTGGAAGGAAAGAAAGGGGGAAGGAGAAAGGGGGGGGTGAGGTGGTTGTTGTTGTCGGGGAGAGACCAGGTGAAGCCAAAGAGGAGTTTGGGGTTTTATGTGATTCCTTTCCTCCGAAATAGAAGGAAAGAGAGAGAGAGCGAGAAAGCAGAGTTTTATTGCTTTCTTTCACAGGGGGGATATTTCGAGCAAAGGGAAGAATAAGAGTGAGAAGAGGGAAAGTTTGCTGGGGTTTTAAACCTAGAATGGGAAGAGGATGGGGGATTTGGCATAGGGACACCTGGGACTACGAGTGCTGACAGAAGAGGAGAGGCTGGTCGCTACTGCTTCAGAGACCAGCAGCCATCCGAACTCTGATCATTATCATCTGTGCAAGCTGAAGACACTGTGGGGAGCTGCCCTTGTGGGGCAAGCTGTTGCTATGGAGTGCTGACTATCTTCGCTAGTGCTTTCCGCTCCTGCCTGGAGCCGGAGAGCCTCCCCCCCCCCGTTTTTCTAAGCGTCTGCTACAAGCCATTGGCTAATATTGCTACAATTGCCAGGGGGTTGCTAAACACTGTCACACACTGACTGCCGTGGCTAGGGTTTGGTCATTTTTGTTCCTGTAAACCCCGTTGACAACAAGAACCTGCCATCCCTTCACTCCACGTGAAGTCGCACTAAAAAGGACATTCTATCAATGCGGCTGCTGAGCGTAACAAGAATGGCGGGGCTAGGAGGGCCTGGGCTTTGGCGGCCTCTGAGGGGATTACGCTACACCTGGGGGCTCATCCAGATACCCTGGCCCCTCCTCTTTTAGCAAGGGGGGTTGGTCTCATGTAGAGATATGAGCCAGGTGAACAAAATGGACCCTAACATGGTTATTAGGAAGTGCGAAGAGCAGAATAGTGAAGTAAGGACGGGCGTAGTAATTGATGTTCCTGGTGATAATTGGTCAGAAAAGTGAATTTTACAGATATCGAGGGTCCTTGTTCTGGATCAGAGAGTGTATGTGATAGATACGAGGACGGATCGGGATTCCCCCCATTTTTATGTACTGTTGGAATGGAAGAAGAGTATTCCGGAGTGCTTTCAGGTTGAAAATGTGCAATTGACAGAAGATATTAGAGCAGGGGTGATCTTTCCAACTGTGTGGGGTACACCCTCGACCAAACTATTAGGCCAGAAGAAAGAGAAACATGCTTCCTTACTCACGGGGACAACAGAAGCTGGGTTCACACAGCTGGGGGAAGTTTGACTTCCATCCAAAACCTGATGGGAGGCTATTGTATAGGGGCTGGATATAGGAAATTACGTACTTTCTCGGGGATGCAACTGGTGCCAGAAGGGGAAGAGGAATATGAAGCCTGAATGGAGTAGGCAATATAAGCAGTTGAGGAATGGGATATACCAGATACCCAAAAAAGGCAATGAGTTAGAGAAAATTTAAAGGGCCCTGCTGCAGAAGCCATTATAAGTCTAACATTGAGTCGGGGACACTTTACTGTGCATGACTATCTCTCTTTACTGCATGATGAATTTGGATCTGCTGAGACGGTCTCTAGTTTATTGTTTTGGTTGGAAAACATGTATCAGAAGAGGGGTGAGAAGATGTCTGAATATATAAGGCATCTAAATAGATTATTATATCAGGTTGTGGAAAGGAAGTGATTGGACCCAGCCGAGGTGGAACAAGCCAGGATAGAACAACTCTCTCGGGGTGCTTTGGTTTCGGACCCTGTTTGGAACCAAATAAAAGATGAAGCTAGGGGGAGTATTTGGGGGTATCACAAGCTTATAAAGAGAGTTTGGGCGACCGAGGTAGTAGAGGAGGCTAAGGAGGCAACAGCCAAGTTGCCAGCAGGATAGCCCTTAGGCCCAGGAGTGGGAAAGGTTAGGGAGGATGACGATCAGTTAACAACGATGCAAACTCAGATACTGGACTTAACTCAGATACTGGACTTAATTAAGATAATGGGTGGCCCACCCCTGAACGGAGGTCAGGTTGGGCCAACTGATGGGGGGATGGGCCCATCCACTCTAGCTAATAATTCAACGAGACCAGTAATTTGTTACAATTGTGTGGGTATGGGACATTATAGGTGTGCGTGTACGAAACCGTACAGAAGATCAGGGAACTGAGTTCATTTGGGAAACAGTAAAGGGCCCAGTGAGGGAGCTAGCTGGGTGCCCGGTAATATCAGTCAGCCCTGACAAGAGAAGTTTCCCTTGGAAACCCTCACCAAAGGTGGGAGTGACGGGAGTACCCCCTCTAGCGAGAAATCTCCGTTCCTTTGAACTACCAGAAACTAGAGCAACAGGGCTCCAACAACAGTCTTTGGGAATCAAGTGTGGGTTGTTAAACCAGACACTGGGTTTCCCACTATTGGATTTCCCCAGCAGTTGGTGGGCCCTTCTCCAATGGTGTCAGTGCAAGTGGAAGGTATTGAGGCGGGAGAGGGTGAGAGATCAGCTTTGGAAGTGGAAATGTCTATTTTCGAGAGATGAGTTTTATGTGGGTTGTGCTAGGAGTGCCCAACATGTAATCCTACTGAAAGAGGATAAGCCCTTCAGGGAGAGATCTCGGCGGATTCCCTTAAGCCAGTGGTTCTCAACCTGTGGGTTGGGACCCCATTTGGGGTCGAACGACCATTTCACGGGGGTCGCCAAACAAGGCTGTCCACCATTTTTCCCCCTTTTCTTTGGCCATGCCCCTGGCACCCGGTGATGTATAAGTGGTTGGGGGTCACCACAACATGGGGAACTGTATTATGGGGTCGCGGCATTAGAAAGGTTGAGAACCACTGCCTTAAACGATCTGGATGATGTTAGAGAGCATCTAGCAGAGCTAAAAAAGACTGGGATCATTAGGGAATCCCGAAGTCCTTATGCTTCCCCTATAGTGGTGGTCCAGAAGAAGTATGGGTCCCTGAGAATGTGTATAGATTACTGCACTCTTAACTGGAGGACTATCCCCAATCAGTATACAACCCCCTGGATAGAGGATGCTCTGCAATCTTTGTCAGGGGCGAAGTGGTTTAATGCATTGGGTTTAAGAAGCGGCTACCAGATCCCCAGGCACCCAGAGGATAGGGAGAAAACTGCTTTCATCTGCCCATTGGGGTTTTATGAGTTTAATCAAATGCCTCAAGGGCTATCAGGGGCTCCAGCAACTTTTAAAAGGCTCATGGAATGGACAGTGGGGGAAATGAGGACCCAGATTGTTGGGGGCAATGTAAATATATATATATATATATATATATATATATATATATATATATATATACATACATACATACATACATTGCTTACTGGTGTACACCGCTTAGAGAGTGCTTGCACTTAAAGCGGTATATAAGTCTCATAAATAAATAAATAAATAAATATGAACCTCATAGAGGCGTTGGTCTACTTAGATGATATTGCCTTTGGTGAGACCCTTGAAAAGCATGAAGAGCATTTGGAGAAGGTATTGACAAGGCTCCATGAGGAAGGGCTGAAATTGTCATTGGAGAAATGTCAATGTTACCAACAATCTGTCACTTATTTAAACCATGTTGTCTCAGCCGAAGGGGTGGCAATGGACCCCGCCAAGCTTGAGGCAGTTGTGTCTTGGCCCAGGCCCCAAAATGTAGCCAAACTGCGATTATTTTTAGGATCTCCTCGAGTTGGGCTAACAGTTGCTGGGTGTAATGGGTAGGGGGGGCTAGGAGGACCTGGGCTTTGGCAGCCTCTGAGGGGGTTATGCTACATGTGGATTACAATATGTTTGATTGTATAGGCCAGAGGCAGCACTCGGAGCCCTCTCTGTGGGCACACGCACTGTTGTCCCAGCCCCACCTCCTCCCACGGCCCCCTCCTCACCAGCAGCCCCCCCAGAGGAGAGTCACCCCCAGGCATGACCCATGCGAAGCAGTGCAGTCAAGGACATGGTAGCCAGGCAGGAAGGACAAGACTCTGCCCTTGTGCCCCATCATGCGCAGTTGATGCTGCAGGGCACAGGTGGAGGGCATGGCAGCTGACGGAAGTTAGCCCAGAGAAAGAAATATTTAAAAAGGCAGAAAAATATATTTTTCCTCAAAAGGACTTTTTAAAACCAAACCTGGCCCCAAATTTCTTTGTCCCAAGCAAGAGTTAGCCCCATACAAATGCAAATGTAAAACCATCAGAAAGTTGGAGCCAGAGCAATCAAGAAGACAAAAGAGAAGATCTGCATACCCCACCCAAACTCTAGGAGTCATTAGCCCCATCACCTGGGAAGCAGGATATGATAATAGAATTAAACCACAGATATCAAGGCCTAGACAAGCCACAGGAACAGGAAACTATTCCAAACAAAAGGCTAGAGGGGATATAAAAACCTGCTACACCATGTGCTCAGCCCTTCTCTCCTCTGCACTTTCCTGAAGAACCATCTCTCTGCAATAAACTGTAACCTTCTTCCCAAAGCAGTTGCCATGTTTGCTTATTTATTCCCGGCTTGGATGAACCAGGATGAAGACTTTACTTCTAACACAGCCATGGTGCTGCCGGGTGCCTGGGTGATCTGTGGCAGGCCATGGAGGTGGTGGGTGGCCCAGCGGGCAGGACGGAGCAAGGACGGGGTGGGGGGGCAGTTTTGGGGCACTCAGTCTCTAAACGTTTCGCCATCACTGGTATAGGTCATATTAGAAGTAGCTAATCGGTGTACAAACACACTGATTTTTAAAAAGAATCCTTATAGTGAACAACAAAAAATGACTCCCTACTTCAATAACCCAAAGTGGAGAAACAGTGGTTTGTAACAGGAAGAGGAACTAGGCAAGGATATATTATCCCAATATTTGCCTAGCTTTCAAAAATGCATGTATTGCCGGAATTGGAGTAATAAAATGAAATCAAAATAGGGTAACAATTTTGAGATATGAAGAGAGTACCACTTTGTTGACCGAACGTAAATAAAGATTTTGAGCTAATCATAAAAATAAAAAAGGATGCATCCATTTCTAGATACAAAATATTCAGGAAACTACACTGCAGGGGAAACTACCCCCCCAATAGAGAAATGATTAAGGTTACGTTGCGCTCAGCACAAGCAATACGTTTTGTCAAAAAACTACATCCATTAATGTCTTTCGTTGATAGCAGGCTTAAATCTCTCACAGTCTCTTTAAAGGAAATACAAACGGCTTCACTGCCTTTTAGGGAGAATATCAGCCGTGTTGACTTCCGTTCTTTTCCGAAACCCCAACGTCTATTTCCGGAGTGGGCGGGACTTCCTCCCTAATTCCTTTCCCCCACACACACACACACACGCACCATACACTTCTTCCGCTCTCCCCGCCTCCTCATTTTGCGAAACGGCCCTGAGCGGAAGTGGACAACGGCCTTATCCAATAGGAAGGCGAAACAAAAGGGTGCGTGACCAAAGGAAGTTCCGCCTCTTCGCAGAGCGACTTAGGAAAGAGAAGGCGGCGACTGCGGCCTTGAGGAACGGGAGTTGTTTGTGGCGGATTAGAATTCCGCCGAGCTTCGAATTCGGCTAACGGATTCCTCCACGCGCCGTTTAACGGTTGTTCTCTCGAAAATTCGACATGACGTATCCGGCGTTCGGAGCGGTGAGTAAGGAAAACAGGAAGGCGCAGAGCCCGCCGAGCTTCTTGTCCTTTCCTTAACTTGGTTTGAAGGCTTGTTGCCCGTCTTGGTTTTAAAAGATATTTTCGCTTTCTCACCTTTAGTTGGTGGGTCTCCTCGATTGGATCCCCCACTCCGCCTCAGTCTACAAAGGAGATCTCTTCTTCCCTCTACTCCAAACCCGAGCAGTGCCTCTTTTCTCTCCCCCCCACCCTTGGCTTTGACTGGGAGATGTTATTGCGGCCTCCATATGGCCTGAACTTTCCTATCATTTCTCCTCCCCCCCTCCAAGTAGGTTAGTAGAAAGTGACTAGGTGGGAGTAAGTTGCAGATACCATAGTACAGGCTATATGAGCGCCTCTTCATTTTTATCCAAAGAAATAGCCTTTTAAAAACGCTTTTGGGCCTATTAGAGTATTCTTTACTGGCCAAATGTGGACACACAATTCGTCTCCAAAGCAGAGATTTCAATATACATGCAAGCAACAAAGTGAAAAATCATAAATAAAAAGATACAGGTAGTCCTCAACTTACAACAGTTCATTTAGTGACTGTTCAAAATTACAGTGGCACTGAAAAATATGACGATCATTTTTCACACTTGCGACTAATGCAGCTTTCCCCATGATCATGTGATCAAAATTCAGATGCTTGGCACCTAGTTCATATTTTTGGCCGTTGTGTCCCAAGGTCGTGTGATCACCTTTTGTGACCTCACAAGCAAAGTCAGTGGGGAAGCCAGATTCACTTAACAACCAGGTTATTAACAGCCCTAACAATTCACTTAATTGTGGCAAGAAAGGTCATAAAATAGAGCAAAACTGACTTAACAAATGTTTCACTTAACAACAAAAATTTTGTTATGTGGGTAGTATGAAATACCACTTAACCAAGAAAGTAATAATATAGGAAATGTACTAAGGAAAACAATGGAAGTATTTTTGAGTCAAGGTAGCAAATCCATGCACTTTCCTTGGCAGGAAAAAGACATGGTTTGTAATTATTGCCAATGCTTTCTGAGATGTTTTATCAATTTCCCAATCTAGTTTATAACTCTGGGATTTCTGGGTGGTCTTCTATCCAAGTATTAACTTGATATGGCCCTGTTCAGCTTTTTTTTTTTTTTTTGTAATTTGCTGCCATATGCTGTATCTCTGGGTCTTGATCTAATGTTAAATGAAGAAGCAGGGTTAGCAGAGTTTTATATATTTTTTAAAATATCTAAATATAGTAAAATATATTAAGACTTGTTTCTCGAAATGGAAAACTCCTGCTGAGTTCATATTTAATCCTATATTAAAATGGAAAGAAAACACTGCTACACTGATTATTAAAGAGTTTTAATGCTTAAGATTTTTTTAATAATACAAATATACAAAATATAAAGAAAAAAAAGAAAATGCAAAAAGGAGAAAAAAGAGGGGATGGCAAAAGGATATATATATCCTGTTACGTGAATCTGGCTTCCCTCATTGACTTTGCCTGTTGGAAGCTGGCTGTGAAATACACAATGGCAATCATGTGACCACAGGACTGCAACAGTTGTAAATGTCTGCTGGTTGTGAAATATTCAAATTTCAATCACATGACTGCAGAAATTCTGCAATGTTTGTAAGTATCTGGACTGGCAATAAAGTTACTTTTTCAATGTTGTAATTTAGAATGGTTGATAAACAGGGCTCTCATTAAGTGAGGACTAACTATTATGAAAGCTATGTTTCGTTATTATATAACCAATATATTCTATTAGTTATATAATAATGAAACATAGCTTTCAAACATGTTTCACTGGATTTTGAAAATTTAAAAAAGTGTTTTCCCAAAGTTGGGGGATTTGTACATACATGCCTTGTGCTAGGGTGATGAACGTAGTAAAATGTATCTCTTCTTTTTGTTAAAAGTATGGTGCTTACCATGGTCAGATGCCAATGCAAATGGCAGTGGGACAACCGGTCCCTAGAGGGGTACAAACTGTAGCCCATGATGGATCTACTGGATATTCTGTTTATTCTGGTGCCTATGCTGGTGCTGCTGTTGATCCCTTGTGGGCATTCTTCAGTGCTACTGCTGGACAGGTAGGTCAGTTTAAGTAATTATCCTAAAGTTTTGAAAGAATCACTTTTTTTTCTGCTGATCAGTGTTAGAAATACTCCATAATCTCAAGGTTTTGTTTGGCAGTGGATATATTAACAAATGACCCTATAAAATTGCTTGCCTTTAATTTTTTAATATGACTGGCCATGGAGCACAAGATAGCTTTTCATCTACAGCTACCATGTAGATTGCTAGTTTTGTAGGCTTGTTTTTAAAGTTTTATATTAAACAGCTCAATAAAAGAAAAAACAGAAATGAAGATAAAGGCTTTTTTTTCATCTATGACCAACATATTATCCAGCTGGACTGAGAGTGAGAAAAGAGAAATTCACCTTCAGCTAATCTGTTTGTTTGCATGGAATCCATAATTAGCTTTTAAGTGTAGATATAGGCAAGCAATATAAAGCAATCTTCCTATGATAATATTTTAAATAATTAAATTTTATACTTTCTCTATAAGAGGAATGGGGGATCTATTGTAAATTTGATTTTTGACCTCATTAATTGGAGCACGATCTTCAGCCAATTTTATTTGTAGGGATATCTGGCAACTTAGAATAGCTACAGTACATCAAGGTTTATATAATATAAACTTAGTGAATCCACATTTAAGTGAATGTTCATCAGGCTTCAGTTTGGAAGAGTTCTGTACATTATATGTGACTACGTATTGAGAAATACAGAAGCCATATCTGTATAATCTGGGCGAAAGGACTGGTTAAAAGGCTATAGTAAAGATTCACCAAAGGGCATATGCATGGCCCCACAGGTCATTGGTCTCTAGAGCGTTTTGGGAATTGTGATGCCAATTTGCATTCTCTCAAGAATGTGGAACTGCAAAAGCAATATTCATGAAGAACTCCAGTTTCAGGTGAGTAACTTTTCTTTACATTTATTCTTTTGCTTGCATTTTAATTTTTATACTATTTACAAAGAAGGCCTTGCAGTCATAAGGCATTTGTTTAATAAATCAGTTAGCATCTCCATAATAATAGCAGTAGTAATATGGTATTTCTAGCATTTATGTCTCTGGCACAACCCATTTGGTTGTATATTGTATTCCATTTGAGGATCTGATGAGAAAGAAATTACATTTACCTGAGGCAGGGACGTGTAAGAATTGCCTTCTTAAACACTATCCTTTGACCCTGAACGTTTATCACCCACAGAGAGAGTTTTTAATTCTGAGTTAATTTGAAGGGATTTAATGGTAGTTTATTTTGAAAATGGATTTTTGTGTGTAGGATATCCTTTAATCTGTTTTATTTGCTTATTGACAAGAACAGGAATCATTCATATCAGCCAGTGCTAAATTCTGTTTGCTCTCTGATAGCCAGGGGAGTTTAGGGAGGAAAAGTTATTGCCAGAATGGTGACAGTTACATAAGTCGCTAAGCTTATGTGTAATGTGATTCTAAACTTACACTGGTGAAGTAAATTTAAATTGTGGACAATTGGAAAATACATGCAGTTCAACAGTTAAAACTATGATGCTTTTGGAAGCTAGTATTTTCTCTTATTTGTGATTAAATTGTGAAAAGAAATAGATGCCAGAATATACTTTTAACTCATTCTCTAATCTGAAAATAGATTACGTTGATGAGTGCCTAAAGATAAAACAAAAGTGGCCATATTGGATATTCAGAGAAACAGCTATTTTCAAATTGCAAGCTTTTTGTAAAATGCTGTTCTTACTAACATTTACATGGAAGAAGAAATGAGTCTTAACTGTCAGATTATGGCACAGTATTTGCTTCCTGTCTTTTGATAGAGGACAGGAATGGCAAGAAAGGCATTCTGGAACATTTGTTTCATTAGAGCAGCATCTGCTTGAAATAGTATCCGGTACAAGTGTGGGTCAATGAATTGCTTCTTTTCTCTACAGGTAGGGGATAAACCATGAATTTTGTCTAGAAAGGCGATCAGCTACTTCATAAAGCAGGGTTTTTTTTATAGTTGTAAGTGGAGTGCAGTATTTTTTTAATATTCTCATTCTGGGAATTTCTCTAAATTCCACTAAACTCTTTTGGAAACATTTCAACTCTTGACTTTCATTTGAAATGTTAAGACAGACTTAGCAAAGAATAGCCAAAATGGAGTTGATAGTGTGAGCTGCTAAGGCCCCAAGAAAAATAGGTTTTTGGGTAGAAAAGATAATTTCCCAAGCAGTATAATTTCTTGGAATTATAAGGAATAGCATATGCATGTTTCAAAAAATAAACAATCTTTCTACTACCCAAAATAAGTTACTATAGGAATATACTAGATAGTATGATAATAGGTATAAAAATAGATATCTAAAAATAGATACAAAACAGCTTACATAGTGCACAGAGCTCTTAATTATATTTAGTACTATTTCATTTCAAATATTGATTGCAACTAAAAATTTCTACTAGGTAATCCTTTTTTTGCAAGCGAGGAAAACATGAAATACCATTGCTTTTTCATTTTTTTTTCATTGCTTTACAGCAGGGTTTTCAAACTCTTATCTTGAGAGAAGTTTTTCTCTGCTGACATGGTTAAAGAACATGCTATATGTCTGCTGTAGAATTCAATTGCATAGCAAAGGATTGTGCAGTATGTTCTGGAGTAAGTTGTCCAGATCAGCCTGTATGATTTTGAATAAATGGGCTGGAATTCTAAGCACAATTGCAAGGTCTGTTTAATGTAGCCTAACATCCCCAGATGTAAAATGCTTGCAATTGTACAAAGCACAGCCTAGAATATCCCCAGCATTCTATTGCAACTTCTTCTACAGTTCTACAGAAGAAGTTTAGTGGCATAGATGGTACAGTAACCTATATTTTTGGGGGGGGAGGGAAATAATGTGACTGATTCTATTGAAGACTACATGATAAGTTTCTAAGGAATTTGGGAGTTTTCCAGAACACAGTTTGAAAACCACTGCTTTAAAGTAGCTATCTGGAACAGGGAGTTTTTCTGTGTTTTCAGTTTTTCATAAGTAGGATCGTCATTGCCGACTTCCATATTTTTCCTTAATTCTCAACTGTAATATTTTAGTAAATTTAGTTTTTTATAGGAGGAATAAACATTCACTCCTGAAGTACCAGTCAAATAAGCACAATGTCATCTGCCATATAGCAAGACCAGTGGGGTGATGGAAGCGTGGGCCTTTGACACTCAAAAGAACTGATCAGGTAGAAACTTGCAGTAACATTGTTTTTGGAGGGGAGGGTAAAGAAAGGCAGTGAAATAATTTCTGAGTGTTCTTGCATTATGAACTGACAATGAGACTCAGAAATATCTAAATCAAAAGTTATTTAATCTTTTCCTTGTGCCCTGTGAACCTATCCAGTGAAAATCCTTTTGCTTTGGTGGTAAATACAAAAGTTTGTTTGCGTTTTGTACAGTCATTATGAACAATCCCCTCAATTACATAGATCTAGTAGAAAAGCTATACCATACTTTACATAATTTTTGTCAATAATGAGTAATGTTTTCTTTCTATTGAGAACTTTCTATCAGCACGATTCTATTTTTTCTTAATTTAGCCAGGAATACGCCCATTCAGTTTGGAAAACACTTCTGAGAAATCTGAGAAGTCAGTACATGATTCCCATGTTAGATTAAGGAATTTTGCTTAAGGCCAAATCAAGCAACAGGATTTTCAATACCCACCATTCCTTATGCTTTCATTGGCAAAGCTCACAAACTTTTTTTTTTAACCATTGTTTTAAATTTACTTGGAGGCTAATAAGATATATTTCGGTTGCTTACTTTTATGTTTTGAACGTATTTTGAGATAAGATTCTTTTTGTCATTTTAGCAAGATAATGCCTCATAATGCTATGGTACGGTAGCCGAAAGGCTGCATTTCATGTCTTTGTGAGTGAATATTCTCCCATATGAGAATTTGCAGTTACTCAAACAGATAGCAAATTGACATGGATGTTGAGGTAGCCTCAAGAATTAATTTAAAGGCTTTCATTATATAGATTATTTTGTCTTGGTGAGCTTTATGTTTATATTCTATAATTGGATATGGATAACTTTAAACTTAACGTATTTTTGGTCTTGTATATTTTTGTGTAGAGCTGGATTTGAATTAACCTGAGAAACTCTAGGATGTGCCTGGAATGAAGAAATAGGGAGAGAAGTTTTTTTTTTTTTTAATTTTAAATGGTTTGTCTCATAATTTGCAAAGCTTGCACATGAAACAGTTTTTTTTTTAAGTTCAACATTTGTGAAAATAAGTTTTTATGATTAATCTGTCCTTGTAAGATTAAGATGAGGAAGTTATTGTTTATTTTGTGATTTTGAAAACATGTCCATTGCGATTTACTTATGTAAAATAACTAGTATAGTAAATATATAATTGATATTTAATTTAATATAATTTAAAGGTATATTTGTGAAGTAAACTATTTGAATTTAAGTAGGACAGTGCGTTAACTGTATAGGATGCATAAATACTTGATTTTCTATTACCAGTTTTGCTAATCTCTTGAACCTCAAATTTATATGCATTCATTTTACAGAATGGTGAAGTGGATGCAGAGGAATTACAGAGATGTCTAACACAGTCTGGAATCAGTGGAACATATTCTCGTAAGATTGTTATAGAATGTATTATTCCAAACTGTTTTATAATATACATGTAAATGTTTTGTGATCCTTTTTTTCATCTGTAATAGGATATCTATGGAGATTCTCAGTCATCCAGCTCATAGTTATCCCGAAGGTGTTTTTCCATGAGGCAATTAGACAAGAAAGTCTGGTTGCCTCGTGAAAAAGCACCTTTGGAATCTGTAATGGGAGAACTCAGTTTTTGTATCCAGAGACCACATCTGAGGATGTTGATCGTTTTTATCTTCAGATGTTTTGCCAGTGACAACCCAGTGATGTCTCCAAGTCAAGCAGGAGCCAAATAGTTGAATAGTTTTCCTCTAGTTTTGAAGTGTATTAAAGAGAGAAGGAACACATATATATTAATCTCTGTTGAAAATAAATTAGTATGGTTTGAAAATTGCAGATGCAGATGGAGGATCCTCTCAAAGGTATACAAATTAATCTAAGTTCTCTATGTAACCTACAAGTTGCTCATCCTTCATTTTTTACATATTGCCTCTTGGATTATTAGTTGTTTACTTATTGTAGGTAGTAAAAGAAAGATGGCCCTAAATTCAAATTGATCTCCCCCCCCCAAATATTTCTGTTACTAAGCAAGACAGTTAAGTAAGTTTTGCCCCATTTTACAACCTTTCTTGCCACAATTGGTAAGCAAAAATCACTGCAATTGTTAAGATATAACATGGTTGTTAAGTCAATCTGGCTTCCCCATTCACTCTGCTTATCAGAGGGTTGCAAAAGGGGATCATGGGACACTGCAACCGTCGTAAATATGAGTCAGTTGCCAAGTGTCTGAATTTTGATCACGTGACCATGGGGATGCTGCAGTGGTCAGAAATGTGAAAAACGGTCATAAGTCAATTTTTTCAGTGCTGTGTAACTTTGAACGGTCACTAAATGAATGGTTGTAAGTCGAGGGCTATCTGTATAGGTTAACATTTATCTCTGGCAGAAGCCACATTCTTAAAAAAAGAAGGTCTAGAACAAAAGCAATATTTTTTATGCTACCCAGCTTCCAGCAGTACTTAATCACGGTTAATTCAATTAATAAACATGTTCATTATATCCATTTTCCTTTAACTACATTACAAGATCCTTAAACTAATATAAAATTAGTTGGATATACCCAAAATTATATCGTATATTCCAATATTAATTCATGGGAACATCCCTTCTCCATTCCTTTAAGCAGAAAGAGCAAATGAGAGAGAAAAAAGCGAAGTATGATAGAGATAGGGCAGGGCTAGCCAACCTTGGCTCTTTTATGACTCGTGGACTTCAACTCCCAGAATTCCTGAGCCAGCATGGCTCAGCTTGGAAACCTCTCCCTTTTCCCTCAGCATGGCTGGCTCAGGAATTCTGGGAGTTGAAGTCCACGAGTCATAAAAGAGCCAAGGTTGCCTACCCCTGAGATAGGGTGAGAGAAGGAACAGGGAAGAGAAAGAAATTAGGCTGGCAATTAGGTACGACGTGATGAAGGAGGGATGCCTAGTGGAGGGAAAAGAGAGCAGCTATATTCAGACATTACATAGCGTTATTTCTTGAGTAACAGAATACCTCTCTGTTAATACTTTAGTGAATTTTAATCTCTCTGTGTAATACATGAAAGGTACCTGATTGTTTGCCCTCCTTGTAAGTAGTACCCTTCTTGACTTGGCTTTCAAATGTCATCTATCACCTCTTAACTACCATTCCACCTGGGAAAACTGGATGAACAGGGCCTTAAGTCCAGCTGAGAAATCAGATTTCAATTGGTGCTCTGTTCTCAACAAATTGATTGTTACATTCAGTAGGTTTGAATGATAAACCTTTCAATGAGATTGCTTTGCTGGTCCTGTTTCGAGCACTAATGATTAAAACTGAAGTGGATGTGGTGCTTTAGAATTAATACTTTGTTTGTAATTTCAGCATTCAGCTTGGAGACCTGCAGAATTATGATATCAATGTTAGATGTATCCTTTTAAGAATGTCTAGCTGAATTGGTCTGTTTCTGGATGTCTTTTTTTTTTTTAAAGTAAGTTCCACTGGATTTAATGGAGCTTATTTCTCTAATTCCAGAGTCAGTGTCCCTTGAAAAATTTCAGTATGTATTACAGGTGAGAGTATGTATTAAGAAAGTTTGAATCACAGAGATATGCAGACATTTCCAGCATATCAAACTATGAACAAGCATCAGACAGTCTCTTTTTTGTCTTCATCCTGCTTAGCTGGAACCACAATTGCCTGCTTTAGAAATTTACCAAGATTTACATATGTGTCTGATGCCAGTCTTCAGATTGAATTGTTCAAAGTTGGGCAGTGTGTTATACAATTTAAAACTATACCTTTAAGTTAAATAACTTAAGATACATTTTTGTTTGTTGTCTGAGGTGGGGGTCACCTGATGGAGACTAATTTTGTACATAAAAGAACAGAAATGGCAGGATCAGTCTGATTTTCTACTAAGGATTATAAACAAGTAGGAATATTTCATTGGTTCATTTAATGATTAAAATATATGCAGCTAGGTTTTCTGTTGCATATATTCTTAATAGGTCTCATTAAAGATTGATTTTGTATGTGTCCCATTTTAGACTGCAATCAGTCTTTTATTTACAGCCCACTGTAAATCAGTTGTCAAAAGAGCTAAACAAGGCAGGAAAATGTTTTAATATTTTTGCACATTAATGATGCAGTGATGCTTGCAGAGAGGTTAGGCTGGAAATTGTGACCCCTTCTAATTTGGTGGGACTATGGCTTTTACCAGATGGATGCATGACGTTCACAGGAGGCTTCATGTGCTTGTTTTTCTTATTTTATTAAAACAAATGGAAATTATGTTACACATTGAGTCATTTTTCCACTAAACTTCAGTGGCACAATTTTGGGGTGTCCAGAGGTTGCAAAAAGGGCTTAGATCTACATTGAAAGCTACAAGTTGTCTATCCTGATGTTCAGGGAGTCTGTAAAATGCTTGGAAGTTGTATAAGAAAATACATTTCTGCATTTGTTAAATTTGAAATCTGAGCTACCTCACTTTGATTTTAAAATAAATATATAAGAAAGCTGTGTTCCATTTCAGATTGCTTCTAACTCATAAATAATAGATAGATTTCCAGGGGGTTTTGTTGTTGTTATTGTTGTTACAGTTCCTCTTTTAAAGGAAGGACTTATACGAGGGCAATTCAGACATAAACCTCCATTTGGTTATCAATGACAGACGCTTGCAAATACAGAACTTTTATTATACACATTAGAAAACTACAACATCACATTACTTTTCGAGATAATCACCATTCAAATTGAGGCACTTGTCATAACCTTTTACAAGGTTTGAAATGCCTTAGTAGTAGTTGCTTAGCGTCAAATCTGGGCTATGGGAGGGTGATCAAAAACATCCCAACAGAACCTATTGGATTATAAAGGCTACATACAAAGATCAGAAAACTAGATGAAACTTTGATCTACTCTTACTGAGACTGGTGATATTAGAGGATCTCCAGGAATGATGCCTCAAGAAAAAACCTTTCAGAAGGAAATATACTCTATGCTACAACTAATTCACCAAACAATTGTTGCATACAAAGAGGACATAAAAAGAAACCATAATAAGACTAAAAACAATTTAAATAATATAAATGAGCAAATCTCCAAATTAAATCTACAACTAAAAAGTCCCCAGACAACAACTACAAAGTATGACCAAATAAACCAGAAATCAAAAGACGAAGCAGAAGAAATGGAGCTAGAGATGGAAGAGATAAAAGAAGGAAAATATAAACGACTATACACAAACAAAATATTGCAAGACTTAGCCATAACAATGAAAATGCAAAAGACCCTTTACTCCTTAGGTCTGCAAAATACATCTGATGGCAAGGAAGAAGATTTTAAAAAATGGAATATAGAGCTTTTAGGGGAAATGTAACAACTTGGGAGACGGAATGAAAAGAGAAATTGAGGGAGAAGGAAACTGGGAGTTGCTTAAGGAATATAAATGGGTGGAATTCCGCCCCCAAAATACCCTACCTAAATTGTCTTCCAATGCCAAGCAGTTTTTACAAAAATAGAAAATTCCTGGGTGATTTAATTGCCCTGGCTTGGAAAGCTATTTGGCGAAGAAAGAAAGCGAGAGTTAGATTTAAAAAACAGAAGATTTGACCTTTTAGGGGAGCATTATATGTTTAAATACTTGTTTGAATAAGATTAAAAGAACAGATGACCCTTAGATATAATTATACTTTTATAATGAAAGATATAATTTAGAATTAAAATAGCATTTTTTCTTTATTTTTTTTTTGACATGGGAAATATGAAAATAAGAGGATTGGTATGAATAAAATTCTTAGCTATATAAATGTAATTATTGACAAAATCATAACTGACAAAGATATTTTAAATACTGATGGGAAATTAAACCTTAAGAGCACAAAAACAGGATATTGATTTATGAATTGATACTGTTATTTTTATAATAATAAAATATGATGCTTATATTTAACTTTGTATACATCAGTACCAAAATTGTAACTATAATGAGGGAAAATAGAAAAAATATGGGGAAGAAATGAGGATCAGGGGAAAAATACTGGATTGTGTAGTACTGAACAGATTTATATTACTAAGCACTAAAATTGTAATTCTTAAAAATCAATAAAACATTTAAAAAAACCCACCACAGCGGAACTGCTTCAAAAGTTCTTGGGTGTGTCTAGCGTTGTGCAGGCAAGCATGATCGTGAGCCAACACCACACCGACAGTCAACATGCCCCAACACTTGTTATGGATGGCTCGTCTGAGTTTTTGTAACATTTCTCAGTAGACTTCTGAATTGATGGTCGACCCACGCTCCATGAACTTCACTAGCAGTACTCCTTTGGCATCTTCACATTTGGCAGGATTTTCTATGGCACCACTTCCGCTGTGGTGTTGCTTCACGATAATGCTCGCCCGCACACCGCTAGACGCACCTAAGAACTTTTGAAGCAGTTCCGTTGGGATGTTTTTGATCACCCCCCCCCCCATAGCCCAGATTTAGCACCGAGCGACTACTACTAAGGAATTTCAAACCTTGTAAGAGGTTATGACAAGTGCCTCAATTTGAATGGCCATTATGTCGAAAAGTAATGTAGTTTTCTAATGTGTATAATAAAAGTTCTGTATCTGTGAGTGTCATTGATAACCAAATGGAGGTTTATTTCTGAATTGCCCTCGTATATGTCATCAATTGAAATGCAAGTGGGAGCCCCAAATAATTTTTGTACTGTACTATAGCATCTTGTATATGCCCAGCAGGTGGCAGCACTAAGCTATCCTTCCATGCTCTCAAGAATGTTGGAACTTAAATGCAGGACTCTTAACAAAATCCCAGGGCTGTAAGTGAAATTCTGGAATTGAAAAATACATCCTAAGGGGGGAGGCAATGGCAAACTACTTCTATAATATTGCTTAAGAAAACTAGATAGAGGTATTGCTATTGTCACCAAAGTCAAGCTTAATTTGAGAATTGCTTAAATACCAGTGTTAAAAGGTTTAGATTGATAGGGTATTTTGTAAAAACAGAGTAAGAAGAATTTTTTTTTGCTAAATGATCTTTATGACTTACCTGTTTAAAACATGAGCAAAATTGAAGGACAAGTGTACAGAACAGTAACAGAATCCATACAAGTAAAACACTTTATTTAATCATTTTTATCACCTGTCCACAAGATGGCCTGCTTCTTAACACACAACACTAGAGACAAAATACTGGAAAAATGGGATATAACGAATTTAAAGAACTTTGGACAGCTCTTAGTGCTTGGAAACACAATTTCATGTTGGTTGATCAAGACCGAAGTGGAACTGTGGAATTTCATGTACTGACTCAAGTTATTGTAGCCATGGGTAAGTAAAGCTTTGCTGACCTAGAAATCTAACTTACAGTTGTAAGCCAGAGTTTTCTGAATTCAGGTCTAGTGCTGGCTATCTAATTTAGGCTAGAAATTGATGGACTTTATTCCTTTTCCTGCATCTGGGAAAGTTAATCTTTTGTAATTGCAAATAGAGCAATAAAGTACTCTTCTTAAGGAGTAGTCTTAAAATATATCTAAACCTACTCTATTTTATTCACTGTATCCCTGCTGATTGGTTATAACTACTCTAAATTATTTATGAATACCCAAATATTGGAAAAATTCTCCTAAGGTTTCTGTCCTGAAAGTGTGTTTTTTCTTTCTGACTACTTATCTAGGATACAGACTAAGCCCACAGACTTTAATTGCTATTGTAAAACGTTACAGCAAAAATGGCAGAATTTCTTTTGATGACTATGTGGCGTGCTGTGTGAAGCTTCGTGCTTTAACAGGTAAGTGCTGGATTTGTATAATATATTTTGGTTTTGCAATGCAAACATTCACTGCTTGGATATAGACCAGTTTGCATAAGTAGAACATATTTGCCTGGAAGAAGCTTTGGAAATTTCTCCTATTTTTTTCTTGCAGCAGATTTCTGTAGCCATTAGTTAAAGGTTTTTTCATAGTGAAAATGGGAGTACCCTCAAACAGTTGTCAGCTTAAAAATTCAAGCCTCATTTCAAGCTCCCAATGTTTTGATTTCTACTACTGACAAGATGGCAGACATTCTTTAGATTATTTTAGCTTTACAGTGCAGTGAATATGGCAAAAGATTTTACATAGAGCGGCAAATATCTGTGGCCTTATTTGGAGTCTGGTGTAATTCCATTGTATTGCCAGTGATTTTACAGAATATGCTATCCTCTGATGACTGTAGAAATGAACGAATAATGGATTATGTATTGTTGTGCTTGACTATTTTAAAATATTCCATAGATTTTTGTGTATATATAGACAAGTTCAGGATTTTTACAATATAAATTTGCAATTTTTTTTTAAAGATTTCTTCAGGAGAAGAGACAGCATGCAACAGGGCATTGTGAATCTTCTGTACGATGATGTAAGTAACAATACTGTTAATTGGTTATAAAACGATTTTAACTAGAATTCTGTTTCTTACATTTCCTTTTACAATCTCACCCCCATTATACTTGAGAATATTTTAGGAAATTACATCTCAAGATAGTTTTGTAGCTCCTGTTAGATCTCAAACAGATGGCAGTTTTTTTTTAAATTCTTCACTGTGGTCTTGATTTTTCAGGTACATGACTTATTTGCCTGTACAGTATTTCATTTGGTGCCTTTTAGAGCTTACCAGACTTTTTTGGTTGGAGCATCTGTTCCTCCCCATTTGTACCACAGAACATGGTGTGACTCCCACCTCATCTTTCCATTGGTTTTCAAGCGCTATGGTTATTTATGTGTCTTTGACTGGTTTTTTTTTCCTTTTATCGTAGTTCTTTATTTTTTCCCTTTACATATTAATGTCACAAGGAGTGGGAACTAATGTTGTAGTAATACATTAATCAGTATTCAACTAGAGGGGATAATATCTGTATGATGTCTTTTTTCATGCATTTTTTTAAATGCTTCGATTGTTTTGTGGCTGCAAATCTATCCCTCGAATAGCATAAACATAAATTTGTTTGCTTTGCCATCATTCTAGTTGGTAGGCCACTCTCCAGGAGGAAGCTTCAGAGGTGGCAATTTAGTTCTCTCATTTTCCTCCATTCCTTCTAATGTGTTCCAAAAATTGTCTGATGACTGTCCTGTTTCTGAGAAAGCAATCAATTTCTCCCTGTCAATAGAAGCTGCTTACATACCTGCTGTTCCATTAATCACCTTTTCCCCTCATTTACTCAGACAGTGCAGTTAGTGGTCTCCAGAGAATTTGCTATTACCCATGAGTTCTTTGTGCCTCTTGGAAAATTATATGCTTTGCTCTGTCTGATTTTGTTTTGGACAACTGATTCTGGGAAGAGTAGCAAGGTTAATTGGATTTTCTCCATTTGCACACCCTCTGCCAAATCCATGGACTGATGGACCCTTACATCCTTAGCAACAGATACGTAGCTTTGTGAGCACTGACAAACTTTTTTTTTTTTTTTTTTTTTTTTTGAGATCTGCAGAGATCTGTTAAATCAGGGCATGGTTCACTTTCACTAACGTGTGTCATGAAGAGCAGATTCCAGTGTTGGGAACCTCTCTCTCTCTCTCTCTCTGTGTGTGTGTGTGTGTGTGTGTGTGTGTGTGTGTGTTAGGGAAATGAAGCATCAGTCTCATCCCTCTTAAGAGACCTGGTTATCCCAGGCTTTACATAGTTTTGACAGTTTCCTGTCTTTATTAAACACATGTATAGATATTGTATTATATTGTTTTATGTTCTGTTTGTTTAATCAGATTTTTATTAATGGAACTTAGATGAAGCTCTGATCACTTTGGTCACACTACTGTGAAACTAAAAGGTTTACAAACTTAAACTCGTCCTCATGCCTTGTAGCCAGCCTCTCCTCTTCTCTTTTCTTGGGTGGTATTCCTTTTTTTGCTGTAACCTGCTGATAAAACTTCATGAAAGACCGACTGCTTTGGGCCTAGAAGTGTCTCTTTCGTTCTTTTTGATAAAATCAATAGACTTTGAACCTATAACTACTTCCATCTCATGGAGACTAGTCTGACTTCTCACTCTGACTTTGGCTTATGTAGAAAGATGAAGTGCACTAAATCAGAAAACATTATGTCAAGATCAAAGTTTTTTTTTTTCTCCGTGGTGATTTGTCAGCTTCCCAGCTTTGGCATGTAGGCACTTTTAGAGAAAAGGAAAAACAGTTAAAAACTCCTTAGAATCACCTGCGAGCTGGCACATAGGTTTCAAAAAGAAAAAAATATGTAAAAGAAATCACAGAAGGGTTGATGGGATGTGGAGTGGTTTCTCTAGGTCTGGCAGGCGAAACTGCTGGAGTGAAAAATAACTGGACGAGGTGTGGAATAGAGGCCACGGCTGGAAGAGATAGAAATCACAAGAGAATCCACGGTCAGGGAAAAGAACTGGGAAGGAGCCCCGAGGCAGCTGAAAACAGAAAAGAAACTGCAGGAAAGAGCCAACAGAAAGAAAATATAGTCCTGGATTCCAGTCAGTGGCAGAGTAAACTCCATGTGGTTCAGGCCCTGGGAAATGGGCTAGGGAATGTTAAGGAGAGAAGCTGTTGGCATTCCTAAGTCTCTGTTGAAGACAGTAAACATGGGAACAGGAGGGGGGGGGGAGAAACTAGCATTAAAGTATTTCTGTATTATAAGCAAAACAGTAAAAAGTTAAATCAACTGGTTGTTAATGTTAGATTAAGCTAGGACCTAATAGTATATTGTATTCTCGTTCTCTAATAGTATATTGTGTGTTTCTCTCTCTCTCTCTCTCTCTTTCTCTCTCTCTCTCTCTCTGTGTGTGTGTGTGTGTGTGTGTGTGTGTGTTATACACAGAGGCTTGTAAATATATTGGTATGGTAATAAACAGGACTATCTTCACTTGTTAGCTGCATATATGTGTTTGGCTTTGTTCTTACCCATTCCTACTCTCCAGTAGCTTGTCAAGTTGGAGAACTGAGAGCTTTTGAAGAGATCCTTTCCTATATTTCATAGGATAGAGCAGTCGTCACCCAAATATATAACTTTGTTTCTGAAATCAGTGTGGATCTTCCGCTTGAATCCAGAGATATTGCTCATCCTTTCCCCTAGGCCACAGGTCTGCAACCTGCGGCTCCGGAGCCGCATGCGGCTCTTTGAGCCTTCCCCTGCGGCTCCCAGCCTCCTCTGCCTTTGCAGAGAGAGACAGAGACAGAGAGAGGAATTGTGCTTCCCTGCTTCTCTCTCTCTCTCTCTCTCTGTGTGTTTATGTTTGTGTGTGTGTGTGTGTGTGTGTGTGTGTGTGTGTATGTAAAAGAGAGTGGACTCACAGTGTTTTCCGAGGAGCTGAAAAGCTTACTGGGCGGAGCTCCTCCCTTTGCTGCGTCTCTGCAGGAAGCAGGAAGGGCAGGAGAGAGCTAGCTAGCCCAGCTAGGCTGACTCAGGAATTCTGGGAGTTGAAGTCCATGAGTCATAAAAGAGACGAGGTTGTCTACCCCTTATCTTGTTGGACAACAGCTTGAAGCTTGTCAGGTGAGCAGCAGATAGGAGAGGGGGGGAGAAAGAGAGAGAGAGGGAGAGAGAGAGAGAGAGGAAAGAGAGAGAGAGAAAGAGAGCGGGGGAAGAGGAGTGGCAGGCAGACCAAGGGCAGAGAGAGGGAGGGAGGGAGAGAGACAGAGAGATCCTTTTGACATCTAAAATGAAGATAACACTGCATATATCCTTTTTTTACCTGTGTGTGTATGTGTGTGTGTGTATATATATATATACATACATACATATACATATATACACACACACACAAACACACACACACAAACACACACACACCTATAATAAAGGTAAAAAAGAATATATGCAGTGTTATCTTCATTTTAGATATCAAAATGGTTTTGCGGCTCCCAGTGTTTTGTTTTTGGTGGGAAACGGGTCCAAGTGGCTCTTTAAGTGTTTTGGGTTGCCTACCCCTGCCCTAGGCCCTGGGGAACACTGTTTCATTCTTTGGATTTGTGTGGTGTTCTTGCATTTTTCCAGGATCGTGATTTATTCTTGGCTTTCCAAGGCTCTTATAGGAAGCACATGGCCTTTCTACCCACCATTTCTCCTCATGGCGAGGAGCTGTTATCTAGCATTGGTACACGTTGGTGAAAGAGTCATGCCCACTTTCTGAACCCATACTCCAGAAGCACGATAGCAGCTTTAAGAGACTTTCAGTGGAGTAGTCACACATCCGTGTTATCCCAGTGGCCACATGACTTTCCTTCCCCCAATTGCTATTTTTTGGGGGAGGGGGATTACTGTATTAGTTTTAGGAACTGGGTGAGAGAGTGTTCAGCAAGGTCCTCATTTAATCATATGCTACACAATATTTACGTAAGCTCTGGAGAATCTCGGGGCTGTATGTATGGAAGCTTTTAAATAATGTATGTGAATTCTTAGGTGACCACTTGAAAAACTGCACTTAAAAGTCATTAGCTGCATTTTTCATTTTAAACTTCGATTAGCAAAGTTTGGTATCTTGTCTCGGGTTAATCAGCCTATGAAAATTAGACATAGAAATGCTAGTAAAAGACCATTTACATTGAAAGGCGACATTGAATCAAAATGGTCACGAGTAAAGTTTGCATAGTTTACAGGCATAATTATTTTGTCTCTGAAATATTTTGCACATGCTTGTTGCAGAATTTCCTTTAGTTCTTATTTATTTGATAGATACATTTTGGATCATAGGCAAACCGTAGGAGTGCAGTGGGCGACTCTTGTGGCTAGGATGCTGGGTTGATAATTGGCCAGCCTGCATTCAAGACCCAAGTACTGCTGCATAGCGGGGCAAGCTCCCGTCATTCACTCTAGCTCTTGCCATAAGCGAGTAATTGTGAGCACATAGATAGGTAACACTTCAGTGGGCCCATCACACGAAAGGAGCTCCAATCAGGCTCTCCCCAGGTAACTAATGCTACCGGCTAATCCTTTCAACCTGGAAGTAGCGACAGCAACATACGCAAGTAGTGTCTCAGCTAAAAAAATAAGTCTGTGAGGCTGGGCTTTTACTGTATGGTTTTGATAGATTGTTACTTGCTTTACCATATAAACTAATCCGCAATGCTGAAGAAATGTACCATAATGGGCCCCCTCTTATTTTGTTCAGGGGATGTGTGTAAATAGTGCACATCAAAAGGCAACAGTGGAGGAGATTTTGAGGGCTTTGATAGATTTGCATTTTGATTTTTATAACTATGAGTTGCCTAGAATCTGATGGCTAGATCACATACATATACAGGTAGTCCTCCGCAATTGAGCCCAGCATTTTTGTTGCTAAGTGAGACGGTTTTAAATGAGTTTTGCCCCACCTTGCGATTTTGCTTGCCACAGTTAAGTGAATCATTGCGATTGTTAAATTAGTAACACGGTGGTTCGGTGAATCTGGCTTCCCCGTTGACTTGGCTTGTCAGAAGGTCACAAAAAGTGAACGTGTGAACCCAGGACACTGCAAGCTTCATAAATATGAGTCAGTTGCCAAGATTCTGATCACGTGACCCTGGGAATGCTGCAGTGGTTGTAAGTGTGAAAAAATGGCCATAAGTCATTTTTTAGTGCCGTTGTAACTTCGAATGGTCGCTAAATGACCTGTTGTAAGTCCAACAACTAGCTTTTCTTTATCGCTGAATTACGTTTTCTCAATTTTGACTTTGAGCAGGAGTAAGATAAGCTGTAATCGCATAAGCTATTATCATGTAAAGTTTTCAACTTTTAAAGACATATACAAAGAACAAATTATGGATGCATTTAAAGATAAAGCAAAGACAACAATTTTTTTTCATTTAATACAATTTTATAGCCACGTGGATTCTTGATCTATTTTGATGAAATTTGTTCAAATTGCATGTATGCATTTCAGAAAACTAAGGATGGTGGGACTCTTAACTACTTTTTACAATATATCAGACAATCTAAATTGAATTGAGATACTTTGCTGGGTTATTTTGTTACCTTGTTCTGTTTTGCTCTTTTCATCTGTTCCCATGCTCTTCTTCAAGCCACCTCCCCCCCCCAACTCTATTAAATTTTTTTGTTTTTTCAGTTCTTGCAGTGTACCATGACTATCTGATTGCCGGCTGTGGATGAAAACTCCCATGCTTAACTTCACCTGCGTGGAATTGCTGTGAAAGCAAGGCTGTCATTGATTTTCCATATTTCTGCCTGCTAATGTACCATTTTTGACCTTTAATGTGTAGTTTGAAATAAATAAGTATACAGGTTGTACAGTAATTGCTAGAGGTGTCATTCTTTTACATGTGGATGATAGTCTTTTTTCCTTTTGGGGTTATGCTCTTAGAATGAATAAAAGGAAACAATCACATTTCATGCTAATGATATAAACAGGGCAGGCTGCATCTTGAGAAATTGTAAATGCCTAAGAAACCAGGAAGCCATAAATTGGTGGCTGTCAAAAGTATGTTTAAACATTTGTATATTTCTTCTGAATGTTAGAGAAATAATTTGAATGCAAACTCGAAGAAAGTGTTCATAGTAAAGATTTATACCCCTTAGTGGTAAAGCATACTCTTCCAAGTGGTGTATCCTCTCGACCAGGGGTCCCCAACCCTTGGGGATACTGGTCCGTGGTCGGTTATGAACAGGTCCATGCAAGTGGTGGGTGAGTGAGCGAAGCTTTATCTGCATGTGCGGGATCTATGTTGTACGTGAAACCATTCCCCCCCCCCCAGGTCCACAAAACTGGTTCCCTCGTGCCAGAGAGGTTGGGGACTGCTGCTCTTGGCATAAACTTCCAAAAGAATACTGGTGGCTTTATGGAGTTGCCATTTTCCCAATGAAGTGTAGGTCTTTAAGGGAAAAGAAGGCGGGGGGGGGCTTTGCAATTGGCTCATTATCACCTAGAATTCCAAGAGCAGGGGAAGAATCCAAGAAACGAAAGCCTGAAATTGATGCTTCCTGAGCTTTTACTGTACTGCGGTTACTGCCTGAAAATAGAATCGTGGATGTGGTGGGAAGCTGTTAAAAAGTGAAGCAGCTTCTCATATGGTAATAATCACATGCCAGCATCAGCAGATCTCTTGCTCTCTTCCAACACGCTGCAAGTGGTATTAGATAAACAGGGCCGGTGGCAAATCATTTCTTTATATGTTTTTCAAATTCGGCTGCTGCTGTTTTCGATCCATTTATAATTTGTACATTGCAAGGAAATGTCAAGGTTAGCTAGCATTATGGATAATGGTCTTGGTTTACTGGCTTGCCTATTGCCATGTTTTGCAGATTTAAATATTTTCTTTCTGTGTAGACATCTCACTATGCATTGTGGATGAATCATAAAAGCCTTGCTAAAGTGAGCTGTTGGGTATGTTCTGCTGCCAAAGGAAATAGAATTAAGTCCAGGTAACGCTTCATGATTAACCTAGCGAGTGGGTGCATTTGTTACAAGAGTTTCCCATGTTGCCATTTCTTGGTATATTGAATAGCATGATGTAGCTGTATGATCTGAGCACTTGGTAAGAGGAGGATATATTTGCATCACATCAGACTTCAGTATCATGACTAAAATGTAAGAAATCATTTTGTTGAATATTGCAGTAAGCTGTACTCATGCTAAGAAAGATAAGTTTTTAGCCTGGAGTCAATAATTCATCTGTAAAACATTTCAGTTCTTTGTATCATCCTGCACCTCCCTCTATAATTATGCCACTATATTTACCTCCTTTAAAATGGCTTTTGCATTATCTTTGAATTTCTATAACAGTGGTGGTATCAAATCAAAATTCTGAAATCATTGACACTATTCACGTGCAAATTTTGTGTTCACCATTGTCAAGTAATAGCTGTAGATTATTTGCAATCTTCTATAGAGATTTTTGTACCTTTTGAAATGGATGCTATTCTAACTGTAAAAATGTTCTTGTTCTATTTTCAGTGCCATTCCAGGCAATTGTTTGAAAATAAAGTTAGAGCTTGCTTTGTATTTTTTTTCATTCCTAAAATAAGTACATATGAGATTATATTATTGGGTGCTACAGTAATTTTACAAGTTCTACAGAATTTAATATTCCAGACTATAAGGTGAGGTGTGGGTGTGTACAATAGATTTGATAATGGTGAGAAAAAAAACCCTCTATGCAGTGCTCCTCAATCCTGCATTTTCCAACCATGGGTGTAGAATTTTAGCATATATAGAGAGAAAATGGGCCATCTTTCTCACAATTCTTAGTTACAAATGTTCACATTTTTTCTCTTAAATGTGATGCTGCCTTGTTGACTGAGGCAACCCCAGTGAAAAGTGAGGTGGTTTAGTGGGGGGGGGGGGTCCAGTATACCTACAGCAGAGGTTCCCAACCTTTTGAGCACCGGGGACTGGTTCCGTGGAGTGAGTTTTTTCTGCGGACCAGAGGGGGTGTGGTTTCATGTACTGCCCCACTCAGGCGGGGCAACCGCCAGCGGGACGCTCGGAGGGGCGGTGCTAGCGCCGGCGGAATGTTCGCCACTAGCATGAGAGTGGGGGGGTGTGAGTGCATGCACTGGCCATCCCTTCCTGTGGCCAAGTGGCCGTGGCCCAGTAGTGGGCCAGAGCCAACAGGTTGGGGACTCCTGACCTACAGTATTTATAGTTCCTGATGCAATTGTAAGGATTAGATAGTCAATACTGCGAACCATCCAACATACTGTAAGATTGCAAGTAAGGATTTATAGGGGAGAAGGAAATTTAAAAAAGCTAAAAGTGGGTAAATAGGGGAGGGTGTGAATGGAAGACTGCTTGACCTAACATTCTGGGTATGAGATAGTGTGATTACATGAATCTCATCGGTTCCCTGCACTTTGGAGTGGTTCTGATGCCAAGCCCAGATTCCTGTTGTTTTGCCACTGGTGGATTGTATTTGCCAGTTCTGCCTCCTCTTATGCCCTTGGTGTCTCTGTAACACCTGCCATACTGTTTGATATATTCAAGGTTTGGTGAATAAGTTTCAATGCTTAGGTTTAAACTGGGACCACCTATGCACTATAGTGATAAGGTTCAATGTATAAGCTACAACTAAAAATTTCCTTTGGGGTAATGTGAACTCTTGTCAGTCTCCTTTGCTGTTAAGGGTCACTTAAATACAATTCCATCTTTAAAAAAAAGTACTGTGGGAGTAATGTTTCAAGTGGAAATATTTTTTACAAATATATTCTAAATAGTTGCTCTTGGTATTGCAGGATAAATTGCACTTGCAATCTTCAGATGTTGGATTATGGCTCCACCATCCCTCACAGTAAAGATGCTTGCTGGAACTGATCTCAATTGAGTTCCACAATTTTTTCCTGGATTCCTAATGTACCTCAAATGACTTCGCTTGTATATCATACCCATAACCTTTCTATAATCACATATGTTTTAAAACCATGTTCATTAAACTGATCCATCCTGATGCTCCTGAACTATAACAACTTCAAGCACTCTTTATCATAGGACACACAGGTTGGATGTTGTAATGCAACAATGTTTGGAAGGTCTATGTACCATATTCCATTTTAAAGAATACAATAGGCTGTAGAATTGCCCACGAGTTGTTGGTAGCAGCAAAGTTAGGATGTTTGCTTAATGTAGCCAGGCTATTAAGGCTAATTACTCAACTAAATATTGTAGTGAGACAAACTGGTGAATGTAAAGAAATGACAGGAGGGAATTTTAGGATCTGTTGCTTCAATCACAGGGTGCAGCAGAAATCACAAGCTGAGACAACACACCAAACTAAATGGATGGTCAAATAACAGACTAAGGACCTACACAGGATGACACCAGGATAAAGCAGAAGCAAAGCAGAAAAACTGTTTTCAGCAATCTAGTTTGGTTTAAGTCAGGGATCTTCAAACTTGGCCCTTTTATGACTTGGGGACTTCAACTCCCAGAATTCCTCAGTCAGCCATGCTGAAGTCCACAAGTCATAAAAGCGCCAGGTTTGAAGACCCCTGGGTTTAAGTACCCCAAGCAGCTGCTGATTTGCTATCCTACCAAGACTTAATAGCTTTCTGAGATGTCATGGCAATATTGCATTATGCAACCTCCTGACCTTGTATTTGGAGTGTGTTTTTCCCCTAAAGGGTGCCCTAATTCCCAAATCAGAAACTGGGTAACTTGGTTCAAATTCAGGGTACCTAAGGTGGAAGGTTCTGGCAAGGCAAGAATTTGTCTCTTAGTGTTGGGGCTGCTATAGCTCAAAACCTTTGTGGAGTCTGCCTTCCACTTTTCTCCATGTTTGAAGATTTGTCATCTTTCAGGGGCATGGTGAGTCTTTACAAAGTCTATCCACAATGCTTCACTGCCATTTGGAGCAAAGCCTAAGTTCTGTTCACCAGATAGAGAATGAAGTTTAATATCAACTCTTTTAAGAAATAGATGACAGAAGCTTGCAGCAATTTCTGTAGAGGCAGTGTTAAAAATTGCTGAATAATTTCTAAGTTGCATACATAGCTTTAAAGAAATATAAATTAGAGGTCCTCATAAAACAAGGGTAGAATATTCCTTGATATAACACTGTAATTCAAATTGGGAGGATTTAAATAATAAAGAATCCCATTGTTAAGAGGATGCATCCATTTGCTTGGCAATCATGATCTAGATTTTCTTGTGACTCAATAGTATCACATAAAGCAAATTGACCCCATGCTGCAAGGTCTGAATAGCTTCAATTAATTATGCTTCCCCAAGCAGCTTCGTTTAGATAACTTCTTTTACACAATGGCACATTTTAAAAAAACAACAACTAGTCAGCTCTCTTTATAATTCTACCACTAAGTCATTATGAAAGTAAGTTCAGCTTACTTTTCTGGTTAAAATACTTACTGTATAAGTTGTGAGACTCATGATGTCAGCAATAAAATACTTTGTTGGACAAAGCAACATTCTGCCTCTTTAATAAGGTTGATTTTTCATTTCTTCCATGGAAAACCTGAGCAAAATGGAAGGCTGGGGTTCACGATAAGCTGGTATTGTTGGAAGGTTAGGGATGAAATTGCTATTAATCACTTGATTATTATATATGGCCTTTGAGGTTTGAAATACAGGTGCCTGTATTTCACATCAATTAAAAATTAATTAAATAGAGTTGATATGATTAAGTGCCACATATTTAAAAATATTCTGATTTAAATCACAGCAAGTTCCGGTTCCCATCTGAGCTATGTGGGCCACACCTTTGACTCAATATGAGATTGCTTCTTGTGTTCCTCCTACTAAATAGGAACAGGGCTAGAATAGCTTTGATGATACCAGAAAGTCCTGGATCAGAATCTTCTCACTCATCTGTGGTGCTGCATGAAACTGGCAACAAATCATTAATGAAGAGGAAGAAGCCTAGAAGAAATAGATGAGATAGAGACCTGGGATAGAAACACTCATGAAAGCAATGGGGGAATTTGATATTGTAAAGGGCACAAAAGAAAAATGTAGAGGAAGCAATGGGAAGGATATCAATTGTCCCCATTTCTACATAGTCATATCATTTGATAGTGCCTTGATATTCTAGTGAGTCATACTACAGATGATAGCCCAGTGGTGGCGAACCTATGGCATGGGTGCCAGAGGCGGCACTCAGAGCCCTCTCTGTGGGCACGTATGCCGTTGCCCCAGTCCTAGGCCTTCAGCTGGGTTTTATAAAACTTTTTTTTGCTTTAGGCCTCCATCGCTGTGTGCAAAAAAAAAAAAAAAAAGGTTCAATCAGTCAATTTCAACTTCTCGCGGGGAAAAAAAAAGATCTTGCAAAGTTGGAATTGATTGAACTTTTTAGTCCCACCCAGTATGCTGTTACCACCGCAGCCACACCCACCCAATGGGCCACACCCACCCGGCACTTGACAATGCATAAGAGGTTTTGGGTTGAAGTTTGGGCACTCAGTCTCTAAAAAGTTCGCCATCACTGTGATAGCCTGTTTGAAAAAGAGAGGCAAGTGAAATGATATGTTTTTATGTTTAGACTTAAATGTTTCAGAGCACAATTTTCAGATAAACTTACTTTTAAACTGTGTAAACAAAAGACCAACTCATCAGGCTCCTTTGAAAATCTAAAGTGATTTGGGGTTTTATTCCTGAGGAATGTGTACAACCAAGCTTTGATGGGCAATTTTTTTGTGGTTATAAAAGCATCACCCATCTGTGAAACTGAGAGCAATTCTGTGAACTATGGTGTTAGCTTTCTGTTGCAATCTTTCATAAATCTCAGGCCTCATCCTCAGATGATGTGGCACATTGGTATGTGTCTAAGTAACCACAGAAGAACAGTGTGGGGAATGTCATCGCTTTATGATGACATTTCCATCGCACAGTAAATCTTTTGAACTCTCCCAAGTTGAGCAAAATATTGTCTTTAACTAGATAGAGGAGTATTCAAAGAATTTGAAAGAAGAAATCTTTTTTTATTGACATCAAAGCGGCTGAAGAAAATAAAAGTCAAATGTTTCATTTTAAAACTTTATTTTTGCTTCATTAGTCACTTTACTATTTAGTTGCTTCAATTTTTTTTGTTTTCCCTCTTTTTCCTACAAACAGCCACAGCCATACAAACACTCAGAATTAGTTTTTTTTAATGTAGAAGGAGAACTCTATACTCTGTCTATCTGTCTGTCTGTCTGTACAGTATCTGTCTATCCTGTCTCTCTAGTCTGTCTATCTGATCTATACCTATCTAATCTATCAGCTTTCTGTCTCTTTATCATCTATCTAATCTACAGTATATCCGTTCATTCGTCCATCCAAAATCAATCTTCTAAACATATCCCTCCCCCTTCCGCTCTCCTGACTAACTCCATTGCTTGATTCTCAAGCAGTGCAGTTTGAGAGTCCCCCTTCTCTGGATTAGTCTAGGAAAAACATCTGTTTTGGATATAAATCTTCCAATTACTAATTTCGATTTGGATACCAGCCCTCTCCAGGAAGAAGGAAGTATAAGCTTAACAGAAATCTCTTTTTCCTACCATCAATGTCAGATCATTCTGTCTTGCTGGACCCTTTATTACAAAACAGCCAGAAAACTGGCTGGCTAGTGATTTATTCATTTACAATTCCGCATATGCAGCCTCCCCTCAACACGCCAGGTAAAATATGGCAGATATATTTGGGTTTTCTTATTTCTGCAATGACCCAGCTGCTGTGCATGCATGGTGTGTACCAATAGACCTTGCAACCATAGAAAATTGATCAAGCCCTTCAGTTTAATGTTAACTTACTGAAAGAAATAAAGACACCAGAAATGAAAGGATTCTATAGCGTGCTTATGTTGGAATATGCACTCAAGCTTGCAACTCTTTGTGTTGAGGCATATTTTGGGGCTAGAGGGTAAAAAGAGAGATATCAAAAGATTACAATGAAAAGAAATTATTTTTAATACTCAGGTTTTTTTTTAAAAGAAATGTTTCCTTTCAACTGAAAAAAGACAACATTTTCTAGTTTATGTAGAAATTATGTTTATTGCATTGTTTGTATTTGAGGGTCTTGACAGCTAGCTGCCTTTGAGTGTGGCAACTTATAGCAACGATGAAATTTCAGTAAAGAAAAATAAATTAGAACATTAAATGATTGAACTATTGTAAATCGAAGTCACAAATGCTGCTTTCCATTATGCAGCTGAGTTACAGGGGTGTGTTTTTTTTTCCTTTTTCCAAGATGTATTTGTGTTTTGCTAATTGGGTTTTACATGAGTGTTGTCCAAACTACAAAGTTTCTGTAAAAAAATCTATGTTTTTCTTATGTTCAAAGCTAAAGGAGGTTGCTTTGACTGCAAAATGCTCAATACTAGAAGGATAATTGTATTGTTTTCCAAAAAAAAAAAAAAAGATAAACTAAAAGAATAAAAAATGTTTGAAGGTAAAGTAGTTCAAGAAAAGCAAGTCATTTTTGTTTCTGGGTCATTATCATCTTTTTGACGGCATGTCCGCAATAAATTAGGTTTTAATTGAAAACAGTAAACAGGAACCTCCATGCAACAGAACCATTATCATTTCCAAGCATGCAGGTGCTTTTTAAAAAATTAAAAAATAGAAGGTGCCTCTAGAATGCTGGCAGTTTTATATTTGCAACATACCATTTGTTTATATATGTATATATCTATATATTTATATATTTACATGGTTACTGATCAACTTTCCTTACAAGCTTCAAAGATAGGAAAATATACAGTACTTTTGCATATAATGGTATATCCTTGTAGCCCCTGAGTCAAGTATTGAGATTTTGATAGGGAAAAAAAGGAAGGGAAAAAAAAAAGGAAAAAAGACAAACCTCCCAGACATTAAAAGCACTTACATTTTAGGTGATGTAAGAATGCAAAAGGGTCATTTCCCAGGAAGACCAGGATCAGAGACATGCCTATGGAGACCCACCATTCCTGTCGTGCTTAGGAGAGAATCGGGCAAGGATGGGTGCCTATTTGGGTGGAGGTAGGTCTTACGGAGTGACGGGGTTGGCTCTAAAGAGAGGTCGCGCTCCTGCTCCAAAAGGGAAACCAGGTTATCTTCTGAGGCCAGGTGAAGATGCTCCCCGCTTGAGAGGGATTCTTTGGATTTCTGTTTCAATTTTTCAAGATCCAAGAATTTGGGACCCTGAGAAAACACAACAAAAAGAGGGCTCTGTGACGTGTATTGCCATAAAAAGCACTTTTTAAAAACAAGTTTACACTATTGGAGAATTTATTTAAAAAAATCAGGAGTACTGAAATCAGATGCAGAGCTTAATAAAGGTGCTTCGCGTATTAAGCAATCCGCTGTGTTTCTGAGTAACGGATACACATCAGCGCAATCCAAACATGGGTAGTCCTCCACTTACAACCAGAGTTGAGCCCAACATTTGCTAAGCAAGACATTTGTTAAGTGAATTTTGCCCCATTTTATGACCTTTCTTGCCACAGATAGTAAGTGAATCGCTGTAGCGGTTAAGTTAGCAACGCGGTTGTCAAGTAAATCTGACTTCTCCACTGACTTTGTCAGAAGATCGCAAAAGGGGATCACGTGATCCTGGGACACTGAAACCGTCATAAATACGAGTCAATTGCCAAGTGTCTGAATTTTGGTCATAGGGGAACACTGCAATGGTCGTAAGTGTGAAGAACGGTCATAAATCACTTTTTTCAGAGAAGTTGTAACTTTGAAGAGTCACTAAGTGAACTGCTGTAAGTCAAGGACTACCTCTAATACCTAAGACGTTTAGGTGGACGTCTTCCCTTCTGCAGCTTTTAGGACGCAGATGACCTGGAGACAGTGGTGGGATCCAGCTGGTTCTCACCACTTCAGCAGAACCGGTAGCTAATTTTTTGTTGCCCAGGCCCAGACTGGACTTCCGGAAGCAGCATCCACACAGAGAACTGGTTGTTCACATATTTGAATCCCATCACTGCCTTGAAACCTTCAGTTGCCACCTTTGTACTTGAAGGAAGACCTTCTTCTCCCAGACGAGGTGCAGGTGAGCAGAGCAAAGGGACAGGAATGAGACCACATGGATTCAATGGTCCCAGAACATGGATTCAAACAACTGCCTGGATAAAAAGGCTGCTGATGTCTGTTTACCAAAGTAACCTCTATTTTACAGGTACTATTTATTTTACAACCAAGTCATGATTCTTGCCTTCAAGTCCAGCTTGTCTACCTCCTGGAGGAATTTGCCAATCCAGGAAAAAACAGGCTCCTGTCAAGCATCAGGAAAATCAAGGGGTCCAGGCAGTTCAAATGTGTATAAAGATTTATTGTAAACTTAAGATCTCTACAAGAATCTGAACTAGTAACAGTCAGGGGAAATTAGCGGGAATTAAGAATGGAAGGAATTCAAGGTGGGCTGGACTTAGATCTCTTGTGGATGCAAAGGGACCTATGATGGATGACATGTTTGACCCCTCCCTCGGGCTCAGCCTGATCCTTTCCTACAGCATCTCAACTACAGAGGCCTCTGGTCTAATCCACTTGTGCTGCTTTTCTCATACGGATCAGTATGAAGGACGTTTTGTTTCCCACAAAAGGCTGTAAATTATGTAAACCTGCCCCTTCAGAAATACCTTACCTGGGAAGGACTGAAGCTTCGATCTGTTTTAATTGATGCGATGGGATGAAGACGTCGCAGCAGCCGGACAGCTGGTTTCTGATAATCTGCACTTGCCATCACCATGCTATAAGCAGGTGGGATGAGGGCTGACTGTCTCTGCAACAGCTGTAAGATGGTTTGAATGTCAGCTGTCATCTGGGATTCAAGCCTGGGAAATAACAAGAAATAACCAGTCTATCAGAATGATGTATACACTCCACCTTCTCTCAAGGTGTCAGGGTATAGCGCTATAGATGGCACACAATAGGTCATGCCCCCGTGTACAAGGTTTCACGTCACTTTCCCCTTCTTAGTGGCAGGATGGACTTTCTCTATTTCTATACAGCTTACATAGGGTGTGGTGGTTTCATTTTCATTGACTACCAAAGGTACCATGGAACTGTTTTTGTCCTACTGGGACTGATAGCAGTGGCAATAGCACTCAGACTTATATACCGCTTCATAATGCTTTACAGCCCTCTTTCTAAGCAGTTTGCATAGTCAGAATATTGTCCCCAACAATCTGGGTCCTCTTTTACCGACCTCGGAAGGATAGATAGCTAAGTCAATCTTGAGCCGGTCAGGATTGAACTCCTGGCAGTGAGAACAGAATTAGCCTGCAATACTGCATTCTAATCAATGCACCATTCTGGCTCTTACTAATTGATCAATTGTAGGTAGCCAGAATGGTTTGAGCTGCAAAGAATAACACCTGGCTACCTGTCTGATGTGTCCTAAATAGGATGGAGTTGGTCCCATAGTGCCTTCTAGTGGTCAATATAAAAAATACAGTTAAGGACGTCACATAATTTGAATACATGACCTAGCAGTATTTAGAAGAACGAAAGAGAAAACTCCCTTTTTTTATGAGGGACATAAAGATGTGTGAAACAAAAGCTCATACCAAAGCCAGCCCTGATATTAGCTAGCATAAAGATTTCATGTGGCCTTTAAAACGTGAGGAAAGACCCACAGAACAGTATTTTTAAATTAGAACCGCACAAAGTAACTCTTGTGATATTGGCATTGCATGACTTAGCTCATTAAACTCACTCCGAAGAATCAGAAAATAATAGGGACTGGTTTTCTAAAAATAAGCTGCAAAAAAGGATCTGAATTGATGCTTCAAGTTCTTGCCAGGAGCTTTTTAGCAACAGAAAAAACTAAATTGGCATCAGAAATAATGCTAGTGGATTGGGAAGAAACTCCACCATACATGTTTGGCAGAGTGAAGAAATGGAAGCTTTATGGATTTCTGAAAAAAGAAATTCTCCTAAATGTGTTTTCCCCTAAGGTTGGTTTTCAAGGAAACATGCTAAACTGTGAAGCTTGCTGTTAAGCTCCAGTGTTTGATCTGATTACAGTTGATATGTGAAAAATTGCTTCCTTTAGGTAACCATTGGGATGTAGCAGTGGGAGAAGAACAGAGATGAGCTATTTATTCCGGCTTATGGTGCTTGCTTTTCTCATATCCCTCTAGCCTCACCTCTACAAGATCTGTGGGATAACAAGGCAAAACCATGCTAGAGAATTCTCTGACATGACATGAACAGCACTGCTTGAATTTTCATGTGAATTTAGGAAGTTGCCTCTATCACTGAGCCTTGCAATTTATCACACCAGCCATCAACTTGAATCGCAGCTGCTCTCTGGCAGAGATCCCTCTGAGACGTTGCCTGCGTGAGGTATTTCACTGGAAAAATCAGAAACCTTCTATAAATTGTACCTTGGGCCCCTGAGCTCTGGTTTCCTCTCCCATACGTGTTCTAACTCAGGGATCCCCAACCCCTGGTCTGTGGACTGGCACCGGGCTGCGGCATGTGAGCAATTGGGCCATGCAAATAAGCGAAGCCCCATTCGTGGGGATGCAGGCAGCATGCAAAACCACGCCCCCTCCGGTCCGGGGAAAAACCTCTCTACGGAACTGGTCTTTGGTGCCCAAAAGGTTGGGGTCCGCTGTTCTAACTGGTGGGTGGGATTTAAAACCCAGATATTTATATTCTGATTCATTTCAAGGGCGTAAACGCTTTCATCTATACAGGTAGTCTTCAATTAACGACTGCAATTGGGATTGGCAATTCCATCGCAAAGTGATGGGGTCATTAAATAAAAGTCACATGACTATACCCCAACTTATGATGTCAGCTCTGCTGTGGTCATTAAGCAAATTACCCATGGTCATTAAAGTCAACGTCATGTGACTACAATTTGTGATTTCCGGCTAACTTCCCCTTTAACTTTGCGTGTTGGAAGCCACAAAAGGCAATCATGTAACTATAGGAGCAACCAACATGCATGTGCACTGATTGTCAAGTGCCTGAACTGCAACCATGTGACTGTACAGGTACAGGTACAACTTCTGTATAGAAGAACCAGTCGTAAACCTACCTTTTCGGTGCCATCCTTAATAGTTGTTAAACAGAGCAGCCGTTAATTGACTACCTATAAATTAAAGTTTAACACGGTCTTTCCGTAAGTCAGTATTGCCATCTGCAGTTCTTTTGATGGAGGGCTGAGTATGAGAAAAGAGTGTTTGAATGAAAGCAAATGTCCCCAGTTTGATACCTTCTTAAAGGGTTGGGATTGTTAACTCCTGGGATTTCCAGATGGATCCCAGATCACGTGAAGTTCAATGCAAAGGTAATCTATAACAAAGCATGAGAAGCTTGCAAGATCTCTAATTTGTAAAGGAATCGGGTGTAAATAGATAGACTCCTGCCTTGGAAGTACTGCTCCAAAGAATGGGTGCTGCAACAGAGGAGATTTTTCTTCTAGATCCTGACAGATAGAGTTGTTTGACTCATGGGATCCAAAGTAGGCCGTCCTTGCTAGCACGAGTAGGACGGGCATAAATCTTAAGTTGAGCCCCTCGCGGTTAATGATTACTGGAAGCCTACGTAAAATTATTAATCAATGGGAAGCTGGAATATCTGCATGCATTGTGTTACCTGGTTCTTTGCTGTAACATATGTTCTCTAATGCAGTATTTTATTTTTCCTGGAAATTAGGCCATTGCTATGCAGGCTTTATTGGCTCATAGACTGCAAGACAAGAGGCTTGCCCTTATTTTTGGCTTTAAATTGCTTGTTAAAATGTAGAGAGAACATACCCAGGAGCACTTAGTAACTAATATGGACTGAATTTGTCAATTCAGGATGAAATTGCCCATTTGTCAGGACAAAAGTGATGACGGTAGTGGAATACTGGGGAGATTATTATTATTATTATTTGAAAAAAGTTAGAGGCCTGAATAAAAGCCAATTTCCAATTAGATGCAGCTTTGCCTGCTGGCAAGTCCCTTTTGTGTCTTTGTGCAGAATTTATTCTGGTAGTTTATCAGGTGTGATCCTGGAAACACTGTTGGAGCAGTGGTAAAGGGCAGTGCCAAAGGCTGCCTCCTTTTTGATACTCCTTTGGGACTCTTTTTGAATTTGGGGACGCCAGTATTTTTTTCTTTCTCTGTTGAGGTCTTTTTTTTAGTAACTAAACTGCTCAGTTCATGTTTGAAATCTATAGGAATCTATAATACAGGTAATCCTCAACTTACGACTACAACTGAGCCCAACATTTCTGTTGTTAAGTGAGACATTTGTTCAGTGGGTTTTGCCCCATTTTATAACTTTTCTTGCCACAGTTGTTAAGTGAATCACTGCAGGGGAGAAGTTAGTCATCCGGTTGTTAAGTGAATCTGGCTTCCCCATGGACTTTGCTACACAGAAGGTCACAAAAGGGGATCACCTGACCCTGGGACACAGCAACCGTCATAAATATGAGTCAGTTGCCAAGCATCTGAATTTTGATCACGTGACCATGGGGATGCTGCAAAGATCATAACTGTAAAACACGGTCGTAAGTCATATTTTTCAGCGCCTTTATAACTTTAAGCCACCTGGGAAAGCCAAGGGAAATCATTAAAACAATTAAAAAATGAAAGAATATTTCGGACATGTGATGCGACACCCCAAAAAATATGGCATACTCCATTTAATCCTCCAGGGAAAGATTGAAGGCAAACGAGGTCCAGGCAGAAGAAGAGGATCGTGGCTTCAAAATCTAAGGGACTGCTTTGGACAAAACTCAGCAGCAGTTTTTCGTGTGACTGCTGATAAAAACAGGATTGCCAACGTCCGATAACGGATATGGCACAACAACAAGAAGAAGATTATAACTTTGCGTTGTCATTAAATGAACTGTTGTAATTCGAGGACTACCTGTAGTCCTATTATTCAATCATTAACCAGCCATTTTAGTTACAAAAAAAATCTGAATCATGTCTGCAGGTACAATAGGAATTCCCTGCCCTCTCCCCACATCTGCAGCCTCCTCACTAGAGTCTCCCAATCTTAGGGCAAAGAGTAGAGTAGAGTAGAATAGAATAGAATAGAATAGAATAGAATAGAATAGAATAGAATAGAATAGAATAGAATAGAGCTGGAAGGGACCTTGGAGGTCTTCTAGTTCAGCCCCCTGCTCAAGCAGGGGAACCTATTACTGTAGATTTTGTAGCAAACATCTGAATGACCATGAGATGGCAGCAAAGTGAGATGTATCTTTTTATTGCAATCCTACGATGGTAGCCTCACCTAATCTCCAGAGCAGATTGGGAGGGGATACGCCACAAATAAATGTTTCTTTATTTAGAGTTTGATCCTGTACTTGAGTGGAAAATGTTCCATGCACAAACAAATCTGGGCCTAAGGCACTAATGTTGGATTGCCCGTGTCCAAATTAATTTAGATAATTGTTATTCCTTCCTAAAGAGAGACTCTGATTTTTTTATATTTAAAACAGAACTATTCTTTCTAGTGATTTTTCAAACAAATGTAGTTATATTTTTTACTTGTTAGAATTTGTTATAGCAAATAAAATGGTACAAAGATTTTTAAAATAAACCTTTTCCTTGTAATCTAATTTACAGCAATAAGTGGGAGTTTTTCTAATTATTAGAATGTTATTACAACATCTTGCTCTATTGGACCATTTCAGATTTGTTTTGACAGCATGCGTGGCATTTAGAGTATTATTATTTTTTTCGCAGATCAGTGATGAGTTTTTACCAAGGTTTTTACAGCAAATAATTTATTTCTTTTGGCTGATAACAGTTTTCCCTAATGGTATGGTTGCCTATTAAGTTAAATATTATAAATGTCCCAGCAACTCAGTCCTTTT